GAGGTCAGCACCTGTCTCTCCTTCTTTTCTGAAGGTCGTCCCGCTCACTGTCTCTCGCCTTGGCCGGATCTTTCTAGGAGGTCAGCACCTGTCTCTCCTTCTTTTCTGAAGGTCGTCCCGCTCACTGTCTCTCGCCTTGGCCGGATCTTTCTAGTCGGTCAGCACCTGTCTCTCCCTCTTCTTCTGAAGGTCGTCCCGCTCACTGTCTCTCGCCTTGGCCGGATCTTTCCAGCCGGTCAGCACCTGTCTCTCCCTCTTCTTCTGAAGGTCGTCCCGCTCACTGTCTCTCCCCTTGGCCGGATCCTTCTAGTCGGTCAGCACCTGTCTCTCTCTCCTTTCTGAAGGTCCTCCTGCTCACTGTCTCTCACCTTGGCTGGATTTTCGTTCTAGCGGGTCAGTGTCCATATCTCTCTTGCTCTGATGGATTTCCTGCTTACTTTCTGTTATTTTGGCTTAACTTTTTCAGAATGTCAGTCACCTTTTACTTCTTGCTCCATTTGAATGGCTGTCCTGCACATTGGTCTTCACTTTGGCCCCATCCATCACATCCGTTAGTACCTATCCTTCCTCTTACTCCAATAATTGTGTCTGAATTCCTGTAATTTATACTTCTACCACCAGCCTTCATGATAGACCCTCTATATAAATTAGTTGCTTACATAGTTTGTGCCTTGAACAAAATTTTGCTATTCTTATGAGTTTATAGGCATCATCTCTTGTGGCTGCATTTATGGATCACACAGTATGTATATAATTTGACCATATCTCCCTCAGTATATGCTGACTTCACATTCAAGGGACCACCCAAGTCTCTGATGGAATTTCTCTTATGCATGGCTGGTTTGAATCTCCCCATTTTTATGTACATCATGTTTGAATTCTCACATTATATATTTATTTAGGTTTTATCATAGTCACAGAGTACTCGTTTTGGTACCAGCAGTCCAAGAAAGGGAAGACTAGCTCATCCTGGCAAAAAGACTCTGTTGATGCATACCAATCCTCAGGCCTGCAAAAAATACTCAAGAATACACTGGCCATTTTCAAGCTTCCACTGGATGAGGTGCAGCAGGGACAATTCCTCCAAGTTGTCCTTGACAACCTGATGGTCAGTTTTACTCCTTGCTACTCACTATACTGCATGTATATGATATTGTATATCATTTAGCCTAGGCCAGGTCTTGATTGATCCAATGTCATCGACCTATAACAAGAACAGTGTCCAGGTAGTATGGGATGGTAGAGAGTGTGTAGGATATATGGATTTGATGGATTTGTCATGGGTGAAAGGAGGAAATGCTGCCAATAATGTGGAAGGATAGCAACTGTTGAAAGGAAGAGAAGTCTGTCATAAAGTTGTATGAATAGGATCAGGAGACAGGTATGGGCCTATGGGCCTGATGGCTCCAGTGAATTCAAGTGTTTTTGAATTTGGGTCTGGCCACAACCTACCATTTCAACCATCTCACATCTCACATACGCACATCACCCACATCACACCAAGGAACATAAGAAAAGAACTGAAAAATAATGAGCCTCTAATAACTGTATACAATACATGCACAAACCGATATGCAACATGACCTCGGACTGACCAACCAACCAAACATACCAAGGTAAAAGACTAAAAGCAAACCTATAACACAAACCACAAACCGAGAAAACAAAAGAGATCGGAAGTCAAAGTATGAATGTAAGTAAGTGATCGCAAGAACGAGATCGGGAAAGAATAAAGGTGAGAGGGTGAGATGGGAAGGTATGACTAGAACCAAGACTATGCAGATCAGCTTGAAACGAAAGATGAAGACTTAGAGGGGAATGGGGGCATATGAGTGGACAATGGATGCTTCGATGGCAAATAGCGAAGGGTGGGGCATACGTGGTTTGTAACTAATAGCTGGCTTCTTGAATTATTCCAACAGAGAGGACAGATAAAAGAGGAATGACAGACATAGAGACACTGAGATGGGACAAAATAAAAACAGACAAAGAGAATATAGAGACAGCGAAGGAAGCGGAGACACCAGAGAACAAAGCCAACAGGACAGAGAGAAGCAGAGAGGGACAAAGAAAGAAGAAAGGAAACACCGTCCTATAGAAGTCCACATCCTGCAATGCGACGCACACTGAAGGCTGAACGAACCATGCCAAGCTAACAATCCCCATCCAATCACGTCCATCGCACTCGCAGCCTGCCCTCTTTCAACGATATCGCACGCCCGGCAGAGCAGGCAAGGGAAACACACAACAGCATACACCGAAGATTCAATTCCGAGTGAGAAGCGAGAGATAGAGAGAGGGAGAACAAAAAGGGGACGGATGCCGAAAGAAACGTCCGACCGAATGCATGTCAAAAAATAATAAACTAGAACAAGAAAAACAAAGACGAACCGCTCCGGAAACATGAGTAAGATAGCCAGAGATCGAGAAATGTATACGCGGAGGCGAGGGGAGTTGAGAAAGGAGGGCACCAGAATGGAGAGGACGCGCTCGAACAACGAGATAGAATGGCATGACAATAGACAACGTCGAAGTATATGGGCGAGGCTGAGAAATAGATGCAAATGAGTGTGGCTGGGTAAGATACCAATATTCTAAAAAACAATATATGTAGAGCGAGTGACTAGAAGCGAAGGGATATATGGTAGGATAGGGGAGGGGTCGTATGGGGCAAATCTCGTCTCGCGTGCGGTGGGCGTCCACCACAATCATCCCTAACGGACGAGAAGCGGCACCAGCGTCGACATAGACGAGTGCCAAACAAACGACCCCAGGACTATGGACTCAAGTTGATACACGGTTTGATGATAATGAACAAAGAAGAAAAGAGATGGGATGGAATGAGAAGAGAAAGAATAAACGAACGTGAATCCGGACGAGATGAGGTGTCTCAGGAAAGTAAGATAAGTTGACGAAGTCGAGGAAGAGTCGGGCTGAGCGGCGTAAACGATGACGGGGTAGGTAGGGTGTGCGTGCGTTCATTCGGGGGTGCCTTTTGATTTGATGGGAGGGGGGATGTCTGGAGTCGGGGTCAGATGAAAGCCATGAGATTCGGGTGGGTAGGAGGGCCGGTGGCTAGGGGTTCATGCGGAACGTCGAACGTCATGTGGCGCGTTATAAGCGATGAATGCCGACTGATGGGCACGAAATGAGGGATATCCGAGAGCGTGACGGAAGGGGTGGTGCGGAGGGTAGAGACGAGGGGGTGGATGGATGAGGGTAACAATGCGGAGGTGAGAATGCAACGTAGGAGGACAGATGTGAGTGATGAGATTCCGGGGGGCGCGGAAGAACCATAATGCACAATGTGGGGAACGAGGCGGGACGGAGGGGGGGAGGCCACAACAAACAGCAAGGCGAGCAGAAACAAAAAACAATGAGCGATCCAACGACGACCAGCCGCCGCACCATCCGAATGAGACGAGGGGAGAGACTCGAACACGACTCAACGCCACTCACGCCACATGCAGCGTCACCGACGTCTTCCCTCCAAACGCCATATCCACATCCTCCGTCGACCGCATCGAGATCATATCGCCCTCCTCGTCCTCGTACTTCACCCTCAACGGCCCGTCCTCCCTCCTCCCACCACAAAGCCTGATCTTCCTCCCCACCTTCTCCACCAACTCATGATACTCCGTCGTCCTCGGCACCTGAATCACGAAAATATCGTTCCCAAAGTGCACCTTCACCTTCACCAACCCCGCCGCCACGCCACCCCCATTGGCGGACGCCGCAGAAGTCGGCGGAGGCATCATCTTACCCGCCCCCACACCCCCCACCACAATCCTGCTCGTATGTCCATTCCCATTCCCATTGGCGTACCCATTCCCGTTCTCTCCCAACGGTCCCCCATGCGACGTCCTCGACGACCCAAACCCGACCGAATCATTCGACCCAAACGGTGTAATCGGGCTCGAGCTATTCGGACTATACTCCGACTTATTCTCCCCTCCACTACTCGAATGGCTCGACCCGCTCGACCTCTTTCCCTCCCTATCCCTGTCCCGCTGGCTCTCGCGCTGGCTCTCCCCACTCATCTTATACGCAGACCCAGAGCTCGAGCTCGTCCATCCGTGCGCGCCCGTCGTGGGTAATGGCGGCGGTGGCGGCTGCGATGCTTGGTTCCGTGGCACGTACGCACTAGGCTGCGACGCGCTCCTGCTCCTCAACGGTCCATGGCTCTGCGACTGCGAATGCTGATGCTGATGATGTTGATGAGCGTGCGGGTGCGGGTGTGGATGGTTTGAAAGGTGATGCGAGTGCGGGTTCGGCATGCCAGGCATCTGCATGTTCGATATCTGCGGCGACGCCGCCCCACTCCTCGACCCGTCCGAACCCGCCGCACTAATACTCCCACTCCCACTCCCTCCTTCATACGTCTGCCTCAACTTCGTCGAGCTAAACTGACTCTTCAACATCGGCCTCCCACCTAACACCGGGCTCCCTCCCCCACCCATCCCCCCACTCCCCGAAAGCTGTCTCGGATCGTTCTGCCCAAAGCTCGAATTGGACACGAAGCTCGCCGCGCTCATCGTCGAGTTCAATCTTGGATTAGATGGTCGCGGGGCCATAGGGAGACCGTTCATCGACATCGACAACGGGGGCGCCATGGACGGTAAATTCGGACTTCCGTGCGACGCGTGGTTATTGTTCCTCCACTGCGACAACACCGCCCCATTCACATCTTCCGTATACGCCCTCGTGCGTTCCGGTTCGTTGTTCGTGCCCGAGGACGAGGCGGATGGCATAGCGGGCACCGTCCCGCGTCTCGAGTCCAGTGGTGTCGCGCGTCCCGAAGAAGGAATCATCACAGGCGGATAATCCTCATAATCGTCGTCCGCATCGAATCCATCATGTGGAGGATAACCAGCCGGGCCATTAACAGTCCCGTACCCCCCAGGACTGAACATCGGCTGTTCGTCGCCGCCGCCGTAGGGGTTCGATTGGCGGCTGTATGCCCGCGCCGCGCCGTTTCCGTACGGATGCGGCGGGAGCGAGGGCACGAGGTTGGACGAGATCGACATCTGTTTCTGGTGGGGGTCGGAGGCGTTATAGCCTTGGGGTGGGAGACGGAGCGCGGCGGGGTTGGTCGAGTTGCCGGCTTGGAAGGCGGTGCGGGATCCGGCGCGTTCAGAGGCGCGTCGGGAGGCTAGGCGTTCGATGAGTCGTTTGATGGAATTTTCCCATAGTTTGACTTGTTCCTCGTTCCGACAGCGAAGCGTGAAATACTCGAGGTCGTCGTCGCCCTTCCACCAGACATTCAGCGAATAGGTACCTAGATCACCAATCACAAAACCAACAATCAGCATCCACAAAGAAACGAGCCAAAAGGAGGGGGACGACATACCCGCGGTAATAATAGACTTCGCATCCGTCACATTATTCAGATAAATCCTTCCCTTCAACAACAACGGCGTCGTCTTCTTCTTCGCGCCGCTCACCCCGGGAGCAGTCTGCGACGCGGTCGGCGTCTGCGGCTTCTTCAAAATCGAATTACTCTTCCCGACCTTCTTCCCGTTCGCTCCCCCAGGCGTCGGATCCTCCTTACAGCACAATATAATCCTCTCAAACAAAAACACGTGATACTCCCTATCGACTTCCGACTTGGTCACGATGAAGATATTGTCGAGCAGGAGCTCGCCGAAGGACGTGACATGGTGACCTTTCCAGTCGTCCACGCGCGACGCGAGGTTTTGCACCGTCTGTTGGTTCTCCGCTCGTCGTTGCGCTTCGTTGATCTTGTCGGTGATCCGCTTCGCCGCGGCCGAGCCTTCTTTCAGTTCGTCGTAGTACGGGTACTCGGCAGGTGGGATCGCTTTGAGCAGGGACTGGTATCAAGAGCGCAACAGACACACACGTCGTCAGCGTCACCGAATCAGGATCACCGTCTCAACTCAAGTAGTTCTCCTGCATCACACGATAGTGTGATGCTGGGAGAGCCGAACCCGAACGAGCGGGGAAACAACGGAAGCCGAGATTGGGATCGGGGGGAACGAGCTGAGGATTAGAGGGAAATGACGAACTCACGTCGAGCAATAGGGGATATTTGCAGATTCGCTGCACCGGTTTGATGAGAAACGCAGGGAGTTCCGATTTGGCGTTGATCACGTGGTTGAATTTCTGGGCGGGTGCAAAAAAGAAAAAGAATAAAGATAAACCACGGTTATCGGGCAAAGCGGATTTAGACGGCAAGTCAGTTTGGTGTTAGAAGTGAGGGTGGGTGGCGCCCGGCAAACGCCGCTATGTCCACGGAATGTGGATGACCAGAAGCGGTTGCCAGGTCGATAGTGGGAAGTGTGAAAGGCAAAGCAGAAGGGACGCGGGTGCGGGTGCATGCACTCACCTGGAGGTTCTGCTCCTCCATGAGCATCAACTCGGACGCATTGGTGTAGTTGGCGCAGTACGGCTCGTACACGGCGAACTCCTCCTCCTTTTGTTCCGAGAGAGGCAAAAAGACAAGAAGATGAAGGGTCGATTGTGAATGGAGACGCCGGAGAATGGAGAGCATGTGAACAAGGGAGGAACGTGGCGGGGGTTTGCAAGGAACATATTGAGAAGACCATATTGAGCGATGCGCTTTGAAGACAAGAAGACAAGCGAGCGATGGAAGGTGGGGCTCACGTTCTCTGTGAATAGGATACCCCATCGCATGTCTTTCCAGGGTAGTTCTGCGGTGCCCTCTACCCGGATGAGGAACTTGCGCTGGAAATTGAGGAGCTTGTTCAGATTGGGGAACAAGAGGTGTATGGTATCCTGATCGATTGTACTGCTCTGTGAGAGAGCCTGTGCGTATGTCTGGAGAAGAGTCGGATACAGAAGAAGCTTAGTCGGCGAATAGAGGTGCGATGACGACAGGACGGACCTGCATAACCTCGAGGTCCTGTACATATTTACGCTCTGTTTCGACAATCTCCTTAATGATATTGTTCCGGGCAGCTTCCTGTGCGTTTGCGGGAACAGGGACGGAAGGAGTTGTTGCGGTGAGTGACTCGGTGGAGTCCTCTGGCATGGGAGGTGAAGGAGGAGCGACTTCTGTGAAGACGCTCTCTGGGAGGGCATCGAGGAGAATGGTGATGGTTTGGATAATCTTTGGTAGACAGTAAGCGACCGGAAGAGAAAGGATGATAGAGTGTGGCGTACCTTGACAAAGCCGTCGGTTGAGTCGCGATCCGAGAGGTCAGTGACCTTGAAGCCCTCGCAGTCAGGCACTTCGTGGATGCGCATGGAGAAGAAGGCGATAGCACGCTTCTTGAGACGCTCGTCGTGAATGTTGAAGGTGGAAGGGTCTGGGTCTACGCCCTCGATGGGCTTGTAGGGAGGGGGCAGGAGATTGAAGAGGTAGCAGAGCGGTGCGCCGATAGCGAGACAGTCCCATACTTGTGTGACTGGATCAGTCGAGCGGCGAGACGAGTCAGACGGTGCCGAGAGCTGAAAGAACTCTGAGAAGCGGTCGATGGTGAGGAGACGTGCGCGAAGGATGGCGCATCGCTGGTAGAGGGACGTTGACTGGGAAGCAGACTGGTTGAGGAGGGTGTTGTGTGCGACTGGGATGTCGATCTGGACGGCGGCAGAGGAGATGATAGACTTTTTGCGACCAGCGACGGAGGACATAGCGGAAGGAGCGGGCGGGGACGCCAGACACGACGACGAGCTGGGCGTGTACGACGGCGGTGACGGTGGGCAGGACAGACGAGGGAACGGCAAGGGCAGGGCGACCGACCGAGAGCAGGCAACAGAACCGACAGTTCGGACTCCGACCCAGTTTATCCCCCATATTCCATCATTTGCAAATTCAATCCCACACCGGCCACGTCTTCCCACGCTCCTCCACCTGTTCCTCTTCCGCCCTCTCTGCGCCGACTGTGTTCAGGAATAGTGGCTTCAGTATAGCTATTGATTATATTCGCTATATGGGTCGTCTGGCCCTGTACCAGCACTGAAGGCGGCCTGCAGCATCTATGATAACCCCCTTTTCATCCATCAACAACGGAAGCAGACTGCGACCAGCGTACGTCGCCCACGGCAGAGCCCTCTGATGACCAGCACCGCTACCCGCTACTTTGCTACGGCATCGCTCAGATCTCGAGCCCCTGTACTTCCTGTCCTGCTGGCAAGTGGCGCCGGTCCTTGATCTCCCGAAGGCGCTGTCTTGTCCTCTGTGGCCCCGCCCATGCGCACCGCAGCTTCTCCCGCCCATTCTGGCTATCACTTCCTCCTCAGTCCCGTCTTGCTTGTTGAAAATAAAATTTAGTCTCCACCACACCGTTTCACGTCTATCATTCGATCTTCTTCTCGGTCGCTCGCGGGCAGAACATCCAGACACGTCATCCTCTTACGAGTCTCAGCGTTTTACGAAACACTGGCCAGCACTCGTAACTGTTCGTGGCCCCTACATAAGTTATGAGCTGGCTATCTTTCCCCGAAGGACATACTCAGGTACCACCCAACACATCTGCATCAACGGTCAACGTCCGACGTTCGACGCTATCCCCGCACTCCTGGATCTTATGGCTATAGAGTCCTCTTCAAATACCATTGCGGTAACCCGTTCCCCTATTAGAAGACATATGTTCGCCATCACTCTCGGATTACCACGCACAAATCGGCATATACTGCCGTCATTATTTACAGGTATTCCTCTGCGGCCCCAAATAAAGAATCCTTCTCTTTCTTCTACCCCTTCCTCGATTCGACATCAAAACTCTAAGCTAAGCTTATCTCGTAATCTCCATACGACGTTCCATCAACATACCACCATACGAGGACTTTGTCTATATGCAAACGCATGGTTTCTATGCTGCTGAGTCCTTGCTCGTAACCTTCACTCTCATCCAAACATCAACGCGGATTTCTCCTGCGTATAGTAAGTTCTAGCACGACCGTCGGTCTCACCGTCTTGGCATGTGTATATCATCGTGTATGATTCTACGCACATCTCTGCTTCCTGTACACCAGGATGTGATCCAACCGTACACGCACACGCACACGGTTCCTCGTTCACACCGGCCGGTCCATATCATCGTGCGACACGAAGGTTCAAATCTTCGTGGCGTGGGTTTCTTCCACATTCTGACCCTTCGTTAGGACACGTTTACTGTAAGTTCCATGCTCGGATATGACTCGTCGTCTGAAGCCTGCCTGCATGCGTGTTGGATTCGACGAGGTTCGTTACTGTCACAGTGAGGGTCTCATGCAAGCTGTCTATAGCTAGGCTTCGAGGAGTCATTTCGTTCGATTGTTCATCTACAGCCTACAGCCTACACCCATCTTTTGCGCACATTGACATCTTCGCGTCGGGAGTACATACTGTGGATGTAGACCAGATGATACTAGGGTCGAACGTACACTATAGGAACCTCTGAGCTCAGACGGTTTCAATTGTTCGATGTTTAAAGTATAAAAGTACGAGACGGTCTTCACTTCCTCTTCCTCTCCTCCATCCTCCCCAGCTCCCGAGTACATAATGTCATCCCGCCCAATTCGAACTAACCCTCTTCCAGCCCTAAGTACTTCGCCGACATCCTTCCCTCCGAACGCAAGCGCAGGCGGAGACGGACGCTTTGACTGTGATCCCCGGAGGTCCGAGCGCTTAATTCAGACCCTCTCGTGCCTCTCGCACCCCGTTCACTGGCCTCTAGCTCTAGATCTCCGAGGTACTTATATCACATCATATTAGTGGTACATAGCTAGAGGCGACCTCGAACCAACGCCACGATGTCGACGATGCATGAACATCCATGCAGCCCAGCCCAGCCCCGAGATCTCGACTTCTTTCTCGCAAGCTCCTTGCATACATACAGACAGATATAGACCTGTCCGCCCCCATCCCATCATGAATTACAAAGCTCCGTGCGTCCATACAAACTCAAAGCATAAAGCTTCAAGCTACCCGGTCTCCCCCGCCACTACATACAAAACGAAGGCTCCTTGCTCCGAGACCCGGCGGGGTGACGTTGTCTCGGACGTCGACAAGGGAACGAACATAGATGGATCCAGAACGGCGAACTACATACGACGAATAGCATATGGAGCAGAAGAGACGAGAAGGAAGATGAGTGGACGATGACGCCACAACCACCCAAGCCCGACGCAAGCGCATCGACCTCAGTCGTACCCTATCAGTGAATTCGAATTTATCTCTGCACAGAAAGAAGGAAGGAAGGTGGGCGGTGGCGAGAGTCAGTACTTCTTTAGCGTCGATGCATGTCGCCCAAATCGCTTGCCCATATCCGTCTCGCCGAGCAAGACTTAGGCTGATAAAGGCCAGTATGTTTGCCTCCGTAGGTACCCCCGGATGTTGATCTGCATCCGTTGACACAGAAACATTGACAATTTGCAGAACCATCGGGAAAGAAGGAGGATGTCGCCATTCTTCGAGCGCAGAAAGAACATAAGGAAAGTATGCCTGCACAGTGCAACCTTAAAGTTACATGTCGCGATCATACATACATCCCTTCGGTAGGATACATAGTCAAAAGTCCGGTCCCGTCACGGCGAGGACGACTCGGAAAAGTTCATGCGCATGAATTTCCCGTCGATTCTGCTATGTAAGTACTCCACAGCGACAAGGTAAATACGCACTCTAACGACATCTTTGCAACTTACATTCAGTCTCTCAAATCTCGTGTCTTCGATCTCGTCCAACGCACTGTCGTATATCCTTCAAGTCTGCATCACGATCAGCAGCGCAGTAAAATGTAGAGCACCGGACCCGGTCGGCGGTAACCACCATCATACGTTTGAACTTTGGGACATGCCAGACACAAGGCGATCATGACACTGACAGAGATCATCTAAACTTTGTGATGACATGGTCCAAGAAAGTCCATAGAGCTCTGACTGGGACGTGCTTCGTCATGCAGAAAACGTACGACGAGGTCGGTCGGGAAACGTGATATGGAAACGGGCCAGGCGAGATTGAATCGTTCGAACGAACAGCCTGGTACAGAGGGTATGCCCATTGCCGTAGCAAGTAGTTAAGCTTTGCATGAAGTACGAAGCACGAGTCGTTCGTGTGGCGTTAGCGTTGCGGTCTTTTTGTGCTTATTATAATATCTGTAGAGCGCATGACCATAAATCAGCATCGGGTTCAAGTTACGGGTAAGGAGATGGAGGAAGTGATGATACCATTCCCGGTATATGTTACCGTACCGCGGCAGCTACGGGATACTTATTGCGATGCGATATTGTTCAGATCTTTTCGGAGAAACGGTGTTTTGGGACTTTCGTGGCGCTCACCACGCAAGATAATTCCCGTTCAGTTATGTTCGACATCAGATCATGACACCCAAGAGCCAAAAGAACAAAAACACACGCTTACATCGGACATACCTCTCTATCTCCCTAAATATTCCCTCCCACCACACATAAAGTCCTCAGCAATCATATGTCCATGGATGTCTAGACACAAACTCAAATATTTCCTTCCTCATCCCCAAATCGCAAAACACCATGTACGTACACCCTTCCGTACGAGCACTAGTGACCACACCCATGCCATCGAGATTGAAAGACCGCGGACTTGTATGGACTATACCCTACTGAGAAAGGCATCCCATGGATCACGAAGCGCTGGGGTCCTGAATATTCTCGTAAAATGACGGTCTGAGAGTAATGTGAAGACTTCGAAGATTCGGTGATTCTGCTCCTTCGATGGTGTGACGCTGAGCGCCGGTGCGTCGTCACGGGAGGCGCCAGAGAAGGATGGTCTTGAAGAACAGAAGAGGTGGCGGTGGTTGTGGAGATTAGGTGGCTTACCGAAGACACAAGGCGGGTTAAAGAAGGGAAGTGGAAAAGATGGAAAAGATGGAAAAGATGGATCCGGAGAAGATTGGACGAGTCAGAGAGGAAGTCGAAGGGCGTATTTCTGAATCAGCATAGATATTCACAGGACACGGATACTCCCAAATCGACCGGGCGAATGTAAAACATGCCCATATATTCAGAGGGGAAGTCAGAGCACCTTCGCAAGCCGCGGATATTCCAAAACCGACAGGTCGAATACAGACATACCCAGAGCATCACGTCCGCACTACCACACGTATAGCATAGTACCGCAATATCCGCAGCGGAGCCTACGTCCGTGGTGAGCATCATCGCTCTACGTCCACGGCAGCTCAGAACACACCACGATTATAATCAGTACATGCATAGAGTACGGTCGAAGGAGAAACAGGACTGGAAGTACCAACTTGAACTTCACTGTGGGTCCGCTGGAACGTTCTCAAGTGCCGTCTCGGAACGTCTTCACTTCCGTGACTCGGATTCCTAGGACAATAGTAAATTCAACGGGACTGTATCAACGCTCGTCGTTCACACCGGGATCCCGTGTCAAGATCTATACTTACGAATCCGTTCCGCGACGGTGACAGAACTGGTCCGAATCGCAAGTAACTGCCTGAAGCGTTGAGATACAGATACGATACCTGATTCTGATTCGATAAATAGAAGGCGATTCAAAGGCCTGTCCAGATCCGGTATGTTCAAAAACTTCACGAGTCGGAACATGTGAGGATCTCTCGTGTACATGTTTCGCCATGTTTGACCGATATAGCACAACGATTTTCGATGGCGGGAATTTGACGAGGAGATGTTACGACGGCGCCGGATAACGTGTGATGATCAGCGCACTATTCCAGGTATCTGTATAAGACAGTTATTAGTACATACGAGTAAAAACTTGAAAAGATCGTTCCTTGACAGAAACGGAGAGGGATAGAGAGGGATGTGATCATTGGCAGAGAAAGGCCTACCGGCGGCACTCTGAATCCGAATGTTCTTGACTCCCGACACACGCGTTGGTATATTTCTGAACCGGTGGACTCGGATGTAAGCACATTGGCCTATCATTGAACTCGATGATACATGCAGCGCGGTCGAAGAGGAAATAAAATGAATGCGGTATCTGCAGTTTCATACCTGAAGTCAGATGCCACGCAACAGAAATCAGAACCCGACCCATGACTGTCGAATAGGACGGCGGCAGGGCGTTGTAGGAACGAGAAAGGATATCACGATGCACATACCCAGACATGTCCCTCCTACCCGTGTGGTAATAATGCCCACATCCTCGAAACTTGGATTCGCTCAGCCATACATCGCCTTTTCCCAAACTTTAAGCATCAGGACTGTCTGTACACATCGGGGTTCCGCCACCCCCTATTCTCCGACTTGAACTTTACCACGGGCGTTAAATACTGCGAATGTCGTTTACTTACCTCACCCAGACCTCACTACAGATACCGCCCGAACTCTCGCCCTTCGGATTCTCTTTCGTCCTCGTAAGTTTTGAGCAGTTGCCAGTGAGACGTAGCGGACGGTGGATGAATGGATGTACGCGAACTTTGTCGGAGGTCGAACCTAATGGAGACTATAAATTATAATGGAGTTATAGAAAGAAAGAAGACAGTTCGTGCGACACACCTGCAACTTGCAAGGCCTCGCCGTAAGATCGACTTGTGTGGCGTTCAACCGTGGCGAGAACCCTACAGCGCTTGCCCCCGCCGGCATTGTCAGCATTCCTATTCAGCAACAAAATGTCAGCCCGCCGGTACCGTCATTCTGAATCTAACTATCTCCAGCCCTCAACAATGATCACAAAAAAAAAGACTCACCAGTCATCATCATGCATCGTAGTGAAGGCACCAGCGTCGACGGCTCAACACCTCGAAGGCACGAAACAACCTCGGATCAGACGAACGGAGTGGGGTGTAACGTAGATCCACCAATTAATAGTTACCCCATGCACTATCCATGTCCGACCGTCCGCGGTCCGTATTTTGTTGATGTGGAGATAACTGCGACATGGGAGGTAGGCAGGTCAAGATCAATACAAATGGGCGATAAACAAAGGTGTTTGCCCAGTTGAGTGTCATTCTCCTCTTCGTAATTATACGCACAATAATGGGGACTGCTTACGGGCATGAAACAAAGTATTTGCAGACCTTTTCCGTACTTTGGAGACCAGGAAAGACTTTGCTTTGACTCCACGGAGTAAATGAACGCCAAACTGATCTGAGGCAAAGAGAGCGTAAAGTCCGAGTCTAACCCGCATAGGCTAGGCTAGCATGGTAGAAAGGACGAAATAGACACAGTCAATTGCAACGTGTCCATGATGTCTGATGTCTGATGTTGAAGTGAAGCTAGAAGCACTGGGGTAAACGCCTCGGCATGGAGGGCAAAGAGTGCATGCTATCATAGCTTGATTGGCCATTCGGCCGCGAGACGCGATTGTCCATAGAAATGTAGCGGCCGAGTCATGTGAGTGAGGGTGTAGAGGAAAGAACGAGTGTAGAATCCAAAAAAGGACGCTCTTTGATGGGTACGACGATCTGGTACATAGAATCCATGCATGAAGAAGAAGCGAGGATGCGACCTTTGGAAGCACGAGAAATTGATAAATTGATGAAGTGGAGTCTGGTGAGTCAGGTAGCAGATGGATGTGGTTGCAGCATGCGGAGGATGGTACGAGTAGAGCGTGTGATTCGTTGTTGAGCTCGAGTGGACACATAGGGCGAGAACGATTCAGAGGGAAACAGATTGGGTGGGATGGGAGGCCGGAGATGCGCCTATGGCTCGGAAAATAATCATGACCAATGACCAATGGGGGAGAAGGTTACAGTTGGAAACCTTCACGCTACGAGGTATTGACATGTGGCCCAAGCATGTCTGTTTATTTCTGGGCCGAGTCAGTCAGAAACATGTAGCAGTGAACAGAAGAGTGCGAACGATCTGATTGTCGTCTTGGACATGAAGATGGACTGAATTGGAACTTGGTAGCGAGAACAGATGTGTTACAGTCTTTGAACAATGGCCTCAACAGAAGGTCAGTTCAGAATTGCGCCCAGATCGGAACAGATTTAGAAAGCATGACATAGAACGACGGGTGCACACAGCTGCAGATACGGGAAAACAGGATGAATGAGGATCAGCACCGACATAGAGATCGCTGCCATGCCATAAAGATGTAGACATTCATCAAGGGACTGACCTCCTTGGGCCGCGAGAACCGGCGCGACAGTGAGTGGTCGCTTTGTCGACTACGCCGACAATAATCACTGATGCTTACAGGTCTATTTTGTGTCGCTGTTGATTATCTTGTAGACATAGCTACCCTTCCCCACTTCGAAAAACGCGGGGCACGTCTGATTCTGATGAGAGCGTACAAAGTTGATTCATCTCCCTGAAGGCCTGAATCATGATAAGTAGTAGTCCGATATATCTGTAAGCAAGAATAGTGATGCAAACAACGGGTGCCTTATAGAGTGTGAGCCTATTAGTGGCCGTGGCGAGAGGATCAGTAGGTACGAAGAGGCAAGCACGGCGGGATGTCGAAACTGATGTTACTTATTAGTGCGACTGAACGCTATGGGCGGGTGCTAGAGCATGGAAGAATCGGGCGTGTCAATGGCGTACGCTAGACGGGCCGATGCGGGAGTAAGATGAAGGCGGGTAATGGACGCTGTGGATGATGTTGAACATCGACTTGCATGGTATGGCTGGACAAGGAGGTGTGAATGCGGGTGGCGCCGTTGCGGAAAGACGTTGTGAGAGGGTGAAATACAGAAGTGCGGACCAAAACCGCGAGATGAGGTCTGTTCTTCAGATAGGACCTTGACCAGTGTTCTGAGAACGAGTACCATAAGTCTCGAGAGAATCCGAGCATAATCGACTTGGAAAATGGTCGTGGTAAACAAGAAAGCGCGAGACGACTAAGTCGATTGAAACTCCGCGTGAAAAGCGGGATGTTGGGCGGCGTGGCTGGGGACCTCCTTCTGTCGAGCGTCGACGAGGTCCCCTGCGCGGACCCATGGCACCAGTTCGCACTCATTCTCATTCACACCACACACAACAGCCGTCCGCCGCCACAGACGCTGTCTCCGCATCCCATGGCATCTTTCTGGAGCCCATGATGGGCACCCCGCTCGCCCTGTACGTCCACAAGGATGTTGGCGACAGGGACATCGTCGTCGACCTTATCCAGGTACGTTTTCAGGTCCTTTTGTGACCCTAGAATCACTCAGGGGTAGAGTGGCATATCGTTTATATGAACGGACGGATATGTGTGGCGAGCAACTTTGGAGTCCTCTGTCGTTATAAATTTTATCCTCTATCATTCGTATCAATAAAACGTGGATGCTGAGTATGTGTTTCAGCGCAATGGAGGGACTGTGTCTCAAAGCTACAGTGGTGTCAGCTACCTCTTGGGTGAGTCCGAGTACTCGTTGTGCTCTGAATAGTCCTTGAACGTCGACACTATCTTCTTCCAGTCGACCCACACAAAGAATCTGGTCAGAGTCTCTACCGTCAATACGCCGGCAAGAAGAACAAGATGATTCTCAGCTCGCAATGGGTTCACGAGTGTGTACGACTCGGAACGCTTCAGACATTTCAGACGGGCTGGGCAAATTGCAGAGTGACGGGCAATGAGCAGTGCGTTTCATTACCCGCATCTCCTTGTTCCTCTTTGCCATGCTGCAATCATACTCATTCTGTGTCAAGAGTACACGCACCTCCGCCACCGCCACCTCAGCCTCAGCCCCAGCCCGCGCCACAACCTCCACCACAAACGCAAGCACAAGCACAAGCACAAACCTCACCATCGCAACCTCAACCCCCTCTACATTCCACACCGCAACGCCCGCAACTCTCCCAACCACCCGATGGCCCCCAATCCCATCCACCACATCCTCCTCCCGGCCCCGTCATGGCAAATCCATATTCTCAACTCCCTCAGCCAATGCAAGACGTTCAACCGACCGGTCCTTCTCAAACTCTCATGCCACCCGAAGGCCCTTACCCCGCCTATCCAGGCTACCCACCCCCTCCTCCCCAGTCCATGCACCCCCATGCTCACCCTCATTCACGAGCCCCGCCCCAAAACTGGGAAGCACCTAACTCCATCGCTCCCGAACAGACGCAAAACACCCCACAACATGCCCATCCTCATCCCCATTCCCATCCACACCAACATCAACACCCACCTCAGCCTCAGCCTCCACCTCCACCTCAGCAGCCACATCCACAAATGGTCAGCATGCCGCGTGGGCCGTATCGAGATGATGGACCGAGTGCTGCCGGTCCTGGGTGGACGGTAGACGGTAATACAGTATACGCTCCCCAATCTGGACATGGTCATCCGCATCCGCATCCACAGCAGCAACATCATCCTGGGACGGTCGTGGCGCCACATGCGCAGGGCGGGTTTGAGTATCGGACGTATGGGAGGGATGAACAGGTGTGGGCGCCGGGGCAGTATTATGATCAGGCAACTGTATGTGCTCCGTCCTCTCCTCTAACATCTTCTCTCTTTTTGCTTCGACGTCAGGTCGTTGACCGATGCTTTCTTGCTTGGGTGGTACTTTCATGTGCAGTACGACCCGGCGTACCAGCCGACGTATATGCAGGAAGATCCTGCATCGGGACCGCCTCCTGGAGGACCATCTGCACCTGAACCAACACATGAGGATCCGACGACGGATACGCCACCTCTTACAGACGGGACCACGGCGGAATCGTCTAGGGGTCGAAAACGTGTACGGTCGCATGTACGTTTCCCTCCCTTCCCTCCTCTCCAATTTCCCCTATCTCCTTTGAAAAAGAGACTAACCCCGCAACGTATCGCTACCCTGGACCGCTCGACTGTCGACCTTCCTGTGGTATATTGTTGAATTATGAATTATAATGTATCTAGCCCGTCCCAGCGCCCCCAGCCTCGACCCTCGTGCTCAATCGACGAGACCCGACAGCACGGTCGCCGACGCCGCCTACGCGGGTGATCAAGAGCACGTATGGCGGGAATCTGTTCACGGCGGATGATATCGAGTATTTGAAGAAGTATATCGATTTTTGTCAGGAGCAGGGGATGGTGCTTAGGTTCGTTGCGTGTATTTGGGTTTACTATTGCTCTCGTTTTCGATTTGTTCCTTTTGGTGTTCGATAGCGGAGTGTTTGTGATATTGGGGATTGGTAGTGGTCTAGAGAGGCGTTACTGACGAACTGGGTTCTGTTTAGTTTGCGAGAGATTTGTGAGAGGGTGGCTGTCAAGGCTCCGCATCATACGTACGTGCATACTCAACGATGATTTTCTTTCTTTATTCATGACTGATTTTGTCTTTTTATGATATAACGTATCTAGTTTCTACTCCTGGCGTCGGTACTGCAACAAACACCAGATCCGTCTCGGAGGATACGCCATGACCACCACCACTTCCGTCGATCCCAATGACAACTCTCAGGCCGGACCTTCGACTCAACCTCAGCCCCATCCAAACCAACAACAGCACCCCCATCCTAACCACACGAACCTCGACCCCAATCTCGATCCCTCGCTCCATCCCCATCCCCACCCCCATCCTCCTCATTCGCATCCGCATTCGATGGGCGCCGGCTCGAATATCGACCCGATATCTGCAGAGTTTGGGCCTCACGATTCACATGTTGGTGCCTCTGATGACGGCCAAGGGCTCACACTTTCTTCCGCCACCGGTCCTAATACCAACGGCGCATCCGGAAATGGTAATAACAACGGAGGGGGCGGGACAGCCATCACCGTCAGTGGCGTCGGCAACGTCGTCTCCGTTGGCGGCACCAGCCTCGCCGGTCCATCCGGAACACCTCTCATCTCCGGCCTAGGTCTCAGCAACGCCGGCAACAACAGCGGCCCCGGGCCAAACGCCATTTCGGCGGCGAAAGCGAAGGTGAGAGCTGAGGAGGCTGCGGGGTTGTTGATCAGTCAGCGGACAAGGAGCCCGACGCCGCCGAGGGCGTTGTTTAGGAGCACGACGGGGAAGGGGGTGGCGTTTACGGATGAGGATGTGGTGTTTTTGATTAAGTTGTTGGAGTGGAGGAGGGTGCAGGGGAAGAGCGATATGGTGACGTTTTGGAAGGAGATTGCGCAGAAGGTGCGTTGTGTTTTTCCTTCTTCTTCTTCGTTCCTCTTCCTCTTCTCCTTTTCCTTGCTTTCTTTCCTTCTCTTTTGAGTTCGCCCCCGTGCATACAACGACGAATTCATTTCGGCTGTGCGTTTATGTTGACCTTTTATTTTTGCATTGCAGGCGCCACACCATTCGAGAGCTTCGTGGATGAAGTTTTATAGGCGACATAAACACGAGCTGAACCACACGGAGGAAGACGAGCCGTTGCCGCTCCCGCCCGAGAAGAAGATGCGGTACAGCCGTTCGGACGATATTTTGCTTGCGAGGTTCTTCCTCAATAAGCCGGACGGGACGTCGGATAAGATATTTCAGGGGTTTGCGAGGGATGTGAGTATCCTTTCCTTCCCTACCTCCCCTGCCTTTTCGACTTTTCGACCCTATCCTCATGTCTCGAATGTTGACCATTCGTCTCGTTGTTTAGCACCCGCATCATCCGTGGAAAGGCTGGCAAGAGCATCATCGGATACACAAAGCCAAGGTGGACCATCTGATACAGAAATTGGCCGCGGGGGAGGTGTTAGACGAGACTGAGCCGCAGGCAGAGTCGTAACGTCGTCGTCGGCAACGATGATGATCTCTACATTGCTAGCCGTGTCCGGTCTTCAGAGGCCCACATGTGCCTGCTTCCCGTTGCTTGGTACTCTTTTTTCTTTCTCTTTAACTGCAGCTGTATGTTTCACAATACTGTAGATCCCTATCGTTATTTTGTCCGTCACGGTCTTCCTCCGGGAAGTCAACCGAATGTGGCCCCTCTCTGGGCCACCATGAACTTTCACTATATAGTTTCGGTCTATGGCAAACGCCGTGGTCATTGTTCCTTTCTCTCGGTTTGAGTATAAAATGTGTTTCATTGTCTCTCTGAATCTTTCTCCCTCCCTTCATCTCAGACTACCACCACTCCAGCAGCCTCAGGAACGATATCGCAGGCATCTATCTTCTTTGACAGGTCGATGCTGAACAATGCACCATGCTCTTTCGATACCAGAGATACTCACCCAAGTATTCTCTGAATTGGACCAGAGCAGTAACTGCGCCACTGCTCGAGTCTGCAAGCAATGGTCTCCGATATCTCTGGACGAGGTCTGGCGCGATGTGTTTCTGGGCGATGTCTTTAGATCTCTTGGGCAGATGCGTCTACAAACGGACCACAGTGTTCCAATCGGTGTATCCCTAGTACGCACACAAGGCTTTCTCCGCAAATGCAGCACATACTCACAAGTTACCTCTTTGCCCTTCGCTCTACGCCGTAGATTTTTGTTGAACCGATCCTGGTGGAAGACTGGACACTATTCCTGAAAAACACGCGTCGTGTTCGGCACGTCAAAGATCCTTTATACTTCGATGATTATCCTTTGTCATCGGCCGCCGTGCAAGAAATCCTCTCCTCCCGCACGAGCGCCCAAATCTTTCCCAACTTGCGATCTATACGCGGCTTCATTCTGGGTTATAGCTTCGAGCCCATGTTCATGTCGAACAATGTCCTTGAAATCGCGATCGTCTTGAAGCGTCGTGGCAATCAGTGGCCCACGATCGAGGCGTTCCACAAGCGTGTCCTTCTCATCATCAATCGTATGCCGAATATAGAGCGACTGTCAATCATCTCCGATAGTCCTTTCGAAGAACTCGAAGAGGACATCTCCCTCCTAATTTCTCGTCTACCTACGCTCATTGAACTCAGATTTCCAGTGTTCTGCCTTCGCCCAACCATCACGAGAGTTGCTGCAGGCTTGAGGCGACTCAAGACTCTTGAAGTCACGCGTGAATATTCGCAGCTCGAAGGCAGTGAGAATACGACCTACTCATGCATGCTGCCGCGCGACGTAGATGACCCCTACCCTGCACTTCGACATCTCTCATTCGCGGCCCACCGTCTTAATGTCTTGACTTTCATGCGACCGCTGAATCGTCTCAACTTGACCACATTCGGATACCACATGTTGGGTGGCAATTCCTGGCTCGTCGCTCTACCTGAAGACCTGGAGAGACCTGGAGGCGGTGGCGGACTCGCTTCCGGCACTGGAGAAGCTCGGACTTTGGCTTCTCCCTCTGAATCGTGATATCAAAATGAAAGCAGCAAAGACGTCTCCAACGTTTGGCCTCGAAGTGCTTTCGTTGATCTGTCGATTCCCCCGCCTCAAGTCATTCTCCATTCATGCCGCGCATCCGTTAAACATCACCGAAGAACAGCTGTCGGGGCTTGCTACTGGGTGGACGGCCATAGAGGAGCTCGATCTAAACAAAACACCTCTCATACGTTCCCAGTCTTCGCTTCCTCTCAAATCTCTCCTTCATTTCAGGAACTGTCGAAACCTCCGTTTCCTGGGCCGGTATCTCAGAATCGACGACGACGACGAGTTTCCCTCTATACCGTCGCACCCAGACGAAGCATTGATGTTTCCCTACACCGTCATAGATCTCGGGTCATCATCCTGCAAGGTTCACTACTTGAACTGTCTAAATCCGCTGTTTCTCAGAGATATCGCGCTTTTATTTGCTGCGATTCTCAGAGACCCGAATCGTCTTCGATGGAATCATGGTGGTAGTTCCTCAGACGGCGACGACCAACCTGAGCCCGATGAGAGGACCCCATTAGAAGATCGTACACGTAGCCACAGCATTCAGAGCATCACTGCGTTCTTCAGGACGTTCGTGAAGGAGCGAGTGGTGCAGGATATGTTAAAGAGGGAGTTGGCCGCTCGCGAGAGATCTCACGCGTTTGAGCTTCAACGGGCGAGAGAGGATGTGGAGAGCCTTCGACGAGAGTTGCAGCGGAATATTGCATAAATTGATAGTCAAATTTTTTCTTACAGTAAATGATACTACTTACCTGTATGTGAGACTTATCGGGGCTGTCAGTCGTACATGCGATGGCCACGGCCCAGGAGGCCAAGTACCAGACGTGCAACACCGCGCGTCAATATCATTGTGTGAACAGGATGACATCTACATTTCGAGCGCGTTCGTTTAAAAAGAAAGTACAACTGGCGAGGGCCTCGAAGAATAAAGATCCAGAGAAAAAGATAGTACAGCAAGCACCGAACTAGTAACAGAACAATCGTCCATCTCAAATAGAGCACAGATAAACATACGACTTCCAGATCGAGGTCATGCATCATTCGAGCCGGCTTCTGTCCCGCTAGAACCATCACTATACTCTTCTCCTTCGCCGAGTGGCTCACACTCTATGGCGGACACCATACCTCGAAGAGGGTAGACATGGACAATGCGCAGACCAGCCTTGGTCAAGAGGTCGTTCCATTCGCTCTGAAGAAGGGTAAGCAAACGCTACCACATATATAGGTGAAAATGCTGCTCACAAACGATCGCTCAAGGGCGTTGAAAACTAAGGGTTCAATTACAGCATCAATGCCTCGTGAATAATCATGAAATATGGTCAACGGCCGCTTACCCCCCATCATATGGACACCCAGCGCCAGAGACATCTTTGCGCATGCCCCAAAATTCTTGGGAATAAATGGCGGGGCGGCGATGGGCGTGTAGGGGTCAGTATCGGTTACGTCCTCCAAGGATCTAAGCTGGCTGCCGTAGGACGAAGGATCGGAGGTTGTGCAAGGCGCCTGTATCGTGTCAATGATGATGATTTTGCATTTCTGCATGATAACCACCGTCAGAGACATTCCATCCACAAAAACGCCAAGTCTTACCCAAGGCCGTGCGACGCGAGCGATGTTGCCTAGAATACGGATCTACTCGACAGGCAGTCAGCGTAAGAATGCCCCACAGGCCAGAGAAAAACCTACGCAGGCATGGTCCGGCCAGTCATGACTACGATGGATTGATTAGTCGATAAGTCACGCGTATAATTCCAACTGTTTTCTCACAGGATGTAACGAAATAGGTAGACGTGATTCTTTCCGAACCGTGGTTGTGGTTCGAAGAAGTTATGAGCTTCGGTCGTGATACGCCCTGACTTCAGAGTCTCGGGAGCCCGCGCCGCGATGTTGGCATTCGCGATGGGCACAACTTCTTCTAAATCTTGTACGACGAAGAAGCTCTTCGGAAGTCTTGGTGCGCGAAAAAGCCGTCAGTGCAATGGTAGCGTTACAGAGAAGATGTTTGCTTACATCTCAGCTATCGAAATGGATAGGTTGCCTTGACCTCCACCACAGTCGATGAATGTATTGCCGTTATATTTATCCCATGGTATGTCGTTGGTGATTGCAGAATGATAAGCGTTCCCAAGTGACTGTGGTCAAAACCATCAGAATCATGGGCATAAAGGCACACAGATCGTAATTACCTGTACAGAGCTGGCCCACTGAACGAGTTCACTGGGGTTCTGCTTCATCCATGCGAAGAGCGTGAGAGGTGTTTGATTGGCGATCTGGAACGCAGTTTGATCGGCTGCCCTAGAGAAGCGCCACTCGGGATGGGTGAGTTGTGCATGCAGAGCAGACGCAACTTTCGGCTTTCCCGGCGTCCTACATCGAGTGCATGGTAGTAAGCAACCGAATGAATGGAAGAGTGTATAATCTTACATTATCCACTTCCTACCATTATTTCCCACTCGAAGCTCCAGGGCAGAGCGCGTCAAGGCATAAGTGCCCTCTGTTGGTTCGCGTAGCCAGCCCTGTGCTGCGAGGTATCGTAGAACGGTGTTCAACTTTCCAGAATCGATCCCAGAATGTTCTTGTAGCTGCTGAACGCTCATCCCTTCGACAAGCGTAGACTCCTCTGCAAGTCTATCAAGAACGCCTGACTGGACCAGAAGGTCAAGACAGGCAGTGTCGTACACGGCGCAAGACTGCTCAACGACCTTCTCGTAAGGGACTTGGAGCAGGTTCTTTAGTTGACCCTGCAGAATTTACGTTAGAAGGTGACCTTGACTCGGAACTGAGATAGTGCGCTGACCATAGCGGCTGGGGAAGGAATCGCCAATGATTGGAAGAGTGACAGTCAGCTCGAAGCTGAGTACCATGTCTTTGAAGATGTTACGCACCTAGGGCCAATCTACGAGCTTCATACAATCTAGGAGGGCATACGAAGCTGTCGCTGTCTAGTGGATGGGGAGTAGTGGCTGAGTGAGAGAGATGGGGAAGGTTGTTAGCCTTGATCTCGAGGCGGATGGTATCCAGAGCATCCACAATCGTTGACTGAAGGTAATCGAGTTCGTCGAGCATCATGATATGATGTGCTGTAGAGGGGGGCGTAGCGAGAAGAACTATGGAGAGAAGGCCGGCATTTAAACGAAATCATACATTGTGGGAGTTTCGACACGATTTGCAATCCTGAGCATGGGAAGTGCATTCTCTGCTCCTATCGACCTTCTAAATAGACAATATACGCGGAGAAGACACGCCATGAGTCAAGATTGACGTTCCGAAACCGATTGTGGAGGTGATGCCAGCAATACTTAGGCCGCCAGCTTGAGCCGCGAGTCCATGTGTCATCGCAGGGTAGCAAGCCGCGGTGGACGCGGCCTCGGACGTCGATACTGGCCACAGAAAAAGCGTGCAAGCTAGAACGCAATCAACAGCGGCCAGAAAACTCGAAAGATGGAACTTCTGACGGCATAATAGGCCTTCAATTAGTCACGATCTGGGTAGTTCTCGTATCTGTCATCCAGAGCCAGGAGCGTAGCTGAGAGCAAAAAGCAAACACTCAGTGATCGTTACTGAGCCTGATGAAGCTCCTGTTAGGCAGATATATGGAGATAGAACCCAGGAGGGTAGACCATAGAAGGATTATACTCGGTCCCCCCGATGTGTCGATGACCAAAGCCCCGGAGGAATCCGGAGATGCAAGCGAGCGCGAAGTCGCGTGAATCTGCTATAATCGAGTGTGTCGTTGTGACATCAAACCGTATAATGTCGTTAGCAAATGCCTGGAGGCTGGCGAGGATTAGAACTTCGAAGGGGTGAGTGACTGTTATTCTTTCGCGGTTGGTGCAGCCGACATTGAGGGGTACGAGGAGCAGGTATGGTGCAAACGGCTTAGTCATCACCACTTTTGTACAGCGGCCAATTTCGTCGGCGAAAGTCGAAATCCCCATTTATTGAAAGAAAATTCCTGGCACCCCCCTTGGTTTTCGGAAAATAATAAACAAATGAATTAAATATTATTATTTGGCGGGGTGGCCAAATCCAAAAGTTCATCTTTGCCAGTTTTGAGAATTTGGATAATCCCTCTAGAGGAACTCTTCCTTACATCAAAAGGAGTGTTTCTGGAAGAGGGATAGTGAAAATTCTCAAATCTCGGCCCGCGGCACCGTCCTCAACGTTGTGTACAGAAGTGGCGGCGTCTAAGCCGTTTGCACCATAGGTGTTATTAATTATGCCACCGGCGTAGTCTATGTATGTATTATGCCCGAAATTATCGAAAGTGGTCTATAAGTATAAACAAGACGTTAGCAAGAAATAACGTCATGAAGTGGGGAAAAGAGAACGAGATGTAGTGCAAAACCCACAGCGAACACTGCAAGACTGGGGGCTCAGAATTCGTCTGCACAACGGCAATTGCAATCCGCCACAGGGCACAATCCATGTGACCTCTCGCCGGCCTCTCCATAGAACCAATCCAAGATATGTGCTGCATGTCCACCGTGACGGCAGGTCTGACAAAATACGATAGCATCCTCAATGGTATCTAGGAGGTGAAGGACGAAGATAGAAGCCGCTCAGTGTCGTTATGTATGGCTGAATATGAAATGGGTTTTCGCACCTCTCAGGGACGCATTATGGTGCGCTAGTTGACCATCCCGTACATTATCTGGCACAATCGTGAGGTGCATCAAGCAAATAGAACACCTAGGAAGAGAGCGACTGCAGAAGGGACACGCAGATGGCTGCGAACAGAACGGGTTGAATTCAGCAGATACGAGCACAGCGCAAGGGTATGACGCACCCGATTAGAGCTGGTGTTGGTACTACCCTGTGGTGCACTAATGACCTTGCTACAGTAGTTGCATCTCAGCAGCACCTGCCTTGGCACCAACCCCAACGCCACAGCATCCATCTCCGCCTCTCCGTTCCGCACCAGCTCTTGCAACATATCGCCTCTCTCAATATCCAATTGACATCGATGATGGAACATCCTCCATCCATCCAAGAGGTCCTTATACGTTTCTAACCATCTTTCCGCTCTCTGATCTTTCACTTTGTGCGGATGAACGGCCGCGCCAAGGATGGCTGCAGTCTGTACGTCTCCTGTTCTGTCAACGTGAGCTTGAAGGAGATCCATACCCTGGGGGGTCAGACCTGTAACGAGAATGCCTTCGACGTCGCCATGGGAGGTGACACGGTCGGCTACGCGGTGCAGGTAGGCTGAGAGGGCTTCATCATCGAGGAACTGGAGAGCGATAGCAAGACGTTCACGTAAGGGCAGAGCTTCTTCTTCGAGAACCTCGCTCCAGTCACCAAGTGTGAGGTGTGTGAGCATGGCGCGAAAGTAGGGATCTTGGAGCCGAATGATAAGACGTTCGCAGTGACTTCGTAGGGGTTCCGGTGGAGGAGTCTTGCTCGAAGTCGAAGGCACCAGCGCAGCCAATGTTCCGGACATCATGTGGTGGGATTCATCTAGGGCACATAGGAACGCATCAGAACGCTGTGAGCATGATTACGGCAAAGTCGTTACCTTTGCTTCTCATCAACAATTCGATGGCCTTCTCGTACTTCCCGATGAACACTAACCAGCAAGCCGCTTGAGACCACTTTCCTTCCTTTTCCCACCTTCAAGACCAACATGAGCATAACGCCGCACAAAGGCCAGTAAGGAAGACTCGCCTGGTGATCTGGTACGCGATATCACCGTCTTTCAGACTCCACTTACATACCATCAATGCCAACTTCCTCTGGATGGACTTTTTCGTAGACGTCGCCGGCACCCATGCCCCGCTGTCACCAGTCATATCCAAGTCCTCGTCCCGATATTGACAAAGCGCAACGATGGCAGCATTGAAGTCGATCTGACGATCCGCTCGCAAACCACGGTCGCGACCCCGCCCTGATCGTGGACGCGATATAGGTTGAAAATCGTGCAACGCATTAAGACTGTTGAGTGGGTCGAGGAGATCAGAGTTGGTACGAGGAGCTGGAGTTGTGGTGAGGGATGTCGTGACGGTAGTGGCGAGGCTCAAAGCTGCTGAAGAAGGAAAGCCTTCCCAAATTCCTAAAACTCCTTGGACAGAAAAGTCGTAGTAATTTGTATGAAGAGTGGGTACAGAGAGGAGAGGCCGGGTGTCTGCAGATACCACGACCGTATAAGTAGAGCAGATGGCGACTGAAAATAATGTGCGCTTACGGTCGATCCACCGCCATAGCTCGATGAGACCTTTATTGTCCTCTTGGTCCTCGTTTTGGGAGGTCAAGACCGCAACATTTTGAGACGGCTGTTCATCAACTTCAGCCAACGCTTCAATACCTATTGAAAACAGTGAACACTTACACGAGCCAGTCCATACCCTTTCGCGGCTCTCCCTCTCATTACCATCGAGATATCCTCGTCCACCACGCTTTGAATCCTCTCCACAGGTCTCCGCTTAGACCTCCCAGAGCTCCTCGCCCTCGAAACAGACACCTCCCTGTCCTTCTTACCCTTCGACCCCTCCGATATCCCCAGGCCGATCCTGTTTACAGTCGAGTGACCATTCGTCTGCGTATAAGGATGTGGTCCAGGTCTAGGGGCAGGAGAAGCCCGCAAGGACGGTTCCCCAGGTGCCAGATCCGCTATTTGAAGCGATTTATTATGTGGCGAGGGAGGTAAACTTCGGAATGGACCGCTGGTACCATAACCATGAGGGTGTTTCGCCACGGGGGTCTTTAGACGGCTTTGTGTGGGTCCAGGTGAACCGTGGAGAGGTTTAGAAGACTGAGGGCGGGGAGGAGACAGAAGCGCAGGGAAACCATCGTCGTCTCCCCTGCCGAATGTCGCGGGGCTAGCAGCGCCACCGTTTGTGGATGCAGGCTGCCCTTTCGCCCGTCCCCTTGCCATGAGCGAACCCTCGTCGCCACCGGGCCCCAAGGATCGCCCGTCGCTGTGTCTCGTGGACAGTATTCTGTGGTCTTGGGGAGCAGGGGTTCCGATGGTAGATGGAGAAATAGCCCATGGCTCTAAAGGCTTATCGCCTGGTGGGATTCCTGAGAAGACGCGATAATTTGTGGCGGCGGAAATAGCGAGGGAGCCTCGCGAACTCCAAGGTGCGTGTGTGGGTATGTCGTGGATGGAGGCGGCTTCGAGATCGCCTTCTTTGGTCACTGTCATGAGCGAGGACGCAAGAGGGTTCCGTCTGGTGCTGGGCATAAGACAGTAGGATACGATGGGACTCGAGAAGAGTTTTGCTATGTAGGGTTTTCACACATCAGGGATGTCATCGTAGAATTGAAGTGCCTGTTTAGACTTACTTCGTCGGGTGCCAGCCAGCACGAGGTTGTACGAAACCGCCGTCTGCTGGTCGCCTTGAGCTATCGAAGTCAAACTAGGCGGCACTGCGCTCCCGGCAGCAGCACTCCCACCCCAAGAGAGCATACTTGTCGGATTCGACCACGACAACTTAGGCGTCCTCTGCTGTGGTTGGATCTGGCCGGGAAGATCGCCAGACTTGCCCTGAGCGGGCGACATCGTCGTCGCATCGGCGGTCAGAATATCCCAAAACCGAACGTGTGACGTATCCTTGAGCAGTGTGGTGAGCACGCCATGACGGACGGTCGAAAACTCGATCTCAGCTACGGGTCCATTTTGTCCTTTCGCTCCGTCACCCATGGCGTCTCGACCAGTAAATGTGAGCAATGGAGTGGGGAGTTTGCGTGCGTCCCAGATCGTGACGACATTGTCGCCAGCTGTAGCTATGCGATGCGGGGAAGATGGGTCGGGGGCAAGAGCATGAATCCGGCCTGCGGCGTGGGTGACAGCGGCCCCTACGTTACGAAGATCGAAGAGACGGAGCCAGCGATGAGAGACACCGGCTGCGAGGAGGTGAGGGGTATTGGGAAGCCAGGCGAGGGTATGGACAGACTCGGTGGGCGCATGCGCTTGTAGGATGCGTGGATCAACTCGAGGACCAAGTTCGCCCCGTGGAATGATGGGATACGGACGAGTAGGCGAGGAGGCATTGGGAAGAATAGAAGAGGGGGTACGAGCAGGGGACGGTGGCGGGGCGTTTGGCGGATGGTGCAGACTCGAAGGGGACGGATTTGTTGATGAGAGCGTGGCTGTTGTGGTTTGAACGTCCCAGACGACGAGACTGGAGTCGCCACGGACTTTGTCAAGCCCGACAGCAAGGTATTGAGGTGCTATCGGACTGAATGCGAGGGCGGTGCACGCGCGTGAGCTCTTGGGCGGGAGGAATGTGTTGGGATTGCTTCTGAGAGCGCGATCATGGCCATAACGGTTAGCTTCGATCCGCAGGAGGTTTACGTGGCCTGTGTTCAGGCCGACAGCGAGGAGGTCATTATATTGAGGATCGGAAGACCATGCGAAACACTGGCAAAGATATATTATGATTAGTGTCGTATTTTGGGTAGAAAAAGACAATATGAACCGGGCCACATCGTCTCTGTTCAACGTGATGCGGCCAAAGTTACAGTTTTATACACTGCTGTGCCTCAAAACAGACAATAAAAACTGCACTAAAAACTGCATTCACTGAACACACGTTGATTCAAGGGGGTTTATCATAGATATTTGTGCCACAATAAATGCTCTATCACGCCAAACATGAGGCATAGACGCACCTTCATGTGTTGCATATCTTGCTGAGATGTAACATGCCGAATGGCTGGTTCATCCGGAGACCATTCATAGAGAGTAATTTGCGATCCTCCACCAACGATGAACCTATTCTCTCCGCGAGGGTGCCACAACACTTTCTTCTCCGATTGGGTCAACATGGTTCAGAGCCGGTCGTAACCTGAGAGTACAACAGTGACGAGTAGATCGATATGCACAAGTCCGAGGGGTATTCCAGGTCAGAGGAGTAACTAGACTAGCAATCCTGGTTTTTTCGACCAACTGGTCAACACGCGATAGCCTGAGGCCTGGTGGCACGAGATAGTGTAAGGCGTCTAAAATTTTCAGATTCCCGTCAAAGCTGGAGAGAAAACGTGCCAATATTCACCGCATAACGCGTCCTCGAACGACTTTTGGTCTGTTGTCGTACTTCAAGCCTACAGATTCTCGACTGAATAATGGGATGACAGAGGTAGGAGGCAAGATGCGCCAAAGGGCTGAAAGAGGAATCCGACGCATGGGGAAGCAGCGGGAAGCGCGTCGCGTCTGTGGCGCTGACTCGGTGGCGTAGCAAGCCTTGTTGATTCCGAACTACCACCATCTCCCTGTTCCTGCAGCTCCGTTCACCATGGAGAACCCTCATGCAGAAAGACAAGCCATACTGCTCGAGCGTATTGTCAAGAGCGCTGTACGTCTGCTCCTCGGGTAACACGTTAACGTATCTAATCGCCCTGTTTTGAACGGTATAGGACAAGTGCACCGAGTTGATCCTCGAGTTCAACCATTGCATCCAGGTGCCTCTCTCCGCGCTCGTGCATCCCAAACCAGTCAACTCACATATCAATTTTGAGCTGACAGGAGATTCTGCGCGCGAATGAGAACGTGAACATCGCCGCTGATCTTGTGACGAAGTACCGCAAGAACGTGCAGTACAACCTCGAGGCCATGCGAGATCTTGAGGGCGAGGAGGAGCATGCTACGATTTCGTGATTTTTGTGAGAGGACCGAGATCATAATGTGCGTTTAGACTTGCTCTTGTCTATCTTATGCGGGTGAGCTGACTGTGCAGTCGGGTAGGTACTTGATTCTGTACTATCAATATTCCACTACTCTATGGATAGAGAAAGGCAAATTCTCATCGAGGCTCGAGGGTCTTACCGTTTATTGTTAGCCATTGGTATGTCGTTGCTTCCAACCCTCCAAATCCCATCATCCTCAATATTAAGAAAGGCGCGGTCATATCTCCCGACTGTATCCCGCTTCGCAAAACGCTAGCGCTTGATTTTCGGCCAATATGCAACCATACGTCAGATCTGTCGAGATCTACATGTATACCACCATACCCGAATCTCATATTCATATCCTTCGCGCCTGCCAGTTAAGGACGACGTCCTGCTAAGCCAACATACCTCCGACCTTGTCATGTCAGGGCCACAATGCTTATGGGCATCATCTCAGCGTCCAACAGGACTTCTATTGGTTGTGATGCGAGCTACTGATATCCGCTACGTTCAGCCATGAAATGGAAGTTCCGGATATTCTTAGTGAAGTCTGTGCTCGGTCCCTGGTCACTGTGGCGTCACCCGAGCGCCCTAAGTTAACTAAAGTCAGACACAAAGGATCCTCCCCATCCTTGTTTCAATCTCTCTGTAGGAATCTAGGTTCCCTGACCCTACGCACAGAGCCAGGGCTCACTTGGCCGTGCAACCCTCTGCCACAAAGCTGACGAAGATCTTCTCTGTGTTAAGAACCATTCGAAATGTCCTACGGTTAGCCATCCAGTCCCGGACTGGTCTCCTAACGTACTACCCTCTCTGAAACAGGTACGACCACATGTCTTATTTATGTCGAGATTGTCTGACCGACTTTCGTCAGGACGTCACGGTCTTCTATATTCACCCATTCGATGTCCGCGAATCATATCGGCATTCCAAGTTTCCATTTACTCACCGTACAACGCCCAAGCGGGGTCGACTCTCGAGTAAGCCCATCTAGCAACAACAACGGTCACTCCTGTACGGGCACCCATACCCGCTGCCCACCTAACCAGATCCTCGCACTTCTTTCGTTCATTCTTAGGCTGGATAGTGTAGCGTAACCCGAGCGCCCTAAGGTTACATACCAAAGCCAGACACAAAGAACTACTCCCCATCCTTGTTCCTCGTCCATGCGTCTTCAACTAATAATGTACCACTCTCTCTGAAACTGAAACAGGTACGACCTCATATCCTATTTATGTCGAGACTCGAGATTTTCTGACCGACCGACTTCGTTATAGTAAGCCATCACGGTGCTTTAGTACCACCATTCGATGTCCGCGAATCACATCGGTGTCCTAAGCTCCCGTTTACTCACCGTACTCACTCGACGCTCAAGCGGGGCCGACTCTCGAGTATACTTATCCAGCAACAATAACGGTCACTCTTTACGGACGCCCATACCTGCTGCTCACCTAACCATGTCTTCGCCCTCCTTACATTCTAAGGGCACAGCTAGAATCCAGAGACCATGTCCTGAATCCCTTGAAGGAGTCAAAAGGTAGGTATCTTAGCTATGCACCCTGATAAACAACATTCCTTCCATGTGAAGAGACCCTCACAAGGCGCTAGATCCGACCCTCGAGAAAAACAAGCTAACTTATCAAGCGTTCCACATCCGACTCGGTGACCGCGTCTTCTAACGATAACTCAAGTCGATATACTTAGATACTAACAACCGTACAGACCGGCCTCCGAGGATTTTCGTCTCGCTATCCTGGTAACTCAGGTAGGTATACGTACCCGCAGTCGCAAGTACTCAACTGTTACTGTTACACTTCTGATCCGAGCTCATTGACGACTAGCGCTTCACGAGTGGTGTGCACGATAACTGATTGCGGCGTATACGTGGGTACGTGTACATACGATGCTTGCAGAGCGCGTATCGTATCGGCAGAGTATTAATATGATGTCTGGTGATACAGACGCGCTTTGGGAATCGAGTCTGTTCGAGATGCAGGATTGTTCAGGTGGTGGGATGTTTATCTAACGATTTCGGTCCTGAGACCTGATCAGCCCGAATCGCTATGAAGCCTCGAGAGCAGAGGCGCAAAACACGAGCGTGGGTGAGCAGGCCTTCTGAACTTGCCACCTGTAGGTAAGTGTTGCGCTTGCCCATGGAGGAATGGCAAACACACACACACACACATAGAAGTTCGTCTCGAAATCTTGCGATTTTTCAAGTCGCGCTCAAATTTCGTGCTTATGAATGGCAGAACATTGACAGATCCAATTGCTCAAGATGATCATTAGCAAGTCAGGAAGGACTTGTTCGAATTGTGGGCCTAATCAACAGGCAGAGACCATACACATAGACCGAGAAGGATGGTATTCGATTTCTGACCGTCAATGCGTGTTTAATTGATGACGGTGGAAAGGATAAGGCGCTATTGATTGAGGATTATGATGAGGGTGTGGACAATGGACATTCGCTACAATACCCTGTACGTAAAGTACGTTTGGGAAAGGATGTGAGTACTGTAACTTCCCTGGGTCGAATCTGTATACACATCATCAAGTGCTAGTCTCTGAGGAACTATCCATCGAATAGAGCCTGACTCAAAGGACGAGCGTCCATAACATCCAAAATATCATCGAGTCAAGACGTACTGCATCGAATGAACACATTGACAACCCCAACCTCGAAGCACCTTACAGTGGCAGAAGTCAGTACTAGTGTACCGAGACCCACTCCCACACATGAGGCCATGAACAGTGCAGTGTGACGATGTCGAAACCCGAGCTACGATCTCGACGTCAGAGACTTCTCGTTGGGTCACATATCGAAATCGCCATGTCAACATGACGGTATTTATGACGATATCATATCAATGCGGACGACGAGGTTAGACAGGCCCCGGGACGCTTCACCAAGGGTCTCCCGAAAATTTTGGATATTTGAGGCCTGAAATTTGCCATTTTCCTCCCGAAAATTTGGATATTTATGTACTTGAATGGCCGAATCCTCCCGGAGTTTTGGATATTTAGGGTCTGAAGTGGAGAGCCAAGTGGCCCCGGTCCGGTGCCACTCCGGATTTTCAGGACACCTTGATACGCTTATATAATAATGTTCTTCTTCTCAACGATCTCAACATCGGCGAGCACTTTAGCTTCTCGCATCCCACACTATGTCAGCAAACGCTTCGGAGCTTTCGAAGCTCGTGCCCGATACACACACTCGCCAGATCCGCAACATACGCTTTGACCGTGTCGATATTGCGCCGTTCATCAACCATGCGCAAAACTGTATCAAGATTTCGAGCACTCCGCTGAATGTCGTCGGTGCTTTGACACAGCAAGCACACGAGCCGGCGAACTTTCTCATCTTCTCTTCATGGCTAGGTCCCCTCGCTGAAGGTGCTGTGCACCCTGGCTCCGTTGGTGGAACCTTCGAGGAACATGTCCTTGCTGCGGTGCGTTCTTTAATGTCCAAGCTTTGATATCTGAATCATATCTAATGCTTTTCTCATGGTATCCAGTGTCCGAACGAAGACAGGCACGAGATTATCAGTCGGAAGAGATGGGCATTCAGGCCAAGAATATTAACAGCGTCAATCTGCTAAAGAAGAAATGCTTCGTCATCATGCGCAACAAGTGGAGTGGAGGCCGCTTCTTTATCGGCGAGGTTCTTGACCTCTACACAAAAGGGTCAGGTCGACATTGTTCCGTGGATACGGTGGACAAAGCTAGTGACCTATCCTATCTCTCTCTCCGTGTTTATCTTCCTTTGAGTCTCGTAAGTGTTTTCTGCCAATGTCTACATTAACATGTCTGCTTGTGATCTAACAAATGTCCGTGGACTGCTCAGTCTCAGGGCGTCTACGACGATGATTCCGACAGCGAAGATTCTGAAGATGAGCCACCAGAGTTCTCCTGCCATTACAGGTCTTTTGAGCTTCATACACATGGTAAAGGCTCCTCACTCTTGTACAATCTCGGGCCGCACATCTTTAAGACTCTCGATGCCGATCCGCTTCGATCAGTGCTCAAACCCGTCGTTGCATCAAGGTGGCGAGCATTCACGAAGCCGGTGGTGAAGAAGGCCTTGGATAAGCCACTGACATTGAAGATTCCGGCTCGGTCGAAGGACGGAAAATAGAAAGATCACCGGATATCCATTCTCTCTCATGTAGCATAGAGCTGTCTATCCATAGTTGTTCATAAATTGTTTCACCATTTCTCCTGTATAATAAAGACCCAGTCGCATTCGGGCCACAGATCCGTGACATAAGCTGTGACACCTCATAACAAAATTCAGATATGTGACAAGCCTTCCCGACTTTTGGATATTTGACCCCTTGTGTGGGCGAAAAAAATTGGATATTTGACCCCCGATTTGAGGGGTTTTGGCCGGGAGACCTCTGGTGAAGCGTCCCGGGGCCTGGTTAGACCGCGATTGAGTTAGTTCTGTTGATTGTTGATTGTTGCTAAATCGCTGCCGTATCTCGGTAGGGTAAGTAACGGTCGGTGCCAGTGTGTTGTGTCCGGTTCTGTCGATCCGCTGGAGGTCACTGGCTACCATCCAAAGTTCAAACACCTTGGATCCTGGGTCCTCTGCACCCATAAGTACATCGCCGTGACCATCCAAATCAACATCGTCCCGTCCACTGTGACTCTGCCTCTGAAGCCAGATGGTGCAAACACAGTAGATCCGACGGTGATTCGAGTTGCTAGATGAATGGACCAGGACCAGGACAAGGCATGGACTCGGATCCATGCCACCTACATAAGTAGATGAGCCCATGATCCGTCGGTGATTTCGTTTCTCAATCAAGATTCAGAATTCAGGGATTTAGAAAAATGACGACCGACGAACGCGCGACCTTTGAAGTTTTCGTGCTTACTGACCGCATAGCCAGAATGTAGAACGACCTAGAGCATCGTCCATGGCGCGGGTTTTCTCGTCGTAGACGCCCAACTTCGACCTCCGAACATAAAAAGAAAGAAAAAAATGGGACATCAAGACCGTGAAATGTTCATATTTCAATGGCGGGACTCGAGTCTCGGAGGGAATGAGGATATGGCGTCGACTACGGCTACGGCGGGCGTCGGTGTTGCTGAGAGCGCTGAAACGAGTTTAGGAAGACGCCACAGAGGGAGTGAAAGTGATAGATATATGATAGAGTAGAGTGAAGGGGGGTTTGGGTCCTCCATAACGATCCAAGCTATACCGGTGCACAAGGGACGTGCACACGGCCGTCTGAGCGTCTATTACGAGCTGAGCGATGGCTGTGGCGTGCACAGTGCACAGTCTAAGGAACGATGCGAAGTTGGTGGTTATGGATGAACGACGAACAGATACGATGGAGGGTGAGGTTGTTGCTGCATCCGGGCGAAGATCTGTCCTGGGTGTGTTGGGCGGGATGGCGATAGATGGATAGAGATGGGACAGGAAGAGAGAAAGACCGTTACAGTCAGATCCGTGTGTCGGGGTCGGGGAGTGCCACGCGCACGTGGTGCCAAGCCGCTGCCTTGGAACACCGCACTCCGCCCAGAGGAGAAATAAGAAATGAGGAGGAAGGGAAAAGAAAAACGCGAAAAAGAAAAGGCGCTTATGAGAGTTGGCCGAAAGGGGACAGGCGATCTGAGTTTGTTGGCGATCAGTTGGAGAGGGATGTGATTTGGAGCGAGCGCCGTTGCTGTGGTCGGAATCTTGAAATGATGGACTGGTTGATGCAGCCATACGCTCCCCCGTATCTTTTCCCCCTTCCCTCATTCCAACCTGCACATCATACATGCCCCGCCGCCCCGCCAGCGCGCCTTCCCCGAGAATGCCAGGAATCGTGGACGATGCAGAGGCCAGGCGCATATCCAAGTCCATAGACGAGATGCTCAAGGTGCGTCCTACAATGCATGCCCTTCGCCGATTGCCCGTTTTGGGAATGGTGTTTTTGATGCGGTGCTCGTCGTCGTCTGCAGCAAGAGCGGGAGGGGATGAAGAAGAAGCAGTCCAACCGGAAAGACGTCAAAGGTGAGCTCTCATTCAGTCCTGTCTGCTTTCCATCGCAGAATTCCAAGCCAGGGCTTTCCCCGAACATGAAACTCATTAAATCGCTGGATCTGCTTCAGTCATGCTCCTCGGCCAGGCAGAGTCTGGCAAATCGACACTCCAGAAACAGTTTCAGCTCTACTACGCCTCGCAGACGCTCGACCGCGAACGGCCCTCATGGCGCCCTATCGTCTTCTTCAACGTCATCAAGGCCGTCCGGACCATCCTCGAAGAACTCGAGATGGAATTCACGAACAACCAGACCGACAACTCCTTCTCGTCCCTAATCAACCTCGGCCCCAACTGGCCAGATGAGATCGGCCGGATACGCACGAAGCTCCTACCGCTGATCACCATCGAGGACAACCTAGCCTCGGAGCTGTCGAACGGCGTGAGCGTCGCGGGTGGCAGATCCGGCGTCTATGTTCGCGCAGGCTGGCAGGCGCTCGTGACGCCCACACGGTCCTGGCCACTTTCCGATATTCGCAACTCGCTAGCGAACGCAAAGGCGGGCGTGATGGCGAATATGGCCGCTCGGCAATTGCATGATACGAAGTATGACGTCGAAAGGCTTTGGCGTCATCCCGCCGTCAAGGCTCTCCTCAGGCTACGCAAACTACGACTGGACGAGTCTGCATCATTGTGAGCGTTGTTTTGCTTTCGTTGAGTGGGATGCGGGCCACACGTCGGGACATGTGGCACATGGGGACTCTGTTCCGGCTCGGAAGATTGACGAGATCAGCCAGGAGGGCCAATGTCTCCACCCACGGTGTCCACTGTCCTTCCACTTCCATTTGTCGAGCAAAGTGGACTCGAACGGCCGCTTTCGACTCTTCACATGCTCCGAGGGGCGGTAACTGACAAGCCATCCTTCTTTCTGATACACAGCTTTCTGGAAGAGGTACATCGACTATCAGAACCGGAATACATGCCCACAACAGGTACCTTTCTCCCTTCCTTTCCTCCCCTGTCCACATCAAATTTAGCCTCGACTAACGTACCTACTCGGGTGAACAGAGGACATCCTACACGTACGGCTACAAACGCTCGGCGTCACAGAACACACGTTCGATATCAATTTCGGAGGGGGGCATTATAATTGGTATCTTTATGATGTCGGTGGGGCTGTGAGTGTCATGTTCATGTCGATTTTCATTTCATTTCGTTTCGTGGCGTTCTACACCCTTCTCCTTTTTCCGACTTCTGTCTTTACGTTGCGTTCTCTACCTTCCACCCTCTCATTTGATGTTGGGTCTCGCATCTTTCTCTCCGCCGTATACCATCCTTATTAGTGTGCGGTGTTTCTATCTGTTGCTTTCCGGAGCCGATTACTGCATCATCATGTTACGATGCTGCCACTTTCTACCTTTTGCGCATCTTTCACTTTGCGATGCCGTGACACTTTTACTCCATTACTCCATTTCTATCTCTCCTTCTCCCTCTCCTCTTCCTTTTCTTGCGACCCTCCTTGTGACCTTCTTTGGAGCCCCCTTCCTCTTTCGAGTCCCATAGCAGTTTGAGGTTACGATGACGCTGATCGCTGATCGTCTTTTCTTTGTTTTATGTTTTTAGAGAGGACAGGCAAGTGATACCCCTCACCGCAGACAACTCTCCCTTGAAGAGATTGTTGGAGAGGAAACTGATCTTTTCTTGTTTTTCTTTCCTTTCGGATATGATCTATCATCCATCGTTCAACGCTCGCTATCACATCTCGGTCGTCTCGACACGTCACGTCAAACACCACGAATATACGGACATACTCCCGGCCTCCGACTTGGACTTGGACTTGGACTCCGACTCCCGACTCGTACTGCACGAAACTGAACTCGAATTCGGACGGATAGCGGCACGCATGGGTACCGTATTTTGATGATGGTCAGTCCGATTATCCTTTTTTGCGTTTTTTCCTTTTTTCTTTGGGGGGGTTTTTTTTGGTTCGATCGGTTTTGAGTGGCGTATTGGAGGCTACGTATCCCCCTCTAGTTGTCTGTCCGTCCGAGACGTACATCGCTGGTCGTTGTGCATGGTTCGATCTAGGTCTTCACGCACGCTCTGCCATCTTCCCCAGCCTCGTCCTTCCCATCATCAGCATCTACACGCTTCGTCAGCTCGTCCGTTTATGGGCTTCTATGCCCATGCCCATGCCTTGACGAACTTCGTCCTCTTCGACGTTCGGATACGAAGTGACCGATTGTTTTGAGACTGAGGCTGATACCGTAGGGTGTACGGTTACAGTTACAGTTAGATGTCGGAGCTAGCTCGTTCGAGAGCGGGCGAGCGGGCGATTCTCGCATCTCATCCTCGCTCCCGTCTGCTGAAGAAGTGCTCACGAGCGGTCAGATTTCTGATCGTGCCGTTCGCCGTTCTGATCATCGCGCCTTGGTCTGTCTGTCTGGCTGGCTGGGCTGGGATGATTTCTGATTCATGATTCATGATTCATCATATCACTGTGTTATGTTGTGGTGTGATTCAGCATGGCGATATATCATATCATGCTTCTCCTTTGTTCTGTTTTTGCGTTTGTGGGCGTTTGGGCGTCTGGGACGCAACTGTTCTCCCGGTTTGGGGACGTGTTTTTTTTTTCCGCGTCCTTCCAGAGTCGTCATAAGTCACATCATGCCCTCCACACTCGTGGCACGGTGCGGGGGTTGCATGTGCGTGTGTGGCCTGCGCGGAGTGATAATAGGAGATTTGGAATTTGGAATTGGGATGGATGAATGAATGAAGGGGAGGAGATGCGAGATGCGAGACGGGAGAAGCAGCGGAGTGGGCATTGATAGCGAGCGAGCATGTGCTTTGATGGGATGCTGGGATGATGATGTGGATGTGGATGATCTCGTTTTTTTTTTCTTTTGGATTTCTTCGCCTTTCTTTTTGGATGGCGATGTCTAAGAAAAGAATGGGAGGGCTATGTTTGCGTGGAAGCGGTACCGGTGACGGGTGGAGGATGGGAAGGTGCGGGTGCGGGTGGTGTCGTGGATTGAACTTTCGTCTGTCTATTAACTTATCGGGCGCGAGCCTGTTATTCGGCGATTCGATTCGACTTGATTTGGGACGTTCTCGTGTTCGTGTTCGCTGGGATCTGCTTTGCGCCCCTTCCTTCATTCTTTGATTTCTGTCTCTTTGCTTTTGGGTTTGCGCTTTTCGGCGAGTGACGTTACTGACGCTGTTTTTCCTCCTGCTTTCGTTTTGTGTAGCCACCGCTATCATCTTTTTGGCACCTATCAGCGCTTTTGATCAGGTGCGTTTTACGTTCTTCCGCCTTCTCTTGTCCTTCCTTCGTTCTTCAATCTGCATGTCTCTGTGGCGCTGTGGGCTATACATAACAGTCATCGCCACTCTACCCCTTCCAAGCTTTCTCAGCTTGCTTCTTCTCTTTAATCACTTCTCTCATCCCGCTTTATTCGACTTCCATCCGCAATCCCACCTATCTTCGTCCGTCTCGCTCCTGTCCTTTCACCGATCCCTACTCCTTAATATGCCGCCAGGCACTCGCCCTCCCGTTCACGCTGTGCATGCATTGCGTTCTTTTCGTATGCGCGGTTCGCTGATGCGATGGTTCGCACTGCTTTACTATTGTAGTACCTGGAAGAAGACCCGCGGACGAACCGGATCGACGATTCGTTGCAGCTGTTCACGGCGATTTGTACGAATAAGCTGTTGAAGAATTCGAGCTTGGTGTTGATGCTGAATAAGGTGCGTTCCTTGACTTTTCTTTTTCGCACTTTTTACCACGCATGGAGTCAATACTGTTGGGTTTGGGGTTGGAGGCTGACTGAACACCTTGCATAGACCGACCTGCTGAAGAAGAAGCTACAATCGGGGATCGTGGTCAAGAAATACATCACTTCGTACGGCGAACGACCGAATCGGTACGAGGACGTGTCGGAGTATTTCCGTGCGCATTTCTCGCAGGTGCATAAGAGGAAGGGTCAGAGCCGACAGAAGCTGTTCGTGCATTTCACGTCGATGTTGGACGTCAGTGCGACGCAGAAGATTATTGTGGATGGTACGTTCGGTTTGAGGGTGGTTGTGGAGTGTGGACTATGCTAATGAATTTGTTTGGGGATAACAGTCAATGAGGCTATCATCCGATCGTACCTGGGGCAATCCGGACTTGCATGATCGTATTGACCGCCAATGATCAGCACCAACCTCGCCTTGCGCGTTTGGCCACCTCCCCAACCTTCTCCACCCTCCACCTACCGATATTTACTCACGATGCGACATCCCTTCCTGCCCCGCCTCGAATGGGCGGTGTTCTCCCTCACCCTGATCGTTATGATGTCCTTTCACCCATGCATGCGCCCACATCTAAGTACCGTATCGTACCCCATCCTCCGCTCTATATAAGTATTCTCGATTCTCGCATTCCTCTGCTTCTGCTTCTGCTTCTTCTGAGCCACGCCCAAGCCCACGCCCGCATCACACCTCTGCTCTACAGTCATACCATCGCAATCAATCTCGATTATTTGTTTCTCCTCTTTTCTCTCTCTTTTCTCCTCCTCCGATCATTGCCATTTTCCTCTATTCCCTTTACATACGTGTTTTTTGTCAATGGTTTGCCTTTCCGTTTAAACATTCCGTCACGTTTATGAGATGAGATAAGATGAGAGACGTTGCTCGCTGCTCGTTGTTCTTCTATTTTCTATTCCCTTCTTCCTCGTTCGCTTGCTTGCGCGCCTGCCTGCTTGATTTGTATTAATTCGTTTTTTGCTACCCCTGGTTCGTTAGTTGGTTTGTTGGTCTGTTGTTTGGTTGTTTGGTTTGTCGAGGTTGGTATTTTGCTACTTTGCATGCGTGCAATTATCTCAGTCTGGATCTTGGTTCCACTCGTTCCACTCTGGTTGGTGTGTGACTGTGACTGCGAAACGGGGAGAGATGAATGACGGCTGGAATGTCAATGAACTGGGTGCCTGGGTGAAAGAGGAAGGAAGGTTAGTGGAGCAAGAGTCTGGGATTCATATTGTGGAAGTGGTGGGCATCGATTATAGGTATAATATGGGAGGGTAGGATGGATTTATGGCCTTGAATTATGGGCGGCCTGGTCAGTCGAGACTCGAGGGTGAAAGAGGGAGCTGGCTGGTGAATATTTAGGTGCTCTGCTGTGGGGATGTCTCGCTGTGGCGGTGGCGGCTGAGATCGCCACAGTGGCACCAATTTCATTCAGGGTGCGAAAACATTACGTAACTAAAATTTGGGAGATGCGGTTTGCAGACGTCGAGCACGCCGTCTGCAGCGAGCTCAGCCCCCTTTCTCGTCTCCCCATCCTCTTTTCACCCCTTTCAAAACCCCGCAACAGAACAAGCGATGTCGACGAGCGGACTGAAGGCGATTGCGCCGGTGCCTACGGCTACCGATTTCTTGGACATTGTGTTGTCCAGGACGCAGAGGAAGACGCCCACCGTGCGTTTTTTTCTTCTTGCCAGTATATTTGGGAGATAGGACTTGAGATTTACGGTATTGGTCGGATGCTGCGTGGTGTCATGAATGGTTGGCCACGATGCTATAGGTCATCCACAAAAACTTCAAGATCAGCAGGATACGAAACTTTTATATGCGCAAGGTCAAGTTCACGCAGGATACATTCGACGAAAAGCTTTCGGCCATTCTTACCGAGTTTCCTATGCTCGATGTACGTTATACCTCGCCCTATTTACGATTCTATCCTATGACCCTGACGCATGCTTGGGTTGTATAGGATCTTCACCCCTTCTTATCCTCCCTCATGAACGTCCTTTACGACAAAAACCACTACAAGCTCGCGCTCGGCCAGCTGCGTACGGCTCGCCACCTCATCGACCAGGTAGCAAAGGACTATGTCCGTCTGCTCAAGTTTGGAGACAGTCTTTACCGGTGTAAACAGCTCAAGAGGGCTGCGATGGGTCGGTGCGTACTTTCCACCCTATCTTCTCCTACCGCTCTCTAAATCGGTTTTTGTCTCAGTATGGCTACTATCATGCGCCGCCAAAAAGATCCGCTAGCCTACCTCGAACAAGTCAGGCAACACATATCCCGTCTGCCCGCCATCGACCCCAACACCCGCACGCTCCTCATCTGCGGCTACCCGAATGTCGGCAAATCGTCCTTCATCAACAAAGTCACCAGGGCCGATGTCGACGTTCAACCGTATGCGTTCACCACCAAGTCGCTCTTCGTCGGCCATCTCGATTATAAGTACCTGCGGTGGCAGGTGATCGATACGCCCGGGATTTTGGACCACCCGTTGGAGGAGATGAACACGATCGAGATGCAGAGTATTACGGCGTTGGCGCATTTGAAGAGTTGTGTTTTGTACTTCATGGATTTGAGTGAGCAGTGTGGGTACACGGTCGAGGCTCAGGTACGTTTTCACTTTTTTCTCAGCTCCCAACCCTCCATTTCCCTCTGGAGTCCTTTCTCACCGACGTGAACTCATGGCCCCACCTACAATAGTGCAAACTCTTCCACTCCATCAAACCCCTCTTCGCCGGCAAACCCGTCATGCTCGTAATCAATAAAATCGACGTCACCCGTCTCAACGACCTCGTCCCCTCCACGCGTGCCCTCGTCGACGAAATAATCACCGCCCCCGACGTCGCGCACATCCAAGTCTCTTGCTACTCCGACGAAGGCGTCATGGACCTCAAAACCAAAGCCTGCGATCTCCTTCTCGCGCAGCGCGTGGAGAACAAGCTGAAGGGAAGCAAGATCAATACGGTGATCAATAGGATACATGTTGCGCAGCCGAAGCCGAGGGACGACGTGGTTAGGGAGGCGTTCATACCGGAGAAGGTGAAGGAGAGGAAGAAGTTCGAGAAGGATGATCCGGAGAGGATCAGGTTGGAGAGGGACATTGAACTGGAGGAGGGAGGACCGGGAGTGTATAATATGAACATGAAGAGTGCGTTCCCATACTCTTTCTCCGTGAAACCTTATGGTTGGTATGGTTGGCTGATGTGTGTGCTGCAGAGAACTATATGCTCGCGAACCCGGAGTGGAAGGAGGATATCATTCCGGAGGTCATGAACGGGAAGAATATTGCGGATTTCATCGATCCGGATATTGCGGAGAAGTTGGAGGCGCTCGAGAGGGAAGAGGAGAAGCTCGAGGCGGAGGGATTCTACGACAGCGAGGAAGATATGGTACGTACTCTATCTTCGCCCTCATCTCACCGTTCTGCTCCGTCACCCCACCCCCATCCCTATTTCTTTCGGATTCTACTACCTTATCGTATCCGTGTCCATTCAACTGACTGAATCGACGTAATACAGTTCGACTCCGACGACGAACGCGAAGCCGCCGCCTTCCAAGTTTCACTGATCGCCAAAGACGAATCCCAACACAAAAAGAAGAACAAAAACGGGGCCAAGCTCCCACGGACACACGCCCACCGCACACTCACACAAATGACATCCGACCTCACCGCCGCGGGACTCGATACCTCAAGACTGGAGGAGCGGGCCATCATGCTTGCGAAGGTGAAGGGCGCTGGTGTGCAAGGGAAGAGGAAACGCGGGGATGATGATGAAATGGATGTGGATATGGATGGGGAGGGTGATGAGGCGCCGGAGTTGATGGACGGAGGGGAGGAATGGATGGATGTGGATGGAGAGCAGCAGGCGCCGAGGAAGAAGACCAAGACAAATGAGGGACGTGTGGTGGCGAAGAGGGAGCCGAGGTCGAACAGATCGTTGGCGGGTATGCGGGACGATGTGGTGCGTTTCTTCACTTTTCCCCTCCTATTTTCCCGAGTTCTACTGTGTTTCCTTCCTTGCTATTGTCTTCTTTGTACTGAATTTTTTTTCTCTTTTCTCTTTGGGATGTTCAGCAAGCTTCAAAAGCGGTCAAGCTGCGGAACCTTGGGCAGAGGGAACGCAATATGCAGGCCAAGGCCGGCGAGGGCGATCGTACGATCAAAACGAAAATGGTATGTCTCCCGTTCCCTTCTATCATCTCTTGTTTGACTTCAATGCGAGCACAACGTACTGACTCTTCGCGCTCACACAGCCAAAGCATCTGTTCGCTGGCAAGCGGAAGGGCGGCAAGACTCAGCGCCGTTGATCGCTTCCTTATCACCTTCAGATTGTTGTGCTTTACGTCTCTCTTCACCTCATTCCATACATCTCTGCTCCTTCACGTTTCTCTTCCCCTTCGTTGGCTAAGTTATGTCGCGGTCTGTTTGAAGTCGTCCGTTACTAGGTTGCGCTCCTTCGGTCCTGTCCTATCTGCTTGTATCCCTCTTTCGTTTCCTTTTCGCTAGTTATTGACTTGCTGTTGCACGCGTCTGCTGTGTATTCCGTTAGACCCTTGTCTTCTCTATCGCTTTCACTTTTTCATGTCAGGCTTGAGGCTATCACGCCGTGATTGACGCGACATCTTACGCCCATCAATCACACCGTGGGTTACAATCAACCAACCAAAAACATTGTTATGAATTCAACATCCGACAGAAGAGAGAGCAGAGAAAAAAGTTTTCCTAAGTGTGTATGTACAAGGGAACAAAGTCGAGAAAAGCAGAGAAAAACAAAACAGAAGAAAGGAACAAAAAGATGACGAGATAGGTAGGAAGCAACAAGAGAAAGGAGAAAACATGAGACGAGAGTAAGGGGAGAAGGCTCTATACAGTCTGAATCCAGCATGTCTAACGAAGAGACAGCGAATAATATCCGAGGTGGGTAGAAGAGAGTGAGAGAGAGTAAAGGGGAACAACAAGATCCAAGAAATCTTACAGGCTTTGACATCGACAGGGGTGGGGAAGTAAGTATGTAGAAACGAGGAGAGGTAAACAAAAGAAATTCAGTCATAGTCGTAATTTATTCACTAAGGCGGGGAAGAGGAGTGATATAGATCCCTGTAGTAGATAGGAAGGAATGGTATCTTCAGGTATTTATAGTATATAGGCTCAGAAGAATGAGTAAAGAGGGCGAAGACTGAGGGGGAAAGCAATAAATGAGGGAGAGTGGGGTGTGATATATACCAATACTGATGATACAACATGGCACAGTTATATAGGCCTCGCGATCCCCATCCAACGCTACCCAGGGAGCACGATCACGATCCACGACGAATACGAATCGCCGGCATGGGGTTGGCCAGGCGGACAATTCGGGTGACCTGGCAGAGGCTCACAAATAAGGAAGGGAGAAAGGAAGAGACGTGGAGGCATATGTAGATTTAAGGTGTCGCTATGAGCACAATTCATAACAGGTCGAGAGAATCGAATCAAGGAAGTCAGAACAAAAACCAAAGCATGGAAAAAGTAACAAAAAATGAGAATCAGAAGGCCAGAACACACAGAAACCCAAAGTCACCGTTCAGCTCGGGAAACCAAGTCCAGAATTGAAGGGCAAGGGTCAAGGAATGCGGCACCAGAGGTGAGCGGAAGAGGGAAAGGGAATGAACACGAGGGCATTTTAATCCCATTCAACCCTGAGCCCACCGGGTCCAGAGGGCTGTTGTCCAATAGGGCGTTCAGCCTCGCGTCTCAGCCACTTGAGCGTACGCTTATCATCCTTCAGATATGGTTCAAGGGTCGCAAGGCATTGGCGGTTGTGCTCCTGCAATACGTAGAGAGGGAGTCAGCACGATTGTAATGAGGGAGAAAGGGGAAGAGACGCACCCTAAGCCATTCACGCTCTTCCTTAGTGAGCATGCTCTCTACAACCATCTTCGTCTGGATAGGGACACAGGTCAAGCGCTCAAAGCCGAGCCAAATGGGACCGTTAAACTCGCGCTTCGTCTGTTTTGTGAACACCGCATATCACGAGGACATGTCACCAGTAAGATAGATCGTGGGCGAAACAAGTGTGGGATGGATAGATGAAGTCAGTGGTTGCGCTAAGCGAGTGAAAGCGGGCAGGTAAACGCACCGTGACGGGTCGGACGACGAGCATGGATTCAATGCGAACTCCGAACTTCTCTGGCATATCTATAGAACAAGAAGTCAATTAGTACATACACGACCATGAAAGCATCGTCGTCTTCATTCGCATCGATTCCAGGATTGGATAAGGGTAAGAGAGGGAGGGAAAGACTTACAGAAGCCAGGCTCGTTCGTGAGGACGTGGTTAGGCTGGAGCGGGACGTCCTTCTCGTAGAACCCCGCACCCTCGTGAACGGTCGTGAATGACCCAACACCGTGCCCTGTTCCATGCTTCAAATCGCGAGCAAACATCAAGTTCAGCCAAGCTTGCATGACTACTTGGTAGCGAAGGAACTTACGGCATAGTTCAGGCCATCCTGCCAAAGCGCTTTCCTAGCGAGAACGTCAAGCTGGTACCCCACAGTGCCAGTGGGGAAAATAGCGCTGTCGATCGCGATCTGTACCACACAAGCACCAACGGGAAACAACAAATGAACAACGCGCAGCAAGTCAGTCGTCAGAGGTTGAGCGAATGACGAGGGTCTGTGGAGAAAAAGACACGTACGTGGCCTTGCAAAACACGCGTGAACGCTTCGCACTGCTCGTCCGTGGGGCGGCCAAAGTGGACGGTACGAGTGGTATCACAAGTTCCGTCGCGGTATTGACCTCCTGAGTCACTAATGGCGGATAGCGGGAGTGTGAAGGGTCAGCGGAACGATCAGAGAGAAATGGAAGTGGAGAGGAGAGGACGTACTTCAGATATGGGGTATCCTTGTCAATGAAGAGACAACCATCCTTCTTGGGAGAGTAATGTGGTAGCGCTATGAATCACGAAACGATTTCCGCACGTTAGCCGCCACCCTCATCCAAATACAATGTGACAGAGCAGGGGAAAAAGAGTAAGAGACGCACAGGCATTAGGTCCAGTCGCCGATATATTTTCGTATGCGAGTCCCATGTAGTTCTTCGACTTCCTCCTCCACTCCGTCAATCTGAACGCAGCCTCCCATTCCGTGATCTGAAACCCAGCCGAGATCTTCTCGTCCAGCCAAGCAAGGAACTTGACAAAACAGACACCGTCGCGAATATAAGCGCGCTTCATTCCCTGGATCTCGACCTCCGTCTTGATGTTCATCATCTGCAGGATCTTGTTCGGTGCGACAGCGTAGCGCATGTGTGTGAGCATGAGCGAGATGGCGTAGGATGTGTCGTCCGTGATGAGAACCTATACGGTGAGGTGATGTAGTTGGGCGTCAGTACAAACGTCAGATGGACAAGAATGCTGGGAACACGAACTTTCCCATCGCCCCATTCCCTGCGACGGAGGAAGGTCCAGATGTCGTTGTACTCCCTGAGTTCGACCTTGAGCTGCTTCAGGTACTGCCGGATTGGTTCCTCAACCTTGACCGATTCGATGAAGAGGACAGTCCTGTCGAAACCGATGTATAGGTAGGCATGGAAAAGCGGGTTGAAGGGGATGTCTTCTCCTCGTAAATTGAGCACATAGGCTAGTAGGCGCCAACACCAAGGTATCAGTTTTGAGTTACGGTAAGCGCGGAAAAGGGGGAACATACCAATAGAGGGAAGTGCGGTCACAAGAGTTCCAACGGGCATTTGGTCTGGCCTGGGAGGCGATCGGGAATACGAGGGCACCGAAGGAGGCTGAGCGGCGATCCAGTCTCTTACTTCTGCTAGCTTCTTCGACGCATCTCTCCCTGCACAGACAGTCAGCTGCTGCTCCAGAAACTTCCATCGTAGAAACACATACCGGTGTACTCTATAGGTTGCATGTAGATGGTAGCCTTGGGTCTCGCAGCACGATCCTTCCATATCAGGTCGATGAGGTTCTGGGGAGGGTACGAAAGCCTGGATCCTTTCTGCTGAATCTTCGACTGGAGGGTGGAAGCTTTCGAGTGGGAAATCATGCGAGCGTCTATGCCGATTTTGCAATCGCGGACGCGGTCCTATAGCGTAGCATGAAGTGATGAGCGCTACTGAGGCAGAATGATGAATGTATTCAGAAACACATACGACAAGCCAGTCAATCCAGTCACGGGGGCCCTTTGGTGATCCAGCCGGAATCATAATCCAATAGTCAGAGTCGAGTTCCTTAGTCGCTTGGATCCAGTAACGAGAGTCAGTGATCAGGTAGGCATTATTCATGGAGACGACGGCCTGCCCAGCAGAGCCAGTGAAACTGTTCGGACCTAAGAGTGAGCTAAGATACGCAGCGGCGAAGGAAATAACGAGCGTACCCAGACAACCACTGCCTGCGCTTGTCACCAGGAGCGACATACTCGGAACCGTGAGCGTCCTCAGAGGGAACAATACTGCACCACAGGACACAGTCAGTTCGCTGTTCACTCCGCCTGCACAGGTATGAGAAAGACAAAGAGCCACTCACTAATAATCCAATCCATCCCTTGCCATCAACTTCCTCAGCTCTCCCAACCGCTCAGCAGTCGGGACTTCTTCATGAATAGAATCCTGATATCCCTCCTTGCGTTCTAAACCCGAACCGACCAAAGTGCTCGCCGATTCACTTCCGGAGAGGGACGGACGCTTAGAGCCCTTTGATCCCGAAGACGATCTGCTTCCGTTGGATAGCTGCGATACCTTTGATCGCTGAGAGTTGTAGCGTTGCAGTTGTTCGCGCGGTGGAGGTACGGGGAGCGGAGGGAGTGCGTCTTGTGGATAGACGGGAAGGATGCTGCTGTCGGAAGAAGTACGAGGTAGACTCAGCATGTACTCCTTCTCCTTCTCCTTCACTCTTCCAAGACCCCACCCGTATCCCCATCCTTTCTTCGAGAATCCCCGAGTAAGTTTTGCCCCGCTGGATTGAGTGCGATCCAGCTTCGGAGTGTGCGAAGGGACATGTGAGTACGATTCCGAGTCCTCAGAGAGCGCGTGCCTCGTTCCCGTCCTAGATCGTGCATCGGCTTTCGATCCTGAGTTCATCGTACGACCAGACGAGAGAGAAGTAGAGCGGTGAAGCTGATGCTGCGAGACATGAGTACCAGAGCTCCCGCTCCTGAGCGAGGGCTGTGAGTGTGAGTGAGAACTGCGCTTCGAGTAAGACGCCTTCTCGTCCGTCCTGTCCTCTTCGAAAGTAGACATCTGCTTCGCCTTTGACTTGCGCGAGAACGGCAAGCACATCGGCGGTGGTGGTGGAGGCGGCGGAGGCGGAGGGGGCGCCATGATGGGTGTTGATGACAGAGATGGAGATGGGGCTCCTGTGTTGGGTGGCCTGCTATCGTGTACGTTGACCTACACGAGGCCGCTTGGGCTGAGATGGGTGGGGGGAAGGAGGAGAAAGCCGCGAGAGAGCTGGCCGCTGTGAGTCTCACCGAAACGTGAAAACAATTTGTCGGCGCCTCTGCCTCGTGCGCAATTTATAGAGCATGAGGTAAGCAGATCCGGCTTCCCGGCTTCTCCGTAAACTTAAGCCTCTTGGGCCACACAACCCCTGTTCGATCGACTTTAGCTCTGTCCTCGACGTGTACAGTTGGCTCCATGCCCTACAGCTGTGTTGTTGATACAGCGGTAACAGGAACGCTGTGGAGACTGAGGGGAGCGAGGAATTAAGCGTACACAAAACACCATAAGGAGAGTGATCTTACCCTTGACGGATCAGCAAATCCCTCACCGGAGAGGTCAAATGGCGAGTCTCGCAACATTGTCGACATTCCGGGCAACTTTCGCTCCACCGGTGGCGAGAACATGCGAGAACAACCCAGCAAAGCGCAGAGGCCCTTGGAAAGCTACTCAAAGCGTATAGCCACGGGATCAAGTCACTGGCAAGGCTGCTAATGTCCGGCACCGTATTCCGACCTCGTGTAATTCCGTGCACCCGCACAGTTTCAGAATGGGCGATAGGGATGCATCGAGGACAACAATGTCTGCTTCGCTCCTTCGTTCGAGGAGCATTTTGTGCCCTTCTAACGGTCGGTCCTGTAGAGATGCACGAATGTGCGTTCTGTGGGATGGAGAAGAGAGACAGTGAGCCACTGGAATGCTTCGTCTCGAGATCGAAAAGGTACACGCTGGTGGAGTAGATGCGTATAATAGTGGGATCGAGAACCCAGACGAAGTCACGAAGGGGACAATGTGGTGCTTAAGCGTCGATTTGTCCGATATAGATACTCGCATTCGCACGAAGTTAAGAGTGTACAAGGCATTGGTACCGAGGGGAGAACCCCCGTGTCAAGATTCATCTGTGATACCTATAGATGAAGAGTGTGCCAAGATGTACATGGGTACCGTACCATGTTCTTGGACGACACTATAAAAGACGAAGGAAGGGTGGGGAGTGACCTAAAATCAAAACAAGGGCGCACACAAATATGGGCACATCAGCTCTGGCCACCCGGCTCGTGCTGGTGCCCCTCCATCGTGGAATGAACAGGTACGGAGCAGTTCGGCTTTCAAGGGCCTCTGGCAAGTTGATAACTTGACTCGATGGGACCTGAATGAAGTCACTGTTCCGGACCAGATAGAAATCTGGAAAATGTCGCCTAAATTTCCCCTCGTCATAGATCCGGTCCCTAGCTACTAGCTAGTAGGGAAGCCGGGAACATTAGGCGGCAGAAACGACTTTGTAGTTACTCCGTTCAGCCTCCGAATAGCGAAGGTGCGCCACCCTAAGAAAAACAGCGAAAAGAAGTACCTTCGTGTGCGAAAACACTCACAAGATTAAGGCCTTCGTGGCGTGTGTATCCTGTCGCGTAGATCACAGTCTTCCCATGTTTGTCCTGCGCCTGTGTGAGCGTACTCGTCGAGTATAGCATATAAAAGCCCAAGGAAAGTTCATCACCTTGCAACCTAAAATTATACCTCTTCTAATATAAGACTAAGAACAGATCGTGGGCCTACAGTGCCTGTGCCGACCAGTGTGCTCGTCAAAGGATACTGTGTCTCAGACTCGGGCCTGGTGCCACATATGAAGAGAAGGTGAGGTGATGATGCTGCAGTCGGTCCCGGGACTAATGAGACTGGAATATATCTGCTGAGGAAGAACAGAGGGAAGAAATCGATCCTAAAGGTAGATATATGGGTTCTCGTCATCCACCATTGTCGCTGTGTCAAGAGCAGCCTTCAAGTGTGGCGAACAAAACGGGTGTGCGAAGACGTCACTTTTACGCTCGGACCGGGAAAGTCCGTTGCGGTCGACGAGGACGATGTGGGAACTCTTGTCCAAATTTCGACCACTACCACCACCACCATGCGCTGCCTCTTGTATAGAGAACAAATCGTTAGAATGTGTTGCTCTTGACATCCGGTTACCTTTCGTACAACAACTGTACCCAACCCTGCGAAGCTACCCTTTCCTTCCGTTCGTCGCTTGTGCTGCTACTCCACACCACTCGTTGTCCCGCAGTATGTGGGCGTTGGGATTGGAAGGTGTCGGAGGACTATCGAAGTGTTGTAAACCAATACACGGCTGCCTTTCAGAATCTGGATCTGAGTTAGAACCCTCAAAAAACTGGCTTTACGGCACCCGAACTTCAAACTTCAAGCTTCAAGCGTCGCCCTTTTCGGTGTCCTCCTTCACTAATGATAGCGCTCGCGATATGGACGATACCAGACTGGCAGTCGATGTCGAAGCCGCCTGTAAACTTCCCTAGGACTCGTGTGTAGTACACTAACCTGCTTGCCGCTCTAACGTCGGGAGGATCAACGAAGCTAGCGTCGGTCTCCGTTGCGCGGTTCTGCGACTCGCCACAGCTCATTTCGCGAAGTGGAGAATCATTCATGTAAGATGAGCTTTGCCGCACCTTGTATCATTAATCGAAGCTACGAAGGTATAAGAAGCCCGCTCTCCTTCTTTCCTGTCATCATCGTCGACGGCCACCGTCGACTGCCAGCTCACTCCTTTCAACATATACCCTACTACTTCGGAATCGGTACTTCGTCTCCTCCTTCCTCCTTCCTCCTTCCTCCTCTCATCCCCTCTCACTCACTAACCGATTCCCGACGACTTCTGCCTAGGTTCAATACCGGTGAAACAAACATCCGTTCTTCGGATCCCATACACTCTTTTGAGTCTCTAGCTCGTCCGGACGCCTTCGTCATCCCATCTTCAAATTTCCCAGGTCTATTTTCCGGGGAAACCACGCTCTTTTGTCCAGAGTTCCTCCTATCCGAGCTTGTCCTCTATTCTTTCCTTTGAAGCACCTATCCTATCAAATCACCTCCATAATCGTCCGCGCATAACTTCTTAAGACGCCCTATACCACCGAGAGATCACCCCTCGTATCATCCCCACTTGCTCCACCTGTGCAACCCTTCTGCCCTTCCTCCTGGGCAAACGTTCCTCGATTACTTTCCACCAGCAACCTTGAAGTAATTTGTTGGAGCAGCAACTATGGGCGCAGGACCTGCTATCGTCTCCAAGAATGATAGTTATGCTGGGTTGATCGATACTTCGAGACCGTGGTGGAAGAATGGCCGTACGTTTGCTCCGATATTTCCCGAGGACTTAGTTCACTGAGACTTGCGTCGTTGTACGAAGGTCTGATGGCTCTGAACGGATGGATTCTCTTGCTGTGCGTCTCTCTTACGCACGGTTCGTAGTCTGAGACGGTATTATGAACTAAACCATTATACGTTCTTAGTCTGATCACATCGTCGACCAATGGTTATGATGGGAGCATGATGAGTGCGTACAAATTTCGTGTTATGCTCTTCTACAACGGCTAAAACGAGACATGTCTAGACGGTCTTCAATCCCTGACCCAATGGGAGAACGATTTCAATAATCCAACAGGGCAGATGGTGCGTCAAAACGCACCATCGCCTCCCCACCTCATTCTGTCTTTCTTTTTCTAAGCAAGCTAAATCCGATTTTTCCATCTTCAGCTCGGGCTCCTTAATGCCATTCAGGTACGTCGGGCTCCTTTTTTCTACCAAGGCGAAAAATGTCGTGACACCACACCGCGTTGCAGAACATCGGCTGCCTCTGCGCATACCCCTTCTCTCCATACGTGACAGATGGTCTCGGTCGTCGTTTCGCCATTCTTATGGGAGCCATCATCATGCTCATCGCCACCGCACTCCAAAGCGCATCCAACTCTGTGAACATGTTTATTGGTGCACGGTGCGTCTTCTATTCTCGATTTTGGCTGTGACTACGACTGCAACTGAAGAGTGGTATGTACTGATTGACGTTGGTCTGGGTCTGGATAGGTTCCTGATCGGATTTGGTCTCACGTTCGCGGCGTCGGCTGCACCGTTGTTGATCAGTGAGATCGCCTACCCATCTCAGAGGGGACAGGTCACGTCAATGTATAACAGTATGTGGTACCTCGGGAGTATCATGTATGTTCTGCTCTTCGCTCAAGCTCATCGTGCCCTCGACCCTTTGCTAATTACACCATATATATGTAGTGCTGCTTGGACCGTAAGCGTTTCTATTTTGGCGCTAGGGCGGAAGGATAGTAGAAGACTTATGCACCGGTATAGACTTTTGGCAGTTTCACGATCCCGACTAGCTGGGCATGGCGTATCCCATCTATTCTCCAAGGCCTCCCTTCGGTCCTCCAAGTTGGTCTTATATGGTTCGTGCCCGAGGTAAGTCAAATCAACCGATCTTCACACCCATCCTTTCTAAGACTCACACCTACCTGATACCTCTCTCAGTCCCCACGTTGGTTGGTCTCGAAAGGCCGAGATGCCCAAGCCCTCAAAGTTCTTGCGTACTACCATGCCAATGGGAAACAAGACGATCCGCTCGTGGAGTACGAGTTCTCCGAGATCAAGACCGCGATTGAGCTCGATCGTGAGGTTTCTGCGAATGTCGGGTGGTTGAGCTTGGTGAAGACGCCGGGGAATAGGAGGAGGATGAGGATCATTGTCGCGTTGGCATTCTTCTCGCAGTGGAGCGGAAATGGGCTTGTGTGAGTACCTCTAAGGTGGTATGGTCCTCTTAATGCGAACTAAATGTCGTGATTTGGAGTATAGATCATACTGTGAGCTTTGAAGAATGTTTTGTTCGATTGTCTCTGTACTGACTAGCGCGGTAGACCTCAAGCGTGTCTGTGACTCTGTCGGAAGTAAGTCCTCTTGTTGCTCACATCTTGTATGATCACCGACGTATTACCACCTTCCCTAGTCACGGACCCGACGATCCAACTCCTTATCAATGGAGTCCTCAATATCTTCAACTTCTTCGTCGCCATCTTTGCGGGCCTGCTTTGTGACCGTGTCGGCCGCAGGAGACTTTTCATCACCTCTACCATCGGTGCGTGGTCACCGATCCTTTCCAACTCCCACATAGATTTAAGAGGCCGATTTTCTGTGCAGGTATGACCGTCTTCTGGGTGATTCAGACTATCTGTCTCGCGCTATACTCGGAGCACGGGGGCGCTGCGATGGGAAGGTCTGTCATTGCTATGATTTGTGAGCGAATGTCCCTTGGTTTCTACATGACACTAGACGTTGATATTCGTTTGTTTCGACCCGCAGTCTTGTATTATGCCTTTTGTGAGTACACTTCACTGCCTCAAGGATATATGGTACGATTGCTGATTCTCGATCTATAGACGACGTGCGTCGAACTGTGTCTCGCCGCTCCCTCTCGGGAACTAATTTCCTCTCCCACAGATCGCTTTTACACCCCTAATTGTCTCGTGAGTCTTCTTTCACCTCCTTTCATCCTGACTGGTGCTCAAAAAACGTGAATGCAGATACTCCGTGGAGATCCTGCCGTTCGCCATTCGTGCGAAAGGCTTCGTCGTCTTCAACTTTATGGTATCCCTCTCTGTCATCTTTAATCAGTGCGTACTCCTGAAAGTATAGCTTCCTTCTCGATCACTAATCAAGGCCTTTCTCTGCAATGTCTAGATACGTGAACCCGATCGCCCTCGAAGCGTATGTCTCTTTCTCCATCATCTGATTTTTTGAAATCTAGTGAGGCTCAACTGTCATGTATTCTCTCCCGTAGGCTTGGGTGGAAGTACTATGTGCGTGCAATACATCCATGAGTTGTAGAGCGAGAGCTTATTCCAATGAATTTTATAGCTGGTGTACGCGTGCTGGCTGTTCGTCGAAGCCATCTTCGTGTTCTTCTTCGTCGTCGAAACCAAGAACGTGAGTAACACCTTAGCTTCGTTATCGGATCCTCGAAGCCGCTGACTGACCACATCACCCTTGTTAGAAGACACTCGAAGAGACCGCTGTGTACGTCTTCCATCCTGCCAGTTTTTTCATCCACATTGAAACTGATAATGTCTGCTCTTTTGCTTACTTAGCTTATTCGACGGCCCAGAAGCTGCCGAGAAGATCTCGCACGAAGGCATGGAGGCCGTCGACATCACCAACACAGGTGCGGATTCGGAAAGCAAGAGCTTCAGGTCAGATGAGAAGCATACTGATGTAGTCGAAGTCGAGGGTAAGATGAGCTCTTCGTCGGGTTCTGATACCGTACGGGGATCGAATCGGTCTATGGAGAAGTGAGCGCGTGTCGTGGATTCCTCCGTCGTCCACATATTACCGCTCGATTCTCTCATCCTGCTCTCATCCGACACCCACCGCCCTTCCTGCTGTTATATGGCTATTTTCGGTCAGTAGAGGAACAGCGAGTATACCGTTACCGTTCTCATTCACTTCATACCGTCCCCGCCATTGCTTCGCCTCAGTTACTTTGCTCATCCCTGCTCGAGTTGTTGCTCCGTTCCATATACGTTCTTGTTTATACTTCTGTAGCTGTGCTGCGGCGAGATTCGGCACTCGTAAACGGCTGTTCGTCGAACACGACTTGTACATACGTTTGCATGTTCATGACGGACTTTCATAGCCATACGCATAGTAGATAAAGCTCTGTTTAGTGATTCACAATGTACATCACGCTTTGTTCTTTCGTTCTCTGGAGGTCTGGGGAGGTGGAGACAGCTATTAGAAGAGATCTGCACCTACAGCAAGCAGTCTATCGGTACGAAGTTGGGTAAGCGTATCGATGTCAGACTGCCAGTAATGCATGAATATCATCCTGCCAGTTTCCATATCGAGTTGTAACATCGAACAGGAAGTAACTACTGTAAATTATTTGTTTGAACCTCTCGTAGCTGTTGTCCGAGACTCTCGACCTGTTCTTGAGCCCTACGAAGGTCAGAGACGTGATCTCTCTGGATATTCGCCAACTCTCTTCTTATTATATCCTGCTCTACCCGCTCCTTCACGATCATCCTAAAGCTCACAAGGATGCTCTGAGCGCTGTGTAAAGGGTAACCCATCACTAGCCTTCCTCCATTGTCAGGGTCTCTGTCGTAATCTGCGCATTTTCGAAGCCGGGCCGAAGCCCATTTCAATGAAAGTGGGTCTTTCAGTATATCGGCGAAGAAGAGGGCGACATTATTAAAGAAGAAGGGTTCACTGCGATTGACCGTGCAGGGCGAACTCCCAATGTCTATGGCGATCTGAGGGAAGATGGTGGTGTGGTTGGGGTAAATTGAGACGGAGGGTATCTCGTCGTGCTCGATGCGGAGGTACAGCCCGAGGCTACGAAGGTTGCGACAGGGTGTGAAATGGAGCAACGACTTTAGGGGAAGCGACGACTTGGATTGTACGACTGGCTTCTTGTTTAGATCGAGTTCTTCCAGCGTCGGCCATTCGGCTATCAACCCTCGCAGCTGTTCTTCGGTGATGTCAAGCGGGTGTATGGCGCGTATAGCGAAGGACCTGAGGCGCGGAAAGCGTGACACCGACGAGAAGTCCTTGAAGCCAATGGGACGGAAACTCTCGTTGGCTGCAGCGTCCGACTCCTTGTGACCCACGGGTATGAGCCAAAGGTTGAGTTTCTCCAGCGACGGCAATGTCGCTCCCATCGCTTTCAAGAGCTTGGGCAGGGAGGTAGTCGGGTTGGATTTAGCGGCTATCATGTGGAATTCGAGAGTGGTCAAGAACGTGGTTAAGTTTCTTTGTTTCATGAGAGTGGTGACACCGTTCATGGTTGCAGCGAATGCCAACGACCGAAGGGATGGATATGGGTCTTCTATGTCCGCCGCTAGCCTGTACGACTGGGTGGTGGTGGCATTGTTGTAGAGATTCAAATTTTTCCGCGAGACATCGAGTTTTTTCAGTCGTGTCAGACTGGCGGTGGCATGTATAATGGCTGGAGAAAGGCAGAACACGGGGACTGTGAGTTCCGTGAGCATGGATAGGCTGGAAATCAAGAGGCAAATGTCGTCTTCCAGATCTCCGAGCGGACTATCAGCTATGAAAAATAGCCTCTCAATGTTAGGCATCCGCTCGATGATCAGAAGGACACGTCTGTGGAGAGCTGCCACGGAAGGCCATCCCCAATGACGTTCGAAGGCAAGTGTGATTTCGACGACGATATCAGAAATGAACATGGGTTCGTAGCTGAACATGAGTGGGAGGCCGCGCATGGAGCGAAGGTTTGGGAATATCTGTGCGTTTGGTCGGGTCGATAGAATCTCTTGTAGTGCTGCCTGAGAAATCGTGGGGCAGCTTATGAAGGCGGGGTCTATGATGTGACGAACACGTTGTGTGTTCTCGAGAAATCGCCTCCAGTCATTGATTTCGACCGGTCTGGTGAAATGTTATATTCAATTGAACAAAAGAGGATCAATGATCTAGGTTCGTCTTAGAAAAAAAATTGTAGGAGGGTTGCATACCAGTAATTTACGATGGTGTACGATGCTATCGTTCTCAAGGCTCATAGGTGCGAGCGAACGGAAGACTTGGCCTAGGTCCACTACACGCCACACCTCACCCAGAGCTATCTCCGACCAAGTCCTGCAAACACGAGCGTTGCGGCAGTTATCTGCTTTTGACAAACGATATGCACTTGACTGAAGCTCCGAGAAAATCAGGCTGAGGATCTCAGTTATCGATAGAGCTTGATGCATTGTTTAGTGTCTGTCGACCTCCGCCTCACCCTGTGACGTTGCAAGTGTTCAGAGAGACTAGAAGTTGATTAAACCATAGGATGTTACGCACAGCACTGAAGATCTGATGTCGTACGGAGTTACGGTTGAAGAAGGTTGAAGAGACTTTTGGATTCAGAATCATTTTACATAACGCAAACAATCGCCGCTTGAAATACGGCACACAGAGTGGCACGGCCTTGGGCCACACTAGCATCACACCTCACACAACATCCCCTTCGGAATTCATCTCCTTCCGCGTATGCATCAGAATTCGTGAGCAACTATCCCTTTCAGAAAAGCATGATTCAGGGTGGAAACGAGGCATCATCATTCTATGGGTACAAATCTCTGGAACGACATGCTTCTCTGGTTATCCTACAACTTCGCCAAAGCTCTAGGTGATACGTGTGAGGAGAACATGGAGACCAAAACCCCACGCATTGTACCATTCCGGATAGCCTGTAACATATCGTCAGGCCTGGTCAAATCGCGAAAAGAGTCACTACTATCGTACCTCGTAGATCCGGGTTATGTTCTGCCCCATAGTGGCGTCTTGTACACCCAGCCCCTGAGCGAATTGTCCAAAGTTCTCGATGCCGTGCATCTTCACCCCGAGCGTGATGCGGACGAATTCGTATATGGGTCGGGTTTTGTGCAGGTACTGACTAGCAGGAGCGACTCCGCGCCCGCCTTGCAAAAATGTCGAGCGCCAGGATTGAAGGCACTCAGCTCCACGTACCGCGAATGAATCTCGGAAGCGGGGAATGGTGAGAAGAGCATCGGAGGTGGGCGAAGGTTGACTGGAGATGAAGGCGAGCATAGTATCCACGCATGAGCTGGCCACCTTGGCCATTCGCAAATCGGCGTCCATCTTGGTCGTCTCATCCAGAGACTTGCGGATCCTGGGCTTGATCGCGCCGAGTAGGGAGGCGATATCGCCTGCGGTTAGGTAAGATGAGAAGTGTTTGTCGAGCTCCTGCTGTGCGATGCTGGCCATCTCGCCGTAGAATTCGGCCTGGAGTGCGCGTAGATCAAGAGCTGCGCCCACATCAACAACGGAACATCGTCGATCTTTTTTTCTGAGAAACACACACCTTGGCATAGAAGGTAAATGTAGCTAGCAATCAGCATCGATAGTACGTCGAGTGTGTTGACGGTAGCACGAGCTGATATCAGAGCCAGGGAGCTAGAACGAAAGGTAAGCTCGCGATTTGGAAAGGGGTTCGACAAGAAGCACGGACTTCACTGCCTGATTGTGCATTTCTGCAGACTGAATATGTGTGGAGACTGGCGAAGCGAGATACCCTAACTCGCTGACATACGACGCCATTGCGATGTCCAGACCTTTTCCGTGATAATCCAGCGACGGATTCGTGGCCGCGAGTGAGGGGGGTAGACCGCGATTCATAGCAGGGTTGCATATCTCCGTGGACTGAGAGAACAATAGCTTCCCGATATTCTGCAGAGCCATGCGAGTCTTCTCCATGGCGTTCGTCACCGCCATAGCCTGGAAGTTTCCGCCATGATGAACCTTCTGCTTGTCGGCATCGATGAGTGGATTATCCGTCGCTACAGCGTATCGTGAGTGTGCGCAATAGAGAAGTCTGGTATAAGAATGACGTACTCGAGTTACACTCTAGAGTGACGCTCTCGACCGCAGCGAGGATATCTTCAATTTGTGGTCCGAGGAATTGAGGGGCGGTCCTCAAGGGGTAGCGATCTTGCCGAAGTTCGCCTTCGTCCTCGTCGATGGTGAGCTCTACTTCGTCTGCTTGCGCAAGGTGACTACCTTCAAGAAGATTCCAGATAGTTCGTGCAGATTGAACCTCAATAGATTGTTAGCTAAACAAACTGTGAGGCGGTGAGAGCTTGAACTTGACCTACCTGGCCAGGATGAGGGCGCGCGACCTCGTGAATGAATGGGTCGTAACTCCCTCGAGCGCCAAGCATTGCTTCAGTACCCATCGCAGTGCAGACCTGAGAAAGTAGAGCGAGATGTACGGCGTCATGGAGGCAAAGAGCAGCGAGAGAAGCCGAGAAGGCAGTGCCGTTGAGGATGGCGAGGTGTTCTTTGGGGAGTAGATTGACCGTCCCAAGGCCGTGTTTCTTGAGTGCTTCGGGTGCGGAGACAATCTGCCTGGGGCCTGAGGCCATCGGACCATCGAACACGAAAAGCGAAGGGTTACCGGTAAGCGCTCCGGCAACGTACGATAGGGGCGCAAGGTCTAGAGAAGAACGACTGGAGTTAGTTCTGCCGGTGATGGCGAATGCGGTGCCTGCTCACCTCCCGAGGCAGAGATTGAACCGCGTGTGGGCACTAATGGAATAATATTCGCGACTAGCAGCCCCCTCAATTTCTCCACGGTCTCCCACTGTACACCGGAATGCCCCCGTATCAACGAATTGATACGCACTAAGATGGCGGCGCGGACCCATGCTTCGGGCATACAAGTCGAAGTCAGAGGATCAAGAAGAGGGAGGGGAGTCGTCGTAGATCCCGAAGTAGACTGTACGCCAGAATGAAGTCCTTGCAATAAGGCCAGACCGAGACCGTCGTAGTTGCTCGTACGAGTGTCCGCTTCCAAATCGTGAGGTTAGAATTTGGGTCTGCCAAGTATGCGTGGATTGACACTCACCACTGCCTCCAAAACCCGTGCTTACACCGTATACACTCTTCTTTCCGTCCACGGAGTGTGCGATGACCTCTCGAGAGCGTGCCATCCGGTTGACAATGTCAGGGCTGTCGATGAGCGATACGGACGCAAGATGACGCGCGGCCGCCACAATAGCTACGATGGAGAGATGTTGTCCATCGACAGCGATTCGTTTGCCAGCTCTGGAGTATTCCACAGATCTGTTGAGTAACAGCGTAGCATCGTTATTTAGCTTGAAACGACGCACCTGTACTCCTCGAGCTCCTGGCATTGTTGGACGAAAATCGAAAGCATATCTTTGGACGCCATGGCTGAACGACTTCAGTTGAGAGGTGAATGAGATGGAGGTTGGAGTCGCGAAGGGAGTTCGTCAAGTCCCAAGGTCCGTGGATCGAGGTATAAAATAGCGAACGATCTTCGTCAATGGACCGTCGGTCCACACGCCGATAGGCTATAATCTGAAGAAGCACATCGACTAGGGCCAAAATAGATTCCCAGGCAGCCCTCAGGGATTCCTTTTCTCACAGCCCCAATTATGACGAGAACAATGAAAGATCCGGAAAACGACAGGGGCTTCGAGCGAGAACCTGTTAGCGCACAACGTAACCAGTCAGTGCAGGGACATCAGCTTCAAGGTCGTGTTTTCGTACTGCAGCATGCCCTCAATCGCGAGGCCCGGGACTGTGACGTAGAACAGTGGAGAGCAGCGGTCGTTGAGTATAGACGCGTCGTGCATGAGTGTCCGAGTTATACGTTGTGATCGCAAAGCCTGCGTAAATATCAACACTACTGAAATAAGAGGGCAATCACCGCAGCATTGATACCCGAAGAACGACATACGAAGCTTCTGATCATGAACTGTGTGAGGATGAGTTTCAACGTGTGAAGTCAGGCAGTCCCTGGCAGCCCAGAACAGTAAACGTAACTGCAACTATCAGTCGAGAGAAGTTGATAAAAGCAGGCAGAAGCAGGCAGAAGCCCCGGCCGACCACGTTGTACATAGCCACTTTGAGAGGATCATACACGATTCAGATTAGCGAACCTCCTCCAGCATGCCCAAAGCATGCCGCCTGCCACGTCGCGGTACGGGGTACATAAGTATGCACCCACGGTAAACACGCTGTCCGAGAACACGAGCTTTATCGACTGCACAAGAGACATGAGTGTTTTCTGAACCTTCCAATGGATGCAACTTCACCCCAACATGAGGGGAAAGACGTCCCAACATTTAGTCACCGTGCTTGCTTCCATTATCGAGGGAATTGAGAGCATCTGAGAGTCGAGGGGAGGTGCAATCTGAATCCAGAGAGAGGTCTCGATATCGAGTCAGGCGCAAAATTCTTCGACAAGAGCGGTGGCATCTTTGTGTGGCGTTCTGTCGGAGCTCGAACCAGCTCTTTTTTCAATCACCGACACTGGGGCCACTGCTGCCAGCGTTATGCATGGCTTCAAATTTCCCCTCCTAGGTCATACCAAGTCGTTACAGTTGTAAGAGTGGAATGTAAGTTATTTGTTCCTTAGAAATACCCCAAGGGTTTGATTAGTGATTTTTGTCAATTCGTTTACGGATCATTTTGGCAGCATCGTCTACTTAATCGCGCTCCCTCGTCACATAATGCCATATATATTACGCCCATCCCTCCATAACACCTGGTCCCACCACAATATGCAGAAAATTGCTCATACAGTGCGGATCAGGCCTTAGAAATATCACGAAGTGAATATCCGGGAGTTGTGGCGAAGAGACGAGAACCTGATTGAAACTCACCAATTAGCGCATCGTGTGAGCGAGCCTGGGAGCTGCTTTCAACTTTGTTGAGTAAGAAAACTGAAGGACGAAGAATGGAGAAAAGGAACTTACGCAAAAAATCGCGGAATCGACGGCCAATTATGGCCGCCGAGGGTTCATGGTGGCGTATCGCTCATGGTTGGAACAGTTCTTCCAGGACACAACCCCACACCTGCACACGTCCTTGATCGCAGCCGAGCTTGAAGCCCTCCAACTGGCCTGAATATTGCTTCACGAGCCCATCAACCATTCCTACGTCAGCTCCGACGACGACCAAATGCCAATGACGGCTCGCTCGAGCGCTCGAGTCGACGGCAAGCCACGCCTGCTTAAGTCCCTTCACGGGATTGCTGTATTCCGACGCGATTGTCGCCTGCACGGCGTAGAGGTTATTGTCGGTATCGCCGAGAATACCGTCGATTCCTTCCCAAATCATCACAGACGACATCCAGTAAAACGCTTTGGAGGCACCAGTGTGCTTCAGACCGTCCACTGTGCCAGGAACGAGCTCGGCTGATGGGCGCATCTGCATATTTCGATCGTGGTTGAAGATGGTGAGAGGTGGTGCGCCAGCTGTGCTGAGGCGACGATGAACGTCCTTTTCATACTTCCAGCCGGCGGCGGTCCGAGTCAGGGAGTGGGAACTGAGGGCGATGAAGAGCTCACGGGATTTCTCGTTGGAGAAGTTGGTGCAATGTTGCGTAAATATTTCGTCGAGGAACGTCGTCGGGATAGACCAGATTGCTCGAGATGAAGCGGCGATTTTGCCGCTCGGGGTGATTCTACGGTGAGGGCGAACGAAGCCGATGGTGGAACCGAAACTGTCTGGTATACCGTCGCCGACTAAGTGCAGACCAACGAGCGACGGATCAGAGCATATTTTGTGGGCTGCCTGGTCTGCCTCAGCCTGCAGATTCCTTTCCATATCTTGGGCTTCCTCGGGACCCTGGACGATGGCACTCGCGATGTCGATGATCGTCCTAGTGGATGGTCCCCACTTAGTCACGAGCGGAAATGCGGAAGATGAGACGTGGTGGATCTCATTCCTGTGCAAGGCTTCCTGAGCAGGGACATCTCAGGAACAAACACTGAGTCGACTTACAAAATCGCAGCGATCTCTAGCACCGTCGGCAGCTCTGCGTAGATACGCTCACCCCTCTTTTGCTTCAACCATCTCTTGGGTTTCGGTGATGAAGCCTGGATGACAACCTTGGCCCGGCTTGCAAAATCTTCACATGGCTGGACAACATAGGCATTGCTGTCAGCCAACGCCCAACACGAGCTGAGTCGGGGATCGACTGGACCGCCGAGAGGATGCCGCGAGGCGCCCTCGCCATCGAAGACGAAGTAACAATGGCCGTCGAATTGGACCGCAGTCGGAAGGTTGTGCTCAAGGCGATACAGAAGAAGGTATATGAGGAACACAGTTTTGCCTAAGAGAGCAAAAAGCAGACATGATTATTCCGGTTGAAGCGAAGGTGACTGCCCTACGAACCGATCCCTGACTGTCCCGTGACCACGAAGGCGCGTGTCTTTCCAGTACTCTTCTCGATGAACTCCCGCAGAAAGCCGTATTCAGAGCGAAGAAGCAGAAAATCCATGATTTCTGTCGTTATACCAAGTGCAATAGAGATGGGTTCGATGTCATCGAGGCAAGTGTAGTACCAGAGGTCGGGGATGTCGATAGCCACACCGTCCGCATCGGTGCATTCGGTGTCAGGAGGGAGACCGATGTCGGTCTTGAGGATTGCATCGTCGTGGCGAGGCCATTGACGGCCCCAAGCTCGCTCATAGACGCGGTTCAGTTCCGGAGAGGTGTTCATCAGAAGTGTACGTGATTGAAAGCCGTGAAGGCGGTCTTCCTGTAGACTAAGTAGAACCAATCCCACGAACGAGTGTGTTTGGATCTGAAGACAGTCGTTCAGAGCAATAACCACGCCAGTTAGTCTCCCAAAGGCTGAGTAGACAAGATTTCAACCGGGCAAGCGAGGATGTGGCCGCGGACTGAAGAGGACTGATTCACTGAAGCCATTGGATCGACGAGTGGCGGGTGGGAATCTTCCTGAATCTTCCCACGGAAATTGTCGTGACTTGTGAAAATTCGCCCAGTACTAGTGTTCTCATCGTGCTTGCTCTTCAAAGCTTCATCTTGTACATACCTGGGCTCTTCTACGCTAGTTTGACCTATGGCATATACACTTTACGGTGTTTCGCACTCGTTTCAATACCACTCAAGCGCGTCGCCACCCCTTTATACTCAGAGACCGCGAAAACGACATCAATATGTACTTGCAAGACTGAGTCGACCCCTCTGCGCACAAGCGTCGACGCCTTGAGAACTCCTCTCCAACATCATCTTTACCGAAGAGCTCGCCTATGAGTACCCTTGATCCTGGTCCTCCTCATCCAAGTCGAAAAGTCACACAAATCCCATCAGAAAACATCCTCTCACCTCCACTAAATCTCCACCCCGTTCATATCCAGCCCCTTCAACCCGCTACACAATAAAGAGAGAGAGAATAGAGGCGAGGACGTACCGAGATGTCCAAGGACGAAACTTGGAAGGTCAAGCGTGTGTTGTTGATCGTCCGGGGTTAGAAATAGACGAGTCTTGGAAGGTCTGAAGCCCTGGTGGCGCATCAGGAAGCCCAGAAAGTGTCGCGCCGAAAGCATGTTCAGATCAAGACCGTGGTTTAAGCAGCAAAAGCCAAGCTATGATAGCGATTGGAGAAAGCAATGATCATGGACAGTGAACGATGAAAATTATGATGGGTGGCCTCTCGCGAACAGAAAAGAAAAGAATGCAAGATAGCGAGTGTCGGCCTGTATTATAATTGTACTCGTCAATAGTCCAGTGAGACGCAACCATCCGCTCCAGGTCAAAAGTCTAGTCGCCGTCCATCCAAAAACGTCATTAAATAAAATAACTTCACTAGAGATATAGAAGGGATCAACGACGACCGCAACGGCTACCACGATCATATAGACATAGGGGTACAACGTCAACAAACCTCGCCGTCTCGAGAGATAGATCTAAGACGGTCGCTCATCGGATACGTCCCGGGATCTCTCTGGTCACATAGTGCCAGATATACCGTGACCAGCCTTCGATGACGCCTGTTCCGGTCATGAGGTGGAGACAGTCTCCTGAGACGTGGGCGTCGGGGCGGAGGAGGGCTGGTCGGTCGATGGGGAGGAAGTGGACGTCGGGATAGGATGGGGAGTCGAGGATAGACTATGAAGACCAGGTTCAGTATCCTAGAAGAATAAGAAGGGGAAGGACGCGGCCAACCTCGAATATTTTGTTCATATTGGGTATCCATGGCCAGTTATACCTGCACCCACATTGTCAGTACCATTCCGCCACAGTCCACGATATACATATAAAATCCACGCACCAATTCACCGTATACGGCACCCACTCCTCCCACGGACTTTTGATATTCCTACAATTCTCGTGTCCAGGCAGATACGCCCTAACCACGACCTGCCTATTCACCACCTTCTCCCTCCCTCCACCTCCATATCCACCTATACTCCCCTTCACAGCCTCCCTCATCTGTCTCCTTTGATCCTCCACCAGAGCTCTCTGCACCTCCCCAGCCCATACCTTCATCGACTCCCTAAACAGCTCCAAAACACTCTCGATGCCGTACCCGCTATCCTCTTTACTCTCGTCCCTCAATCCACCGAACAAGGTCGTCGTCCAATGTCCGGCGGTACTCACGATGAGCGTCCCGTACCGTGCACCTGGCAAAGGCGACGTAAATATCTTCATATACTCAGCGGGCGACATCGTCCAGAACGCCTCGTCGCTAAACAGCTTGAACCTCTCTTCTTCCGGGACCGAAGGATCGGATTCGGACTCATACATCTCGGGATGAATGGATCTGTGGACGGATTCGATCTCGGATTGGGAGAGCAGGAGGTCGATGCGGCGGAATGTGACTAGTGGTGTGGATTCGATGGAGAAGCCGGGTGGGAGGGAGAGGGAGGGGATTATGGGAGAGGAGGGGTTGAGGTAGAGGTTTTGTGGCCAGGCGCGGTCGAAGTAGGGGTTTTCGGTGTAGTTGGGGGTGGAGCGGACGTGGGGGAAGAGGGAACATGATAGAGAGAAGAAGTGGTTTTCTGTGATTGAATCTGTACGGAACATGTTAACGATTCGTTCCAACTTATCTTTGTACGCAACACGACGGTGATCAAAAGTTGCGTGGCACCAATATTTGGCCAGCCCGAATTGGGCACCCGCCTACGCAATAACGAGAAAGAAAGATGTTGGTAGAAACACGCACCTCCAAGAACAAGCCAACCTCCTTCCTGCACCAAGTCCCTCACGAACATTCCTGCATCCATCTTCCTGACCCCAGTACACTCATCGCTCGGCACCCACTCATAATCCATGACATCCGGAAACCTTTCATACTGGTCATCGTGGTCTACACCCAGATGCCAATAGAACTCTCGATCCGACGTACAACCCTCCAGATCACTAAAATCAAAGACGTCCTCCTGCTGCGTCAACGGATGACTGACATTATGAGGCTTGTGTTGCCAAGTCCCATTCGACCAAGCGCGTGGTGGACATGACGCACGTTTGCGTTCCGAGAAGAACGAAGAAGCGAGGCGGGAACGATATGACGGATTAGTTGAGAAGTAAAGGAGCGTGATGAATGAGAGGAGGCCACCGATTGCGGTGAGTTTGATGATGGTAGCCCGTGGCTGATGGCGGCCAAACATCCCGCTCAAGCAGTGCCGAGAAGTTGCCCAGATATTCTAAGCTAAGAAAGTTGAAAAGAAATGGCCTTCCAGTTTCCTAGCAGGTGAAGAAGGAAAAGAGAAGAAGTAGATATCTCCCTGCGGCTAACGTCGGCACCCACACTGCCTGTCGCTGCGGAGAACGATGGGGAAGACGGTGCCACGCTCGTGCGCTCGCATAACCCATTTGCCACACTGTGTGGCCCATCCGAGACAGACTCTGACGGACTCCGAGAGCTTTGCAACTTGTTTGCAACGGCAACAACAATCTCGACGACGGCAAAGACCTCGAGCTCGCTACCATTGGCTCAATACGTTCGATATATCCTCCGTTATCTTTTTGGCTCTGCTGTATCATCTTCCTCTCTTGACAACTGGACTGACTGGAATGCTTTGTTGACCTTGAGACGACCACCTGGCATCCTCCTACATCCGCTCGTAATCGAATTGGCGTTGCCATTGTACCTGTCTGCTAGAGTATTTGGAATGTTCTCTCCTCTGACAATATTCTGTGAGTCTATCCTTCTTTGAACGCAAGTCTCAGGGCTGTGCATTCGCTTTACGACGGCCATCGTTATCCGGCGAGATGTTCATCGCTACCTGACGCTGTAGCTGCGCAACAATGACTATAATCTACCAAACATCTTACTGGATTTCACTTGTGCATGAATGAAACGCTTTTCTCTCAGAAGCGTGAGAGCGTTGCGTTCTGTGGAGAGCGTACTATGAGAGCTACACAGCTCCTAACAAGTGATGCTCGGCAAAATAATGCAGCGTCGGAGACGTTACTCCGTTATTCCTCTTTTCAACTCTTTCTGATCACAAAGGTCCCGTGGCGGATGGACATCTTACCTGTCTTTCATACTACGGTGGACTATTTGACCGCTGTGAAGCGAGGTAGACGAAAACGAATTTTTGCTCGCCCGCTGCGGCACATGTTATGCAGTCGCGTACTCTTTTTTTCTTAACTTGAAGAGAAAGTTTTGATTCATAAATACATACTGGGGCGACACCGTGACGAGAACGCGTATGCAGCATGCCAGGGTAGGCACTGTTCTTCATGACGCGTCCTTGAAACTATCACTATCCCAGATACCTTTCTCGGGAAACAGATGACGATGAAGCTAGACCCGCCACCTTCGTTACACCAGAGCCACAGGACGAAGCGTTCATTGAAGGTCATTTACTCTCCCGGCGGCTCTTTACAAAGTGTGGAATATTCTGGACGTCCAGCTGCAGCCTCTCGATTATTACGCAGATTTGTATTAGATTTTTTCCCCCGATGTGTAGCTCGCAAAGTCCAGTCGCTCTTCCAGATGCAGCGTGTTAGTCATAGTCTTGCTAGAACTCCTCGGCTTCAAGTTGCTCCTCTACATCCCGCCGTACAGTGCACGTCAATGAAGTGTGTCCAATTCGGTGGGTGAGGGATACCAACACAGATACGGGCCATATAGGGATATGCTACTATTCCATGGTTCGAAAGCATTGCACCTTGAAACGCATGGTGTGGCATCGAATCTCTGGTCGAGTAGGCATTCAGATCGTTAACAGGAACCACCAGGATTTATTCTGGCTCGGGAGTTGGGGGTAGCTTTCATCAAATATTTATACGTCGAGATCATTGAGACGGGAAAACTGTCAGAGAATAGTACCTTGGACCCTCCCTCGTCTCGCGCTACCTTAGAGTACTTTTCCCCCCCGGTACTATTATCATAGTCTAATTTACAAGATGTCCAGAAGTGGGTTCTCGTAAGCAGATTGATCCACATCATGTCAATTTTGAGGATTCATATTCAACGTCGGCGCCTGTGCCAAACATCGCAGCGGGGTACGATGTTGAAGCACTGCAGATTTTTTTTTTCCAATTTTTCAGTGAAATATTCTGGTGAACAGCACTCGAAGCCCAATGGGCATAGGTTTGTTTTTTGGACACTATTTAATAGCAGGGCACCGTAAGTCATATCACTATCGTACAGCCACTCGTCCACCAACTGAACCAACAATCAATATTTCTTTACATGAGTTCGAACTCTGAACAAGGCACTTCTACGAAGTCTTTCTGAGAGGTGGGTTGCTTAATTAGCTATCGTCCTCAATACAAGTCATAACGGCGCTGATATTACCTTCTGTAGAGCGTGTGGATTTGGCGCGCTCAAGCAGACCCTCGAGCTTCTCTCACTTGTAGTAAGGCAGCGAGTTGCCATCCTCAACACCCTCGGAGCGCTTCGCGTAGACATCGTTCTAGCAGAGGTCATCATCATGTTTGTCAGTTTGTGCTTCTATCAATGCTCTCTATATTTTCAAGAATGTAACTCGACACCTACCGGGACGGCATGGGCTGACGAAAAAGAGCCACAGAACATGACGATCGCGAGCAAGACGGAGGCTAGCATCATGGAAGACTTCATTGTTCAAGGTATGGGTTTATTGATAAGCGAGGGTGTAGGTGGATGTATGTGTATGAAGGTGATTGGAATATCACTTGTACCAGTGATCGACCTCTTTATACTAAGTACTGTATTGCGTATCGCTATATTTAATGTCGACCAAGCTGGACCCACAGTAAATGTTGAGGGATTCCGCCACGTTGATTGGTGCGCCTGGCCTTAAACTCGCCTCTGAAGTATAGTAACCACAAGCAGACAGTGTCGTGCAGAGCATCAGTCAGACGATTAATTTCAAGCCTCTGGTCTACCCATAGCGTAACAGTATGGGGGTTCGGTAGTCGTAGTCTGGAGTACGTCTTATTGCGACATGCCATCGGAAATGGCATACGACGGACCCGCATAAAACTGAACATATTGTCGGAGCCCAATTATGTTAAATTAGTTATCTGTATGCCAGTAACAATGGCATAAATACATCAAATCGTGGACCTGCACCCCGAAATATTCGGACATGTCTGCATTCGATAGAGCTAGTTTGTGATCCTACGACATTTCACGATTTCCTGATCAAACTACAGGAGTATTGAGTTCCTATATGTGATCATGCATGTGAGTCGGAATTCGGTCTGGGTCTCTTTTACAGTACATGGCGCAGGTCACGCACGCTTATAAGACAGTCAGATGATATATGTATCAGGAATGCTTCTGGGAGATAGTCACGCGAATGCAGAACAAGACACACCCGTATTGTTTTGAACGGATATTTTGGTCTCAAAAGGCCTGTGTTGCGCTAAGGTCGGATGGTCTTGAAAGTTTTGTGGAATATTCCACATCTCCGCCTGATATTGGGGCACGGATGGATGTGGCTTCCAGAAAAATCAATGCCGTCTAACGCGGAGTTCAAGTGCGCTGCATTAACAGGGTGCTAACTTGGCGAGGTCGTTTGTTTTCCTCCTCCTGTCCATCACGGTCATCATGGTCAATAGCTCAAAGGCATACCTCGAAGACTATCGCCTCCTTGACACTGGTAGCAGTGCAGAGGACATCTCCCAAGATGATCCCCACTCGCCAGTATCACTATCGAATCCCCTTTATCAGCTCCGCTATCCTGTATACAACATCACCGGGCGGATGGTCGCCTGCTTTTCCTTGTTACTCAATATTGTTCTCTTAGCTGTCTTTGCACTTGAACACGCCGGTCTTACAACGATATGTGACATGACGAAAGCTAGCTCGTCTGCTGTAAAAATTTATTGTAAGTAGGGGGCCCTTAGTTCTCCATGGTCTCGTTCTACTCAACGAGATTACTGATGTATAACTGGGACTCTTTTTCCTAGCTCCTGCACAGGAGGCTTCATCCCCTCCTGTTCTTCGTCGATTCCCGCATATCCTGGATGTACCCATCTACATAGAATCTCCATCAGATAATGTAGAGCAAGCATGGCTCAATTTATACGATTGTATGTTTTCGCGTAGTGAAGTCATCATTTGGTCCACTTATACACGGCTGATTTACCATTGGGCTTCCAACTACTCGCTTACATTAGTCGGCCTTTCAAGAGTTTCAAGGTCACAGGTGGAGTTGATGACGAGTATGTCTGTGCCGATTCCGGGGGATGAAGAAAACTACATTATCGAGCTTGATATCTGGCACCAGTTGCATTGCCTGGTACGGCGAATCTTCTGTTTACATCTGGCATACCTGATCCGTTTTCTTCGGAATGCCTTTATTAATATGACAGAATATCATTCGCAAAGCTCTCCATCCTGATTACTATCCGAACATGAATGCGAGTGGAAGCGTACCGGACACGCGCATCTCGACCGACCCGGACTCTCAGGAGCCGCTTCCCAGAGTGCCTGTCAACCACGTCGCGCACTGCATCAACTCTATTCGCGAATCGTTGATGTGCTCTCCAGATATCACGCCGATAGTATATTACTGGGATGAGAGGGTACAGCAGTCGAGGCCTATTTTCGACGCTCCCCACGAGTGTAAGAATTTTGAAGGGATTCGCGAGTGGGCTTTGGAACACCAGGTGCACGATGGATTCGACGATAGCATCCATGCCGTCAATTCTCCCCAGTAGATGACATTTAGTGTTACTCTAGTTACATTTCATGGTACCGTTTGAAGAGAAGTCCGTCACAATGGAAGGGTGCATGACACCAAATTTTCCCCCACATGCATTGAGTACCCGCGAGGGCACAACCAGATAAGGAAACAAACTTGGAGTGTATACGTTCCTCCAAGAGCCAACCGTGCTTCTTCCACCACCAAATCCCTCGATAACGATTCAGCGTATATCTTCGCGAACTCGGTACAGTACACTCCTCGCTCGGGACTCATACGCCCAGCTGCCAATAAAACTCCCGATCCGACGTAAAACCCTCCAGATCACTAAACTCAAACACGTACTCTACCCAGAACATGTCCAAAAATTCTAGAAAAGTTGTAGCAGAGTCGACTTCCAGTTTATATAAAGGCAAAGAAGAAAATAGCGAAGAGGGTGGAAACATCCCTGCGGCTTCGTCGGTACACACTGCCTGTCGCTGCGGGGAACGATTGGGAAAGCGGCGCCACGGTGGCTCTCACTGTGATCTTCAGCGCTTCAGCGCCACACATTTTCCACGTGGCCTGGCATCCCAAATGAGCGATAAAAACCTACAAAACCGGCCTTGACCGACGACGACGACGCACACCTCAAGTCAGCTACACTTGTTCAATGTGCTTGAAACTCCGTGTATCCCTTGGTACTCTTATGCTTTTATTCTCGGCGCGTCCTGGCAGCTAAAGTACTGGAACTGCACCGAACTCTCGTACTCCTCTTCGGTCCTCAAGCCTCGAGCTCAGGTCCAGCATCCCAAGGTTATTCTCTGGGATGATTCTGCAGTTTGGCTTCTCGATCGATGAATCAACGTTTGATTCACGTTGACTCCATAACTGCATGTTACTGACACCTCTGTAGCTTGCTTATCCTTAGCCTTTTTCCCTTTATCCTCTCCCAGTTGTTCCAATGTCATCCCTTTCTGGCGATCGCGTGAGATACTCTGCAACCTTCGGTAGCTCGAAGCTCGCGGGGCAATAACTAGGGCATATGGGGGTAGGCGGTATTTCGATGTCCTCATGTCCCCCATTCTTTTACAACTCCATGCGCTCCAGATAGACTACAAAAAGAGGAAGAGGCTATATCTTTGGTCTGCTTGTCTTTTTAGTGCTTGACTTTGCCAACGACACAGACGCATGCTCTCGGAATTTGCTCGCTTTCGACTCACTTTCATTCCTAATCGCATGCTGGAATGACATTTCTATGATATGGCCAATGAGATATTTACTGCGGCCTCCAGCTTCAGCGTATTCTCTCCTTGCCGTTCCACCTCCAAGGATGCATGCAACACGTCGACGACGAGGGCTGTATCCTCCAAATGATCACGTGCAAGTTGAACGTCCACTCACTGCGGGAGGTTAAGTACCCCCACTTCGGGCTGCTTCTTTGACCAATAGATATCGTGCTCTCCGCGGATTCCTGTGTCTTGTCTCGAGGTTTCCCGAGTTTCAAGTTGGCTCTTCTCTTCGTGTTGAGCGTCGCCTTCACGGATTTTCACCGAATGTGAGTAATATTTCATTCTGGTTGCCAGATCAGCATCGTGATTCCAGTATGTACGTTCTTCGCTCGAATCTAAGTCGGCGTGGCATAGCCTTTTCGGCATACATGGGGTGCTTAGCAGCACTTACGATATTCTACGATAACTTTCGTGCATTGTCGCATCCAGTGACTTCACTATGGTTACACGAAATATTTTTCCGTGGGGAGCAGGAACGGGCTGGGCTCGGTTCGAATCCTTGTTCATATGGGTCCACTTCATTCTGATGCTTCTCAAATCAGACTGTTTAGACATAGAGATATGGGTCAGCCTGGCCGAATGGTGGGTGGTGGGGCCAACATCATGCGCGGTCCAAACGGATGAGGTGGAACAATCTCAGCGTTAGAAGCTATGAACTCAGCTCTAGATAAAACCTTTACTGAGCCATTATGTCACTAGTCATTCTGAACAGGTCCTATGAGGAATATCAGTTCAGATACTGGACGTATCTGGATGTGATGAAGGCCAACAGAGATGGCCGAGATCATATGTACAGTTGTAGGGCCCCACAGCGGGAATCAGAATCATGATGACGGGTCGAAGCATTGCAGGGTGGCACTACAACGACTTCGAGCTCCATAAGCATTCCCGCTGTACTAAACTTGAGACACTCTCAATGGAGATACACGATCATGTGGATTCTCGCTCCTGCAGTTGCGCGTCGGGGGAACGACTGGGACGGGAGTGGGCCGCTGCTAAGCAGCTAGAATGCAGCGTACTGGGCGCATCTCGGTTGGACATTTTTTGCTAGACTCGAAAGGCAACTTGAAGTCCAGGAGAAGAACAAAGGTAGCGGCCCGTCCGATGATCATTAAACATCGGACGGGACGCGTTCCTATCTTCCCATGAACTGACTGATATCACCCGTTATCGTACGCATTGCTCTCTGTCACGGTTTATAATAGTCTCAAAAGAACCTGCAGCATTATTTCTGACACTGTGTGAAACAATGAGGTATCTCACCGAAAACTCTCCTTACCAGCAAGTCCAGAATCGATAGAAGACCTTGAGTCGGGGCTCGAATGAGAATTTCTCATCATACCGTCTAGGATCACTGAAGGTGATTTCTACATGATACCTACAACCCAGAAGGCGGCCGGGAAACGAGCCGAAGAATGGAGGCCCATTACTGGAGTTAAGTGTGGATATGAATCCTTCCCGCTGAACATGAAACCTGTCTGTTCCCAACTGCTGGCGCCTCTCCGTGAGAACGGATGTACACACAATATATGAATCTGCCGCTTTCCCCCATGCACAGGTAGCTACTACTTTGAACCAGACCAGGCTTCATATTGCAAGGACATCTGGGTCATACATGACTTCCGTATCTGGAAGTCTCACGTCGAGTGAGGTCGCTCTCATACGACAGAAGACGTGAGTCCCACTGTGTCTACTCACTGTAGATTTTTTTGAATCGCCTATCACAGTATACTCTCCAAAGTCAGACAAAGTTACTCACGTACTCTTCGACACGTGAGAGCCACATATTCATCGTATTCATCGTGTCCTAGTACTTCCTTGTGACCGCACTCAGTATCCTTGTTTATGACCACCTCTGTACCATTGATCAAGACGTACGTTTAACTCATGTCACACTTTCGCGGATCATTGAATCTGCCGGTGTTCTAGGTTGCCGTTGTTTGGAAGAAGAAGAAAACTCCTTGTAAACGTTTTCTGTCACGAATATTCTGTGAGATCAACTTACTAAATCAACACCATTTGTTCGAAAAGTGCTGTTCTTGTACATATTTGTGAGTACGCATTGGCCTAGCTTTCCGATTATTCGGGGTTAAAATCTCCATGACAGGTTCGATACTATGCACTTGTCGCAATGGCCATAGCTGCCTTCGGTCAGTATGTTTCCGTTGATGGATGTATGGCAGGATCTCAGTTCAAACCTAGGAATATTTTCCCCTTGGATGACAGCTGAGCGGTAGGGTTCATCCGAGTCCTGAGTTTCAGTTTCAGGTACTTATTGGGCTTAGGTGCTCTCATTGGGTGTACTTTCTACCCATCGCAGTGACGTTGACGCTCACGACCTTGCCAAATATTCTGATGGCTATCCGGCAAGTACAGTTCTTCTGACATACTCAGTTTGAGTCACTTATCCGGAAAATATCTCTTCTCAGTGTATATGCGCTGTGGAACAAAGGCCGTCTCATTCTCGCTTCTTTACTTATATATCAAGCCACACAATTGATTGTTGGCATCTGGTTAGACGTCCTACGTGGGGTTAAACGTGTGTTGTCGGAACAACTACAGTGCTTCTTCCTCCCAACAAATGACTGTCTCTGGTCTTTAGCATTGTCCGTTCCTTTGGAAAGCACTCCAGAGTTTCATAGTAAGTGCTCAACGATTTTATACGTCTATGAGACTAAGAATGTGTTTAGCCTGTTTGTACACTTCTCCACACATTAGGTATGTAAGTTGATTATTATGAACCGTAAGTAGTATAACTTGACGTCATTACCCAGCGGCACTTCTGGTGCAACAATCTACGTATCGATAGACCTTATGTATAATCTCGTCATCTTCATTCTCACCATTTCGCGCACATTGTTTATGATGCGTCGTGGTCGAGGACAGGGCCCACAAAGTGCTATACTCGTAGAAAGTCTTGCAAGAGATGGTGCTATATACTTTGCGTATGCATTACATTTTACCCTCTACAATGGGATGACGAAGCTCTAATGAATGATAAATATGTCAGGGGAATATTCATAACAAACTTGACCTGGTTGGTCTTGATGTTCAGCACAGTGGACGGGCCAATTCTAGCAATGTGAGTACGATTCAGACAGTACCAATGACTTGGTCACAGCACTCACACTTTGAATTACTGACAATAGACCGTCTGCGAGGTACTTTTTAGTAATTACATTTCATGTGTTTTGTACATTGCTAATTACAACGATTCCTTCTTCTCATAGTATCACAATGGTTCTCGTCAGCCGTATTACCTTGGGAATCCGCTCCGCCTTCTACGGACCAGCACAGTTAGACGAACACACCGTGAATGGAATCCCTCTTGGAGAGCTCGAGACCACGCAGAGTGCACAAATACCGCAGAGTGCGAACAATTACTCTCACTGGAAAGAGACTCGGAACACTCAGAATACCTAAGGGATCGTCTACTGAGGCAGTCACTCCACGGCGTTCGATGTTAGGAAGTTCGAATAATCATCACTGACACTAGTTGCCGCTCCGCCGTAACAGCTCACTGAGGACGGTACCACTCCGTTTCTTGTCCCATGTAATACCTATGCGTCTTACATTGGTAATGCCTCGATTTTTTTGTGCTACATAGCCTTTCCTTTTTATAAGTGTTGAATCGACCTTTCTTCATGCGGGCCAAGTTATGACAGTCATCATTGCCCTTATGTACCCTTATTGGAGACACTGTGAATTCTCAAATATCTGTAGCGGCTTCCTCCTGTGACGGCATAACGGATATACAACACAAACACAGTAATCTTCATCTATACACTCTTCTTTGAGCATGTAGGGCAAGGGTCTAGACTTGCTTCTCATCTCATCTTTCCGTCCCCATCCTTCGAGTCCAGGGCCGCTCAGGAGCTCCCGCCAAAGGCCCCCGTGATCGTAGGGCTTGGGGAAAATTCCAGACAACCGTGAGATAACTCTGTCGCTATTTCTCTAGACCAGCCAATTCCCGTCGAAACCCTCGGAATAATGAGCTGAGGTGATGGCTGCTCTAAGGCGTACACTTGACTCAACCTTTGTAAGTACAAATCAAACAGATCAACAAACTGAGATGTGACCTACGTAGGAATAGACACAGAGAAGACATTTTCCGTGGACATTTTCCTCACCCTTGCAAGTTGCTTCCGAGTGCTGGTGCAGGCGCTCACCGGCTAGACGGGAGCTTTTAGATCTGCATCAGTTAGACGCGCTACGTATCAACTTATTCTTGTAGAACTTTTCTCTCAATTCACATGCGGTAGCATCCGTGCCCATCATTGCGGGGCCTTCGAGAAAGGCGCTCTTCTGATCCAACTCTACCGTGACGGCATCCACTACCACCCTCCTCACCCTCTGTTCAGTCCACAATGAAAACAGCCCGAAATTTGCCCAAGCCGACTAGTAAGATACGTCTCAAATCATGCGAACAATCTTGACTGAATGATGTCTTAGCGGATGAAGTATCCAGCATGGTGCGAGTTTTTGTTGATGCTTTTGATCACGGTACGGAGAATGCTCTCTTACACAGTCAAGCTTCTAGACTGCTGATCACTAGTAACTAGACCCTGCCGTATTGGCCCAGCTCGGTCAAAACTGGCAGCTTGCTCCAGAGCTATTTCAAGCGATGATAAAGGCGTGCATCGTGGATGGAGAGCCGTGGGTTGTCTCGGATGAGGAAAACATCTTATCAGTTGCTCTCTGGTTCGGGCCAAATAAAAGAATTTTTGGAACGTGGGTTCTCATCATTTCAACTCCATTGTCCCCAATCACATTTCCATGCGGGGTAGTCCAGAACAAAGAGCACTAGGATACGACCAACTCCTCGCCAAGTTATCTCCTGAACTAAGGCAGTGGTGGACCAGCACCGTATGTTTTGTCATGAATTCGGCTGGAGTTATGAGATTGCTGAAATAGCGACAGTACCCTGACAGTCTGAAAAAATTTCTACCGACTGTCATGACACCACAGGTACACGAAGATGCCCTTCCGACCCAAATTCGCTATTCATCTTATACCTTTATAGGAGCAAACTCAGCGATGGATGTGCTCCGTAATTGCGACCAGCATAAAACATCAAGGCAAAGGTTATGCAAGCGCTATCATGGACGCCGTGTACTCCAAGGTTCGTATTGTCTCGGGCTTTCTATCATAAAGTCCGCTGAACATCAACGTGTACAGGCTGTTGAGACTGGCTCCTTGATAGCCCTCATCACCACAAAAGACATCAATGTGAGCACAAGGGCATTTGCGGCCATTATAGCTTACAAGCTGACTTTGTTTGCCTCTACATCGTGACAGGTCCCGATATATCAGCATATGGGAATGCGCTTGAGAGGTCGAGGAATTACTCCTTCTCCGTACGGAGACATCGACATGTTTTGCCTCGCCAGGACCGCGTCAGAGTAGGACTAGATCAAGTCGGACATAGCATGTGATTGTGGCGACCGAGAGCGAAGCATGGGATGTGATCCAGAGTAGGCTCTGACCGTCCGTTATATTTGGCGTGAAGCGAACCGTTCACTGATATAACGGTCCACAGTGAACAGGATATTTTTGAATGAAAAGCACAATGATTGAGCGAAAGTACGCCAGCACTCGTGCAGAAACCTGAGCATGGAACTATATCTCCATCATCTCTCGCTCTAACGCCTCCGAATCGTGATGCATCAAGGCAATCAGCTGCAGTTCAGCAGACACTGGAGGCAAAGTTCCGTGGGAGCGCTGATTCTATTTTGAATCCATTGGGAACTTATCCTGAAAAATATCCGAATGCGCGAAAACGAATTTACGCTGAATATATCTCTATATAGCGATATATTCCCGATAAATTCCAAATATTCTGATATTTATCAATATGTTCAAAATATACTCGTCGAGTCCATGCAGGCCTTTTTGAGAGTAAATATTCACGATAAGGTCAACGCTCTTACGGAACTTTGTCTCCAGTGAGAGTAAAAGTCACAGTGCAGTACGCGGAGACAATAATTGGGAACATTACATTCACCCCAAAAGCTCTCCAGAGCACTGGAAACCTTTGGTGGCAGATAATACGCTGAGGCTCAAGTACAAACGATCCGCTAGATGAAATTATAACACACATACCAACATGAGCGAAGGGGTAAAGATCTGAAGCGAGACAGGGTACGAACCGCCTGAATAATCCGAGATGGACATTTTAGCCCTCTAGTCCACTCTCGAGACGACCAACGGATCCACTTCCATTCCATCATAATCCATCCTTGATCTCAACTCTAACGCTTCACTTTGATCCATCTGCTCGGCCCCCACCTGAGAGTCGACCTGAGTCTTCCTCCAAAACGTCGAGGATCCGGGGGATCGTTCGTCGTGCAGAAGGATAAGGGAGGAGCAAATGACATCGATGTCAATATACTGCAACGATGGTATGGTCGATAAGTATCTCCTGGCGACGGTCCCGAGTGTCACTGCAGCGTTTGGAGGGCGGTATAACTGATTACTGATGACGAGGATCGATAGATATCGAAGAGTCTTCAACGCTGATAGCCTCTCGAGGATTGGTCCAATGAGCTATACGCAGAATGTGTCTATATCAGCACACAACAAATTATAAGTAGTTTAGATCCAAACCTGCTGGAGGGCCTCAACAGAACTTAATTCAAAACGATAAAGCCTGATGTGGAGGAAGTTTAAGTTGGGTAAGGCGTTCGCTATACGTTCGACGGCAAGATGTAGAGCCGATATATGTTCACGGCGATCAAACTTGATGGTGAGGGTGAGGCTTGTCACTGGATTGAGACAAATAGTTTCAAGGAAAGCGCAGAGATCACGGAGGTCCTCAAATGTTTCGTCACTGTATTGTGCCGGTAGACAAAGACGACGTAGGCCGACGATATGACTCTGGAGGAGGAAACCCTTCGCAAGCGTCTTCGAACCGGTGAAAGAAACAAGTTTATTGAACTCAGCTGGGGATGAGTTCCCGTCGCCTAGCCACATATCGGGGTTGAAGCGATCAGGAGCTGTAAAGTCGGAGTATATCGTCAGGAAAGATAATTTTGGGAATGCGTCTGCAAGGGCGGCCAAGGTGATGGGCAACGCGTCGATGTGCAAAGTTTTGACCTCAGCATACTCGAGTGAATCTTCAGATCGGGTAGCTCGAAGGCCTGGAAGGCATACGCCTGTGAACTGGAGAGCTTCGAGGGTGGGCCCTGCGGCAAGAAGTAATCGTTCAACACCTTCTGCATGTTCGTCGCAGTTGGAGATGTGAGGTGATCGAAGGGAAAGATAGCGGGTTCCAAGTCCTGCATTGCTGTCGATCTCGGAAGCACGGGGTTTCGATAACAGGATGTCGTGGAGTGTAACCTGCGGGGGCGTGCTGTGCAAAAGGAGTGAATGGAAGAGCTCGCCGTACTCTGCAGAGGCAAACTGCCGCCCGTATTCGGGGTAGACAAGGTCTAGACGAAGTGGAATGCTGGGCTCGAGCTCCATACCAACGTAGACCAAGTTGATGAGATGAGGGAGTAGTCGGCGGAGAGAGTTAGGAGGCTGCGCGTCGTTTCCACTGATTTTGAGCCTAAGACTCCGAATGTGTGGGTATAGCCCATGCTTCTCCACGGCGTTGCAAAAATTGTTGGTTATCCGTTCATCGTCAAGATACTCAAGGTAGAGGACGACGATTTTCACGAGGAAGGGTAAAGAGACGGTGGATGCAGTCTTCGAGACCTGGGCTACTGCGTGAAGCGACGCTTTATCAAGAAAAGCGATAATGTGGCGAGTACAGTCTGGATTCAGATCGTCAAACAAAGTCATGATGTCTGATGTTGTACAACCAGTTCATAATCACAGTGAAATCTCCTAGAAATCATTGAAATTGGATCAATGTAAAGGTTTAAATCGCGAGCAGCATACGCAAGCAGCAGAAGCAAAATGATAACGATCGCGAGCAAGTTGAAATGCTCACCGATGCAGCGGTGGCTGTGAAGTTCTCGAAGAAGCCTGACCTCAAATACTGCTTGTGTAACAGCTAAGAAATGGTGTCACTGGTTCGGAGTACGAGTTCTACAGGGAGCTTGACTAGTTGGTGAGTGCAAAGGTCCACCGCGGCGGTCTCCACCAATTAATTTGAATCTCCGCAGGTGTTAATTGAGCTCCGCTTCGTACCAGCCCCCATTTTCTTCGACTTTTCACCTTCGGACTGTAATGTTCGACACTGTAGAGCCATGGGCATTGGTACTCCTCGTCAACCCTATTTCACAAAAGCGAGAGCTGGATTTGAGTCCCTTGAATTCGGAATCTCCAGGGTACTAAGCAAGTCCAAAGCAATACGATACTAAGTAGGTCTACGCGTAGATAAGACAGAGGTGCCATAGGCAATGGCACACAGATCGATGACGATGAAAGCATGGCGACAAATATAGAGACGGGGAGAGGAAGAGGCGAAGCAACACAGAGCGTTCGTGACACACAAATAGAAATGAATACGGGGGACCAACACCACCACCTCCCGCCGGCTCACTTCTTCTTCTTCGCCGGACCCTCGTTCGCCATGCCGTCCACATTGGTCGACTTCCTCTTCACCGGACTGCCGCCCGCGGCCCCGTCCCGACTTGATGACTTCCACTTCACCGAGCATCCACCAGCCACTTTGTCCTGACCAGAGAGCCTCCCCTTCGCCGCACTCCCATCAGAGCCACCATCATCGCCAGCCAGCTCTTTCTTCGTCAAACTCCCACCCGCCACACTACCTCGAGCAGAGGGCTTATACCCTCCATTGCCTTCGTCCGGCGACTTCCTCTTCATCTTCCACACATTGCCAATCGATACACCCGTTCCGATCGACAACTTCCGCTTCAGCCTGTTCACTTCCGCACTTCCATCATCATCCCTCCGGCTTGAAGCATTATCACTCCTCCCTGAAGGCACCACCGTCCCCGAACCAGTCGCCTTTGCGGTCAGCAAACTGACTTCCTCGTCCTTCCTCTCAAGCGGCAGACCATCGTTCTTCTGGCTCTGGCTCGACGATCCATCCGACTGCGTAGTATCTACCACCGTCGATGCATTGCTGCCACGGCGACGGCGAGCATTGTTCTTGCTATCCGCCGAGGTCTGTGAGTTCTGGGACGACGAAACGCTGGTGTTTGTTTCGCAATCGACGGCAGCCTTGGGTTGGAGATGTGCGATCCAAGGATGGACGAGGGCTTCAGAGGAGCTGAGTCGGTCTTCTGACCAATACTGGAGAAGGTCTTTGACGAAGCTTTGACCTGGAAGTGCAAAGGTCAGGAGACAGGAAACGTCCAGACGAACTTTGGGAGCCACAATATGGAAATCATACCTGTGGGGCTGACGTTCGTCTCCTCCAATGGACCCCAGTCAATGATCCGCTCGCTATACGACCAATAGTCCTCGAGACCATTGTTGTCCGTAAAGAGGAGCTTGTCGGTTAACCTAGAGTAGGACAAAACAGGACACTTAGTATCAAGAATTGAGCAAGTGAAAATGGAGCCACTCACATGAAGAAGACCATCACCCCGAGGCTCCAGCTATCGACAGATGGTTGGTACCCATCTTTGCTAGGCAGACCAATTTCGGGGGCTTGATAGCTGTAGGTCCCACACATTGTCTTCCGCAAGATATCAGGGCTTGAATAAAGAGGGAAGGATGTAGCGGACCTTCAGTAAGGACTTGCTGTCCTTAGATTTGGCCAAACCAAAGTCAGCGACCTTGACTATGGGAGGCGTATCCTTCGTGAGAAGAACGTTCTGTGGAGCCAGAGCAGCATCAACCCAGGAAGAAGTGTGAGAGTACGACGACAAGTCACCTCTGGCTTCAGATCACGGTGCGCTATCCCTTTGGTGTGGACGTACTGGAAAGGAAGTCTGCAATCAGTGATGTAGTCGTAGGCCAAAAGCGTCAACTTACGGAGAGCGCTAAACAGACCTGATGAACGATGTGCTGTGACAATGGCTCGTCTAGCATCGTGATCGAGTCAGTCGGCGGAATACAGGGGAAGTGGACGGTTGCACTGACCAAGCCCTTCGTGCATTCTTATCAAATCGAGAAGGTTGCCTCCGTTTACGAGCTCGAGGACTAGATCTAATGGATAAAACCATAAGTTAGCCAATGACATCATGCAAATAGAGCATAAACACACACATATCGCGGGATCACCTTCCTCAACAAAGGCGCTCTTCAGCCTACAGACATTGCGATGCTTCAACTGTCGCAATATTTCGACCTCCCGCGTGAACGTCGCGAATTTGTTGGGATGTCGGAACGGGTGGTGTGGTTGACTGACGATCTTCACGGCATACCACTTGCTCGTCCTGCGGCACATTGCTCGAACGACTTTCCCAGAAGCTCCGTGACCTAATTCGGTTGTTAGGTCATAGTGTTGGTGGATGCCCTTGCGACGAGTGGTAGCAGCTACATGGCGAAATCGGAAGCCTGGGAAAGAGGGGCACATAGGAAGGACACATAAGATCATGTGAGCAAGGTAAGACGAAATGCTACATTTCAAAGAATTCGCTCACGATAGTCTTTGCTCAAATCCTTATGGGGGCATGACTGGCCAAGGGATATAGTAGAACCGTGTCGGAGCAAGCAAGACTGGTTACGGCCGACAGGTACACCATCAATCTACGCAGACAAATCAACTATGAGCATATGATGTGCACCGAGGACGCGGAAGAGCTCACGAAGGTACCACATTTGGATAAATCTTTGATGATCACGCTCTCAGCCTGGTCGGCGGACTCGTCTATCAAGATAACGCAGTGTTGACTGCCTACTCAAAAGAACACGACTGATCAGTATAGCTCGAAGTGGGACGGGAGTTATTGTGTCTGGGAGACGATACGTACTGACATGGGTGCCAGGGAACACGATATCATTCGTAGATTCGCGTCGCCCAATCTTGTACGTGGACTTGCTTCTTTCGAGCTCGATTGACGCGAGAGGCGAGCTCTCGTCACAAGGATGAAGCCACCCAATTACGCGACGCTGTTCTTGACTCGACTCGAGATGGTTTTCTCCTGCCGTTCGAGCGAGAGGTCGAAGAGGTCGCCTGGCCGTTTGCAACGGTCTGCTAGGGAGCTCCCCTTGAGTCGGGTCGGGGCGTACGATTGGGATGGAACGAAGACCGTGGTCTCGTCCCACCTTGCGAGAGAGAGTAAATTCAGGGGAAGAGGTCATGGCAGGGTAGGTATCCGGGCAGAGAGATTATTATTGAAAACAAGAGGATAGATGGGGTGGCCCTGCTATTAGATGTTGGTGGCAGATGCAGACACTTCGAAAACAAGGAGTGGGGTTAGTGAGACGTGTATTATGACCGACAAGTGCTTACAAAGATGGTACATAAGATGATACACTAGTTACAGTCAGAGAACGTAGAAGTATTACAAGAGACGAGAACAAAGACGCAACCACGTCGTGGTTGACTCTTCGGAAACAAGCGCCCATTTGCTCCCGTTGAACTTCGGAAGCCACGTGAGAAAGATCCCTGCGAGACGGCGAAAAGTCAATGTGGCGTGTGGCCCTCTGATGAACGTTCATCGTTAGGACTCATCGTCAATCCACCTCATGATTGGTTTGTAGCTGATAGGAGGGAAGATTTGTCCTGTAACCCTGTACATTATGCTCCTCCAACTTACTTCAGCTATCATTTCTCACAACACAGTTGGTCGTCTACAGACCGGATGAAAACACGATTGGCATGTTTCCAGAATATCGAAGAATTCGATCATTCACCAGAAAATCTGTTCACATGTAAGTGTGTATGTTGTACAGAGAGAATTCCATCTGTGAGCGAGACTTCTCTCTCCCGACACTACCGTCTGATACTGTATCTCGGCCACACGGATTGTTTCTGCTACCAGCACAATCGCTTCAACATTATCCTCAAACTCCCACGTTTCCTCCCTACCTTCAATATCACAAGCACCGCACGCCAACGCCAAGAGGGAGAAAAACTCACGCCTACATCTTCAAAAACGAAGGGAGCGTAGGCCCCGTAACACGATTCTCGAAGGCGCCGCCTCTGAGCGGAGGGGCGGTTATGCTGTGACTGTAAGCGACCATCAGGCATGATGAATGGGGGAGAAGGTAGGAGGCGAGCACGATGATAGCGCATGGTGTGGATCCTGGACGACAGGGCGATAGAACGCAAGTATGGGGTGTTGGAGTATTCTAGGTATGTCTGGAGAAAGGTTAAAGTTGGGTATCGTCCGATTCCTTGGATGGCGGAGTCTAAGGGGGCAGGAAGGGAATAATACTTGATGTAATATCGAGAGAGGTGGAGAAACGACGGTCGTACAGCCAAAGAAAAGTATCTCATGTCATTATGACAAGGAACGTCGCTATCTGCATAAATAATGACGATGGTAACGGCCTTTCAGTGGTACTCCAGACCCAGATCCCTCGTAGGAGGTTAAATCACAACCTGTAACAATTTGCGCGCATTCTCGAGAAAACTGCGCGTGAATGGGTGAGCGTTCTTGAGAACGATACTGATGGAAGAACATACCGCCCTTGATCTATCTTTGCCTCAGATATCGTCTGTCCACAGCGAATGAAAGAGTCTACAACGTGCGGGTCTCCATCTCAGCCGTGGGCTACTCTGTGAGCCAATCCACTTAGTATGGGAGAAGTGTCTGACATGGTGGTAGATGGCGAGCAGGTGGATTTATATATCATGACAAAGTCAAGAGGCTGCCTTGCGTAGGCTGGCTCCGAGTGCCTTCGGTGTGTACGAGCGAGTAAGAGTTTGACGTCTTGCCGAACACAGTGCACATACGCTGGGTCTTTTCCGTTGTTATGTCGCGAGTCCGTATGGGAGGGAGGCCCTAGTATTCCTGGAGACAGACGAGTATGTCGAGCGTGGCTTCCTCCCTTGTGTGAGGACATGCTAGTGGTCTGCGCGATGTTTACTTCGAGAGCAGCGGGTCTAGATGAACTGCCATACATCTGTGTCGGTTAGTCTGCCTCGATGATAATATATAGCATACGTGCGTGCGATTGTCTGTGGGTGCCATGCTGGCAGACGGATCTTATAATAGCAAGAACGATTGGATCACGCTGCATCGACCCCGTCGCTACAGCTTGCATATTACCATCGAGTGCGTCCTTTCCACGGTTCTTCCGAAATAATAACTCGAAGTATGGCAAATAATGCTTTACAGAGCGTCTGAAGCCAGCCATTCCAGAGTGCTAGAGACGATACCCCCTATAGACAACCAAGACCTCTGGCAGATCGTCGCCAAGAGTGGTCCAGACGTCAAGAATACTAGTAGAGACATCCAGATATTCTAGGTATACTTTGTCCGTACGACACAAGATCCCTAGAAAATAATCCTTGGAAAGCGACGGCGACCGGGGCGGAGGGGCTGAACCATGACGAAGGGGGCCGAACATTGTCGAAAGTCGTCGAAACAGCGCGGATCGATTTCAGCCACAGCGCGTGGCTGACGCCAAAAAATAAAGTCGCGCCTGTCCTACGCAAGCCCACCACGACCCCCCTTGCCCTACTGCCCTTTCCCTTCGTCTTCGACGTACCCTTACTCTAGACTTTTTCAAATCGCCAGTTTTTGATCATCATGGCTGTCGTTGGTATCGATTTTGGTACTCTTCACAGCAAGGTGCGTGGCGAGAGTTCTTCGTCGGTTTGGATGGTACTTACATTCGACTTTCTGTACATTTTTTGTTTATGTTTCTTAGATTGGTGTTGCTAGGAGAAAAGGTATTGATATCATCACTAATGAAGTGTCTAATCGCCAAACACCGTACGTCCCCTGTTCTCTTCGTGTATCTTCTTCGCAGGACGAGCAGATGAAGATGAATGTGGCCTCTATCTCCGGAGGGTGGCGCAAAGCTATTGCTCATATGCTCGTGTATGCTCCATACGCTATTGCATGAGGATATCTCATGTTCAGTATCTTAATAAAAGTAGTTTGTCACAACCGTAGAGTAAAGTGCAAAGTGCTCGTCCTGCGATGAAGTTTGCTGTGTGGCGCCCGATCAGCGGTACTGATGTTATTGATTCACCATCCATTTAGGTCTCTCGTCGCTTTCGGTCCCAAGCAACGTGCCCTCGGCGAGTCTGCGAAAACCCAAGAGACCTCAAATTTTAAGAACACCATCGGTTCTCTCAAACGACTCCTCGGGCGGACATTGAACGACGTTGAGGTCCAGGAGTACGAGAAGAAGTTCATCAACGCCTCTCTGGTTGATGTCGGTGGAAGCGTCGGTGTTGAGGTATGCCTATTCCCTCTTTCTACGGTCGGTCTCGTGCACAGTATTAAATACAACACTGTGTGTCAATAGGTCAACTACCTCGGCGAGCGCCAAAAATTCTCCGCCACGCAACTCGTCGCCTCCTACCTCGCTAAACTTCGTGACATCACCGCGAACGAGCTCAAGAACAGTGTATCCGACTGTGTCATCTCCGTTCCCGGCTGGTACACTGACATTCAACGACGAGCACTTCTTGATGCCGCTGCCATCGCCGGCCTAAACCCCCTCCGCCTCATCAACGACACCACCGCCACCGCTCTCGGATACGGTATCACCAAATCCGATCTCCCTGAAGCTGAAAACCCCCGCCATGTCGCCTTCGTCGACGTTGGCCACTCTTCCACCTCTTGCTCCATCGTCGCGTTCTCCAAGGGCCAACTCGTCGTCAAGGCTAACGCTTATGAACCCCACTTCGGTGGCCGCGACATCGATCTCCGCCTCGTCGAGTACTTCGCCGAGGAGTTCAAGGAAAAATACAAGATCGACGTTCTTAACAACCCCAAGGCCGTCTTCCGTCTCTACGCCTCCGCTGAGAAACTGAAGAAAGTCCTCTCCGCCAACGCCGAAGCTCCCATCTCCGTTGAATCCATCATGAACGATATCGACGCCTCCTCGAAGCTGACTCGCGAGAAATACGAAGAGCTGATCAACCACCTCCTCGACCGTATCCCTGCCCCTCTCAAGGCCGCACTCGCCGACTCCGGTCTCACCCTCGAGCAGCTCGACGCCATCGAGCTCATCGGTGGCTCCACCCGTATCCCTGCCGTCCGTGCTCGCATCCAGTCCGTCTTCGAGGGCAAGACCCTCTCTACGACTCTTAACCAGGACGAAGCCATCGCCCGCGGTGCGACCTTCTCCTGCGCCATGCTCTCCCCCGTCTTCCGTGTTCGTGACTTCGCCATCCAGGACATCGCACACTACCCTATCAAGATCCGCTGGGAGAGGACCGAGGGCGATACGGACGACGATACCGAGCTGGTCGTGTTCCCCAAGGGCAACCACGTGCCCTCCACGAAAATCCTATCGTTCAACCGCACGGCGCCCTTCGACCTCGAGGCGGTTTACGCTGAGCCCGAGTCGCTCCCTGGGTCCATCAACCCTTGGCTCGCTCGCTTCACCGCCAAGCAAGTCGGCCCGCCTCCTGCCGGTGAGGAGTTCTTGACGGTCAAGGTCAAGACGAGGTTGTCGAACCATGGAATCGTGTCGTTCGAGCAGGTGTATACCGAGGAGTTGGACGTGCAGGAGGTTGAGGTGAAGGCTGATGAGCCGATGCAGGTGGATGGTGCCGAGGGTGCCCCTGCGCCTGCGGAGGGCGAGACGAAGAAGAAGACGAAGAAGAGGGTTATCAAGAAGGATGTGCCATTCATTGCTGCGTATAACAAGCTCGACAGCACTATCCTCGAGGAGTACAAGGAGGTTGAAGCGAAGATGCACGCTGCCGACAAGCTTGTCCAGGACACTGAGGTGTGTTCTTTTTTCAGACCCCATGTTCGTTCTGGGCGCTTCAACTGATTTTACATTTGCGATTGTAGGACCGTAAAAACGCTCTCGAGGAGTACATCTACGACATGCGTGGCAAGCTCGACGACCGATACGCCCCTTACGCCCAGCCCGCCGAGAAGGAGAAGCTCCTCGTCGAGCTCTCCAAGGAGGAGGACTGGCTGTACACCGAAGAAGGCGAAGACGCCACCAAATCCGCCTACGTCTCCCGTCTTGACGCGCTCCACAAGCTCGGAGACCCCATCACCGCTCGCTGGCGCGAAGCTGAGGACCGTGCCCGCGCGATGGCCGAGCTCCGCGACACGATCAACACCTACATGTCCCAGGCGACGTCCTCGGAGGAGCGGTACAGCCATATCGACCCCAAGGACAAGCAGTCGATCGTCGAGAAGTGTGCGACCGTGCAGCAGTGGCTCGAGGACCAGAACGCAAGGCAGGTGGAGAAGCCTAAGAATGTGGACCCGGTGTTGACGACGGCGGAGATGGCGAAGAAGAGGGAGGAGATCATCTTCTTTGCGACGCCGATCATGACGAAGCCCAAGCCCAAGCCTCCCAAGGTTGAGGGAACCGACACCCCCAAGAGTGGGCAGCAGACGCCAAACCCGCCTCCGAAGGCTGAGACGGAGACCCCGCCTAAGACTGAGGGAGAGGCTGCTGATGAGGGGCCATCTGAGATGGATATCGATTAGGTGGATGGACGTTCGTAGATTGTGAGGAGGGGCTCACCCGCTTGCTTTTTCATAATGCGTGGTTGTTGTGTCGATGAAGTCTTGGTGTCCTTGTAGTGATATACGTACGCAGTTGTAGCTCAATGTTCGAAGCTTTGTTGTTCAATACGTTCCATTAGAATAGAACTTGACTATATTCTCATCCCGATTGTGAAGATGCTCATGTCTGTGGGCTGAGTTTGTGTGGCGTTTATGCGGGAGTCTCCCCTCCCGACCCATCGCCTTCCTTCCATTCATCCATAGACGGCCTGTTTCTAAAAGGATAAATCAAACGTAAAATATCTAATGCGTGAGGGCGCCGTGATGCTGCAGCCAATGGTCGCAATCGTGAATCGATAAGTTAGAAAATGTGGCGCTACGCCACAACTGCGGCGCCGAGATACGTGTGTTCGGCGCACAGCCACCGGAGAGGGTTACGTCGTACTTGGAATGGCGTTGCTGACCGCCATCCCAACTTGATCAGCTACCACCACCATGATCACCCATTTCGCCCGTCGCGCTCTTGCGCAAGCCTCGACGCCCGAGGTCGAGGTGGATATTAACAATCTTTACGCCAGTGCTTTCCTTTCGCCCGTCGCAATCTACGTTGCCTCGACGGCCTCGTTCCGTGTAAGTTCACCGCCCATATTTTGATACCCTGGCCTCTAACGAGTCGAACGACTTTTGTTTTATTTTGCAACCCTTTTGTTTCATGTAGCTTTGGAAAGCTCTCGAGCACTACGATGCGTCTCCTCTTGGGCTCAAGCCTATGGACGATAAGAATGGGAAGTTGACCAGAAAGCGCAAGATCATGCTTGCGGTCATCTTCCTTGCCATATTCGGCCTCGAGGGTGCCTTCTTCTACGGCGCCTTCACTGGGTCGGACACAGTCGTGAATGGGTTCATTTCTGCCTTGACGTTCTTTGTTTCTTGGGCTGGTTTTGCTTCGGTATGTGCTACTCATCGGTCCTTGGAATTCATGAAACTGATGGAATGGTTGCGTATGACCCTCCTCACAGCCCATCAGCTACATGCTCTGCGATGCTGTCGTTCGTCGCATTCCGGGAACTAGTAAGTATCTTCCTTTTTATCACGGTGGGGCCAAGGGTATCCAGGACGCCTGAGAGGATACGCACTTGGCGCAACTGCGATCGGGTCTCCCTCCCTTGATCGACCATTCCGCAGACTGATGGAAAGCGCATGCTGACCATGAACTTCCCTCCTTTTCAGAGCGCGCCATGCCCGTTGTCACTCCTGTCCGCACCCACAGGCGTCGCAGGTGGCTCTCTTCTTTGTTCTGCGCCGCTGCGGCTGGAGCCACCACGTACACCGGTAACAACATCGCCTGGAACTTGGCCGTTACCGGGTTTGTCTTCCGTATGGTCGCTACTGCTCCCCCTGCCAACCGTAAGGGATGGACCTCCGTCCGTGGTATGGTCATCGGTCTTCTCTCCTACATTACTCTCGTCCTCGTCCTCGTGGCCGGTCTCCTCTTCGTCGCCTTCCAGACCGAGGGCGGAAACAAGGAGTCGAAGTCCGAGGATTCCGCTGAACTCGATATGGCGATGGACGACGAGGACGCTCAGAGGATGACCGGCTTCTCCAACAGCATCATCACCGCCTTTATTGGTAGGTCTATCCTCTGGTCATAATTAGCATGCTATGTTTGCTCATGGTTCTACAGGTATGCTCATCGCCCTTGTCTACCGTGCTGAGGCCTTTAAGTCCGCCGCAGCTGTCCGTCTCCAGGAGTCCTCTGAGGAACTTCAGTGGGAGATGCCTCCTGTCAAGCACCACCGTCGCTCTGAGCAACCCCAAGTCGAAGTCACTGAGGCCACCACTGATGCTCCCGCTTCCGAGGCGCCCGTCGAGGGCTGCCGTAGGTTCAAGCTCTTTGGTCGCAAGGGCTCTTGTAGGAAGAACGGAATGAAGCGCTGCGGCCGTGGTCGCAAGCTGCTCAAGGTCCCCGGTGTCATCCTTCCTGCTTCCTCTACCGCCCCCGCTTTCTCCCCTCTCACCGCACCGATCGCTACTCTCGCCCTTCTTACCTACATCCTCGTCCATCTCCCCGCTCTCCTTCTCTCTTCGGAGAACGCCACTTTCGGCTTCAAATACCTCCTCACGGCTCCTGAAGTCGAGCAGGACAAGTGCATGAAGATCATGCTCGAGGTCTTGGCTTTGACGCCCCCGAGGTTCTGGGCTGTTATCCTTGTCCCTGTCGTCGTCGGTGTTGCATGCGTGTTCAGGTGGAGCAGCGGTGGAAAGGAGATGTGGACCTACGCGGAGGAGTGGGTTTTGGTCAAGGCTAAGAAGACTGAGGGTGAGACCGAGGTCGAGGCTGCTACCATTCCCGTCGCCGCGGCTCCTGCAGGCGATGAGAAGGTAGCTCCCCCGGCTTATGAGGTCTTGTTTGAAGCGGATGCGAAGGACGTTCCCGCGGATATTAAGCCCTAAAGCCTCAGGCTCCTTCATCGTCACACCCACACTTCGATACGCCGTTACTGCTGTCTTGGACGATCTTCTTTTCTGATATGTGTTTTCTAATATCGTACTCTCCTTCCGACTCATTTCTTGCTATCATCTCTTCCCGCATTCTTCACGTTTTACTTCGTCTAGTCTTAAGTTCGGTTCGAACGTTTTGACTGACAGAGGTTATGGGGACGGAGGTGCCAGCTTTTTGTACTATTACTACTATTCTCGTTAGTTGACTGGTTCGATGGGTGAAATTATATACTTGCTGTGTGCAGAATTGTTCTGGGTGTCTCAACGCTCAGCCGAGCCGAACTGCCTACCAGTCGTCAGAGGGGTCTGGGATCACTAAGTTATTACATGACGAGTGTTCGCAGGGTTGTTCGGCATCTTGAGTTGCACACAAACAACGCACGTATCCCTCAAAGTCAGAGAATGCGGCTTTTGTTACCCACCGTCTGGAGCCAACCGGCCGGCCCCGCCAAACGACTCCGAGTTTGACCAGACTAGTCACCGTCCACCGTGTACAGAGACGGTCACCAGTCTACCTCATACCCCGCTACATTTCATCATGACAGAGGAGACATACACCCTTTTTATTTTCGAAGACGATCTCGAATGCACAAAATTTCTCCTCCGGAGAATCGTCAAATGTTCTCCAACAGACACGCTCGGAAAGTTTTTTCAGATTTGCACCGAAGCTCACGAGCCAAAGCAGCCGGGAAGATGGGAGCTTTACAGGGTCTGTCGCAAATGGTTTTCAGCTCCCATGCATTTACTCATGTCTCTTACAGGCGCGCGAAAGGGCCCCTGCGCTCGAGTCACTAGAAGAGATCGATAGATTCGTAGACGATAATTTTTTCGAGGCTCCAAGTCGCTTGTTCAGAGATTCCAGGGCATATGTTTACACTGCCAAGTCCAGTGAAGCGGGTAAGGTCACTATCGCAACTTCCATTCTGGGTCATCGTGTCTTCGTCGTTTACGGTATATATCCTCCTCTTCGACAGGGATGGCATAAATGACACTCGCTCCCAGCCTTCGACGACGCTCCCATCGTACGCACACCGCTCCCTGCTATATCAGAGAACCGAGCAAAGGATGGTGTGTAATGTGTCTCCTTGCCGTTTCTCTCTGTTCTGATCGTATGGATGTATAGACCGAGACACTGTGGTAAAACAGGCGAAGAATCATCCAGTTCCCTCAACTGGTGTAAAGACGTCTCAGATGCGGAAGCGACAGACACCTGGGCGACTTGATGCTCTGTTCAACGGAAGGCCGGACTCTCTCTCTCCTACTCCTATCGCCATCTACCATCCTGTCTTCTCTGAGTTCGCCGACGCCGCCTCTTCCCCAAACCCACCGTTGACCGCAGAAGAGCTCAAGTATGCAGCCAACCTCATATCCGTGGCGTCTGAGTTCTACATGGACGAAGCGAAGCGTCAGGACAAGATGGCAGATGCGCTGGCACCGATGTTAGGGAATCATGGAGTATGTCTCGCAGAAACCAGGATTCAGGTAGGAGACTCGTTTGTCAAGCCAGACTGCCATACTCGAGTGCCCTGTGTGCAACACTCTCTACCCGAAGCACCGGTTGTAGCCTACACGCTGGTCGGAGAATGGAAGCTCGAGATAGGGGATGGTGGATGCGACCCTCTGGCGCAAGCTGGATGTGTGCATACGGCTTTGTGCTCAGCGGACAAAGTAAGTTCCTATCTTCTTTTGTGGCCCCAAAGTATTTATGGCTCTTCGCTCTCCTTGATAGTATGGGTCTATTCGCGCCGCATCCTGCTGCCCCGCGTTTCTCATCGCCTTCATCGGACCATACTTCGCCATCCAAGGAGCTGTTTTCGCAGATCGATTCATGGCCCAGCACCTTACCGACTTGATCTACCTCGGCCCCAGCGACGTAAATGCCAATATCGATCATGCCATCATCCGTATTGCCAGTATCTTCCGCGCCCTGGGCATTGCGTTGGACTCCCTTGAAGACTTCTACAAGCAACTTCCGCTTCCATTGACGCGGCAATCACCTACACCGTCGCGCGGATCGACCCGCACGAGCTCGCCCCGTGTCTCCACCCGTTCGATGTCAGGAAGGAACAGTGCCATCCCTTTGCCATCAGTGATGCAACGAACCCTTCCCATCCAATACGACACTCCGCCTTTTGTTGGACCTGCTTTCCTAGAGTTCACGAAGGACGGCACGACGTTCAAGCTGCAGTACAAAGAACGTCTCGACCCACGCCATTTCGAGAAGGCAGTGTTCAAGGCGACGTGCACCGAGGACGGGACCAACTACTTCCTGGTAGTTGTCAAGTTCGCCCGTACGTATTCAAAAGAGGCCCATACGCTTCTGCAAGATCTGCCGAGGCCTTTGGCACCCAGGTTGTGGTTTTGCGACAAGGCTCTGGATCTCGGAAGTTGGTGGGTTGTCGTGATGGATTACATTCCAGAGCCCCCATCAACTTTAGACAAGGAGCGGGTGAAAGCAGATGTGAGGGAGGCCGTGGAGGTGTTACATGGTGCTGGCATTGCGCACGGTGACCTTCGAGATGCGAACGTTGTGATGACCCACGATGGGGCGATGGTGGTGGATTTCGACTGGTCTGGGAGGCACGGAGAAGTGAAGTACCCAGCCACCTTCAATAGGAATATTGATTGGCCGGATGGTGCGACTCCACTAGGACCGATCCTGTGCGAGCATGATGATGACATGCTGGATAAGTTTGAACATTGGGTGGATGGGTTGTAGTAAGAGTGTAGGACATTGGTTTGACCGACCTCTATCTTTCTTTTTCTTCTTTTTCTTTGTCTAGGATGCCTATCGTTCTGTTCAAAAATCTCCTGTTGGTCTGTTCCTTCCTCGTTTCCTGCAATTGTCGCCACTCGGTTGCTGCCCCAGCTTCTCATTTCCCCTAATAGCCAACATGTAAATCCTTTCTTTTGGTCCTATAAAAGATTCATTTGTTGTTGATGGCAAAGACCTCTGTGGATGTGGACTAATGAGCCTATTCATCGCTACGGAAGGCCCCTCATCTCGCTTCAGTGCCACATACACTCATTGCCACCCACCAGCAGACTTCTCCGTTGTCCCTTTCCCTCTCGAACTTCTACCACTTCTGACCATACCTCTCCCCTTACATTCGTATCACCACCACCACCACCACCACCACCTCCTCCTCCTCCTGTAACCCCGATCAAAGCCCTCGTTAATGACATCCTCTGACCCTCCACATCAGCAAAACCCGGAGCCGTCTGACGCGTCTGGGCCATCTTGCGCGTCTGACCGGTCTGACAGAATGCGGGCGATCAGACCTTCACACCTCTCATGCTCACGCAACCTCATACCGTTCTTCAATAATTCTCAACTCATTCCGCGTTCAATGGTATTGACACGCTCATCGATGGTTGGTGCTGTGAAGTGTTTCGTTATGCTGTGCGACCCGGACATGATGGAGCAACCCCCCAAGCGGCAAGCCACAGTACTTGGAGCAGTTCGCTTCCCTATCCCAATTCGCTTCCACGTCAGTGAAATAAACATGGACAATGAAACCGTTAGAGTGTCAATGTTGAATGTCGATGGCCGAGCATTTCGTCTTTACAGACGAACGTCCTGCCAGTGTAACCTCGTACATGCGTACGAGGCTACTACGACGCCACAGACCCGGGAGTTACCGGTTTCGGACTCCCGACGTTTCTTACTTCCGTTCCGCTGGGACAGAGATCAGCTTGCATGTACTTATATACTCGCTCAGGCTCGCTCGTGTCTCTCAGGGCTCTCTCCCACCCCTCATCTCTCTCATAGCTAGGCTTCTGTCTGTACGTCAACAGAGACACTCTTTGCTTGTTTAGTTTCGCCGAGCGTCTCTCCCGGGCTCTGCTCTGGTTCTAGTGTTCCTCGACGCTGCGACCAGCTACATATCTTTAGCTCACACCACACCGCACACCTCACACTTCACCTTTTTCAATGCCTTGGAATTATAGCTGGCTATAACACAGTCCACATCGAGCTCCAGCAAAGGTTCACCGTACACGTTATGTTTTGATCGTGAACGCTCCACAGCGGTGGACGATTCATAATTAGGATTGAGTACTCGACGCATACAAAGCAGGTAGCTCGAACAACAGCAACAACAACAACAGATTAAATCAAACCATAAGCACAGACTACGTCAGAACATCACGACATCAAGACATCTACGCTTAATCCATGTTTTTCCAAGAAGTGATTCCTGTCACGAAGTCCATCTCTTCCACTATATTATCATGATCAACAAAGAAAACACGATCAGCAATCAGCAATCAGCATAGAGCATAAGGATAGGCAGGCACGGAAATAAGAAATAGACGTACGCGAAACGATCTTAGTCTTATACCAGAACTTATACCCAAAGTACAGGATGATGAATATGGGTATGGGCAGGTAGTTCGTGATGAACGACGCCGTGTCCCAGTTGCCTTTCAGGAATACACTCCAGTCGGCGAAGACGATGATCAGGAACGTCCACCTATCAAATCGAAACCCGTATCGTCAATCCACTGCCCCAAGATACGTCGATCATCAGGAGGAGAGAAGACTCACCCTAAGCCCCACCACGCGGCGTACGGCTGCAATGGGCTGTACCACGGCAAGTTCTTGTGCGATATTCCCTGAGCCTACGGAAGCATCAGCAACAACAAACGCATGTGATCAGCAGCTGTAAGTGGTTTGCGAGCATCGAAAGGGACGCACCTTCAATCCTTGACGGAAACGGATAGAAGTGAGGCAGATCCCGAACCAGTTGAACATGCCAGACACGGTGCTCATATTCGAGAAATACCCGAACACGGTCGACGAGTTCCCGGTGACTGTGGCCGCCACGTTAGATTATCGGCAAAATATGACCAGATAGATTGAAGAGGGGGATGAACGCACCGCCCATGTAGGCAAGGAAGCCAAGAGCAACGGAGAGTCCGATGGCGTAGATGGGCGTTCCGTACTTGTTAGTCCGCGCGAAGATCTTGGGGGCCTGGCCGATCGTGGCGAGACCGTACATCGCACGACTGGAGGTGTAGAGATCGGATGAACCGGCGGACCAGGCGGCAGCTGTGGCACACGCATATCTATTAGTGACAAGGAGCGTGAAAGCAGGCAGAAAGGTTAGAACATATACGTACTCAAGAAACAAGCATTTGCGATATGGGGGAGCACTTTGATTCCTGAAAGCTGGATGGCGATGACCCAGGGGGAGGACGCAGCCGTGCCGGTGCTCGTGGTCAACAGGTTGTTGTCGGAAGGGACGATCATGCCCAAGATCTAATGCGCGAGTCATTGTCAGTCGTGCCACTCACTACCGCACACCGTTCATTCCGTCGGACTTACGAAGACGCCGAGGCTGAATAATGCAAGTATGTATCAGCTCAGCTCCGTGCAAGCATTTCAGTGCAGTCGACTCGAAACTCACATGTAGAAAATGAGGATTCGGATCCAGATACCGCGAATGGCCTTGGGGATGTTCTTTGTCGGGTTCTGGATTTCAGCGGCGGTCATACCCAGAATTTCCGTACCGAGGTAGGCATAACCAGCGCCGATGAGGACAGACCACATGCCGAGGAAGCGACCCAGAGAGCCACCGATATCTGAAAGGAACATATGTTGAGAGCCGGCCGTAATTCGAAGAGAAAAAAAAATTACCATCGTATTGCACAAGGGGTCCTGGGTTATGCTACACGCCACACATAGTAAGAATAGATTCGACATCAGACGCACAACGGAAAACGCACCCAGTAGCGGAAACCGAGACGGTCATGGTCCGGTGCACCGCCCAAATCGATGACAAGACCGCAGATGATAAGCCCTGAGAAACGATGTCAGGTACAAAGTGGTGTGGGGTTGAGGGGACGCCACAGAGACTGAAACTAACCTACGATGGTGATGACTTTGACCGATGCAAACCAAAACTCGGCCTCTCCAAAGGCCCGCGTCCCCAAGAAGTTGATGGCAACAACAACGATACCGAATATGGTGATCCATAGCGCATTCTGTATTACAGCGCTCAGTAAGCATTCCGGATGGAGTGAAAAGAGTCGGAGTCGGAGCTTACATTTATTGAGCTATTCCAATCTGGTGATGTCAATAAACTCAGCCAAGGAACGTTTTCCAATGAGAGGAAGATGGCTCTCACAATTGACAAGAACCGCGGCAGCCGACAGCTCAGCAGGCAGAGTAACAACCCATGAATACCAATAATTCCATCTTCGCCCAGTCTATGAGTGCAAAATTCGGAGAGATGCAAGAAAAGACTCACCCCATGGCGAATGCCAATGCTGGGTCAACAAATCGTCCAGAGAGCGTTACCTGACCACCAGCGACCGGGAGCAAAGTGATCAACTCTCCGAGAGACAACATCATCGCGATACAGGCGGTCGACACGATGGCATAACCCAGCAACAAGCCCAAGGGCCCTCCATCCGCTAACGACGCTGCCGTACCCAAGAACAGACCTGATCAAGCGCGGAGGTGAGGTCATTACTCGAAGGAAGAGCCTCTATACGGTAAGGGGAATGAGAACGCACCGGTGCCGATGACACCACCAATTCTTCATCCAAGAAGCCAGCATTAGCATCAGTGAAACTCCCGAAAAAAAGGCATAACGTACGAAATCATCTGAGCATGTCGGTTCTTCAGTCCACGATGCAGCTCATTGGGGCCCAAAACTTCGCTGTCGGCGCCCTCGACATCGTGGCTAGTGGTCACGTCCGTCTTCTCGAAGTCGGAGGACGGCTTTTTCTCGATGGTGGTGGGGTCGCTCATTATGCCGGTGACAATGGCGGGGAGAAAGGAAGGTGGGGACGTGAGCCTTGTCGGCGTGTGCGCTATACTTAAGAGCTTGATGGAGCACACGACATCAGCCAGATAACGCTAGGCATCACATAGACAGAGTCCACTTTTTTCTGCGGCGCAAACAATTGATCCGGCTGGACCAAACAACTGCCGTCATGGCTTCACCGCCACCAATGTCTCGTTCGTGCCACGGCAAATGCAGGCAAATGGACATCACTTTTTTTAACTGGTTTTTTTCTAACTGGCACCCTCGACGGAGAGTACTTCACCCTCGTGAACCATATCGTACAGTACGAGCGAGTCTATGGCACGATAAATCCCACAAAATGTACCAGAAAATAGAACTGAGATTGAATAGCAAGTCGGAACGGTGGCGAGCTAGGCCGGGGCCACACCTGTCGCTTGCCTTGAGATCCTGTGCTGCGAACCATGCGGAATCCCAGGCACCATATCACGGCTCCACCAAAAAAGGTGTTCACTTGTACGCAGAGATAACGCGCCCTAACCTTGCCCGCGCCATCATTCTGAAAGTGCAGCGCTCGTGGAGGACCTTGCAGCCGCTTTCAGAACGAGAACTTAACCCCCGACGCCTTTGTCGTGAATTAATGTGGACAGACAAGTGCCTTATGGGGCAGCCTGCCATTTTCTTCATGCTCCGATATCTCTGCTCATCACACCGGAGCTGGCGCAGCGTCTCGCTGTTGTGAACCATATTGGATCAAGCTTCCGTCGGCGGAGTGTCATGACGCCGTGGTCTGTGAACTACTGAGTCGCAAAAAATGGGAATATTGTTCTATGTTGGCCTGCTATACTCCACCTCGTCTTGCCACCTTTTCTTGCCGTTGCAGCACTGCACCAGCCTTCCTCTTGATGTGTTTATGAGGTATATGTTTCCGTTCTCTTTTTTACGCCGATCTTCTCCTTCACTTGGTTCATGTCGCCGGAATCGCCCGTCATCCACGTGGCAACCACACAAGTGATTGGAGGTCAAGAATCGCGTGTTCCCGACAACGACAATGCCTCTGCCAATATGGACACCAGCAATGACACAACCCCTCTGGTAAGATTGATACTGCATTGTAATGTATGTGGTCTCATCCTTTATTTACAGGCACAAAACTCCTTCGATGTTCTCTCGATTGATAACCTGCTTTTTCAGTGTCGTTCAAGTCGACATTCCCGCTACTCTCAAGCGAAAGTCTATACCAGTGGAGTTGGTGGACATATTTCCCCATCCTGCGCTTGCTGATGACCTGGAGCCTTTCGTTGAAGAAGACGATGCCCAAGATGGTTCACCACTTCGTCGAGTGTCATGTCTGCCTCCTCCTACGCACGCGAAACTGTCTTTTTCGTTGTGCAACTTCGTCGGATCTGGTCGCTCTGGTGTCGTCTTTGAGGTCGTCGACCCCGTGATCGCCTCTGCAGATTCTGACTCATCTACGCCATCACCTACTGGCTATTTACTACCTCTTGTTGTCGAAGTCTCCAGGCAACTGCGTTGTCAGCCCGTCGTTCGTGAGGCCTGGTTCTATGAGGAGATGGAGTGCCTTCAGGGTATTGCGATCACACGATACTATGGCTGTTATGAGCTGAGATTACAGCAAGGATGGCGTGTTCATGCGTGGGACGACCCGCCGTGCCGCACTGACGACAAGAAATTCGATTATGTCCCCGACTTTCGTCAATATCCTGTATCGGCATTGCGCGAGACCGGTATAACACCTCACACTCTGTTGATGGATCTCGTCAAGGAGTATAGTTCTGTCTACGTCACTGTCTTAGAACGGCTAGGGCCTAAATTACCCACTGGCATCCAGACCCTCCGGACGTGCGGTACGTTTATTCGGTCTGGATTGTAGTCGTTTTATGTTGCTGACGACTAGCGTCTTGTATCTTTTGTAGACAGCGATGACATTCTCGGTGTATACGACAACGTCAGCGCCTTAGGCATTGAGCTCGCGGGCGATATGACCTGGGACAACATCCTCGCAGCGCCTCCCCTTCCCCTCGGCATCCCCAGCTTGAAATCGCGCTTCACGAACGGGACGCATGCCTGGCGTGCGATCGACTTTGAACGGGCTCAGAAGACGCCGTTGGCACTCCAGGCCGAACACAGCTGCTGGCTTGATAAGATATATTCGAACATTAGCTATTGGGGGCCCACTCCTACAGTCCTGCCCCAAGCCGTGACAGAGACTACAATGTCCGACGAGAATTATACAGCTGTGTTGTGATAACTTTGGACTTCATTTGCTGACCCGTACCTCTTTCTTTCCATTTTTTCTCCATACTTGCTCATCACCAACTGTTCGTGGATCTTCTGTTCCGATTCTTGTTTCATAATCAAGTCTTGTTATTTGTTGCTCCTAGTATCCCATCTTTGCCGGTGAAGTGCTCCTTAATCGAGTTCACCCTATTGATGCATTCTTAGTTGCGCGCGTCGTTCGTTAACGCCAACGTGGGCCGTCAGAAGTATGTATGATGCTAGACCTTGCCATCTAACTTAGGTCTTGTGGTTTGTCTTTCATACTAGTATTTCACCTTGCAGCACGCACACTCTTCTTGCACATCTGTCCCGTACGACTCCCTCAAACTCTGTGTAGCTGATATTGGCCTTTTCCTCAATCAAGGGAACAATAGGTCTCACGGACGGCATGCGCCGAATCGGGGCTACAAAAGCCACCACGCACCGCTTCTGTTTTTTTTTTTACAACGACCACGACATGGCTCCTCCAACCAAACCACAAATCCTTGTGAGCCTTTAATTATGTGGATGTCACTGCTATGTCGCTGACCGTTGCAAATACAGTCTCAGAATGCCTTCAGCACGATCGATATCAACAATCTTGTGTTTCGACGAGCAGACAACGATGACAGATCTCCGATCTCGTGTACTCTGGAGCGGATGTCAATCCCTCTCGACTTCGTGGGCATCTGCCCTGATCCAAAGATCTCGCAAATGCATCCCCGCCGGCCCCAGAGCGCGTATCAGACGAACACCCAGCGTCCACCATCTCAGCTCCCACCTTCAGGCCATTCCAGATTATCTTTCACACTAGGGAAGGTACTCGGGGCAGGTAACTCCGGAGTAATACACGAAGTCCTGGATCCCGTCGTGGAAGCTTCCGAGGAGGATTCCCCGCAAGCGGTAGGACATCTTCCTCCCTTAGTCGCTAAGATTGGCTGGTCGCATCGTTGTTATTCGATCGTACGCGAGGGTTGGTTCTATGAGGAGATGGAGTGTTTGCAAGGGGTAGCTATTCCTAGGTGCTATGGTTGCTTCGAGTTGAAGCTTCAGAAGGCCCTCCATATTGGTCCATGGGAAGACTCTGGCGATGAAATATTCGACTCACTCGACTTTATACCCGAGCACGAACACTATTCTCTGTCGGAAATGAACACCGTTGGCATCGCACCTCATCCTCTTTCCTTAGAGCTCATTCATACTCCTCATGATCGAGTATACATTCTGCTTTTGGAACGCATGGGTGACGAACTGTCCCCCGGCGTCAACCACCCTGAATCTGTTCGGTACGTCCATTTTGTTCTCGTGCCCTTCGTTCTGTTCCTGTGCCATGACACCAGTGAATTAATCTCCGAATGTTGTATACATAGGCTCGACATCAAGAGCGTATACGAGGATATCGCTCACGTTGGTGTGAGCCTTGCGCTGGACATCCGCTCGTGTAATATCCTCGCAGCTCCTGCGAGCAACCCAAATATTCCTGGTCCAGTGTCGCCGTTCACTCAACGTAGCCATGCATGGCGGATCGTCAATTTCGACCTCGCACTCAAAACGCCCTATACGCCGCGCACAATATTCAGCGATGCTAGGACGTGGATTGATAATATGTTTTACGGCCTTCGCCTCCTTCCTCGCCCTCGGATTAGGCGTCCTACGCCTTCAACTCGTTGAAGACCACTCATCCGTATTGCACTCCGAGGCTAGCTTCAGCTCATCGTGTGTAGATAAAATTTTCCAGTTGGTTGTTTCCTTTCTCGGAGCTCGTGGATATCTGGAAGCACGAGCGGCCCCTTCTTTTCCATCGTGAATATTATATTATTTGTTGAACTCATTAGAGCAAACGACTGTCGACTGGCTCCTTGTCACCACTCGTAACCACTGAATAGTCAAACAGAGAATGTGAATAACCGCACGTTTAATTTTCTACACACATAGACACCGTTTACGAAATTTATATGATCACAACCTTCTTTCAAATGTTTCTCGGTCTCATCATCGCCCAGAATGGCCCCTTCTCCACGGTAAAGTAATATTTACTCCTCAAATTGAATTAACCCCATGTTAGGCTGACACGGCGGCCACTTTGCGGCCACGTGCTCCACGTGTCAAAACTCCGCTTCAAACTGGAAGCAAGCGAAAGACTGTTGATAGCGGTTCTCTTCTCCTCTTCGTTCAACTTGAACATCCAATATGGAATCTCCCCGCAACTCCACGCTTTTAGTGCGTCAGTATCTTCGTATCTACGAATGCGCGTGCAACTGACATCCGATATCTTGCGTTAGCCACAGAATGCTTTCGATGCGGTCTCCATCGATGGCCTCTTATTTCGACGTCCTATACCCTACAGCGAAGAGCGCATACCGCTGCCTGCTTCCTTGAAACGCGCTGTCATACCTGACGACTTGGTCCATGCCTTCCCACACTCGAATATCGTCCCGTTTATCTCCACTCGCCCTCCTGAGGATTTCGAGCCCAACGGGCCCACCCCACGACCATCTTCTCAACTTCCCCCAGCGGGACACTCCGAATTATCCCTTTGTCTTGGAAGCGTGCTCGGCGCAGGTCGCTCTGGAGTGGTCTGTGAGGCCCACGTCACCCAACTCAAGGCCTCTGATTCAAGATCTGAATCACAACTTATGGGTAGTCTTCCTCCGCTGGTGGTTAAGGTCGGTCGCCGTAATCGGTGCCAGTCAATCGCCCGCGAAGCTTGGTTCTATGAGGAGATGGAGTGTCTTCAGGGTGTCGCGATTGCACGTTGCTATGGGTGCTTCGAAATGGAACTAGGGAAAGGTCAACGCGTTGCTCCGTTAGTCGATCACCCCGAGGACGACGCGTCCTACGACCACATACTCGAATTCGACGAATATCCCTACAAGGCCACCAGGGATGCGGGCATTTCCCCACATCCCTTTGCACACAAGCTTATTTTTTCACGTAACCGTCTTTTTGTTCTGATCTTGGAACGTCTCGGGGACCCACTGTCACTTGGTACCAGGATTTCGCAGGCCGATCAGTCAGTAGAATGCAGTCGATATATCCATTATGCTCTTGTCTGACCTTCTCCACTGTTGAATTTTCTCTCTACAGAGATGACATGATGGGCGTCATCGAGGACCTCGCAAGTTTGGGTGTCTCTCTGAATTTTGATATACGCTCCGACAATATCTTAGCTGCCCCTCTCGACACTCCATCGATGATCTCCCCGTACACCAAACATACCCATGCCTGGCGTGTCATCGACTTTGAGTTGGCTAGGAAATCGGCTTACACTCAAAACATCATTCTTAAAAATGACCGACCCTGGCTCAGACATGTTTTCTATACAGTTCCACTCTTTCGACCAAGCCCGCCTCCCACGCCACTCGCTACTACGCAGCTGGCGTCCGACCACAGCAGCACTTCCTGAACATGCATCTCCTGCCTCGCGTTCTATTTCTTGTATTGCTCCCATCATTTCTGAACAGTTTTCGTCACGAGCCTAGCATACTGTCTCGCTGTCATTCATATTTTGCGTATTACTTTTCAATGTCTTTTCCGTCCCTTTAACCTTCCTTTCTCATGGCAGTATTATTCACCCGAGGAAATGACCACACAGCTAAGGGGTATACGAGAACTGAGTGGTCTGTCAGATCATGAGAAAACACGTAGGGCATTTTGAGAGTATCTAATGAAAATTTGGAAATGCATGCCAACGGAGAAGGCGCTTGAACTTGGCTTGAACATCAGAGTTTTGCTTGCTTTGACCAACTCAGCATACCTTGAGCTCGAAAAGTCAATAATGAGCGTTACCGAGTTAACTCAGTCGTTGCCCAGTCACTTGGGAGAACAGCATCCTAATAGAAAGCTTTGGTAGCGGTAAATGTCGACTCGGACACGCCGGCCCTGGCCGAAGGGGACAAAAGAAATCGTGATCGTTCGAGCTCCGCTTGAATTGTGGCACTCATCACGGCGATCGGCGTGTTCCTGAGTTTCGTCTCTTGTCGTCCCTCGTACACAACTCGTACACAACTCGTACACAACGATATACCTTGCCAGTGTCTTGTTCTGTTCTGTCTAGTGCGGTTATCAAAATTCATCTCATGGAATGCAATATCAAAGAACCTATTGTAATATAAATTCCTTCATTGTTCTACCTCGCCAGTACCTCACTAATCATTGTACCTTTTGCTTCCCCAGGCGCAGAACTCTTTCGATGCGATCATCATTGAAGGTTTACTCTACGGCAGAGATAATGGAAACGCCGTATCCACTAGCCCTGGTGTACCAGCTACCCTTGAACGCATCTCAATACCCATCGACCTAGTCGATATATTTCCCCATCCTGAGATCGCTGACCTCTTAGAACAAGACGATCCAGAAAATTATGAACCGGGCGGTCCACCACCACGTCGACCATCTCAGCTCCCTCCAGCCGGGAACGACACACTCACTTTACGCCTAGGCAAGATGATCGGCTTTGGCCGTACTGGAATCATTTACGAGGCTCTCGATACTCGTTTATCCTCCCCCGATGTTACTCCTGGACATATCCCACCTCTGGTGGTAAAGATCGCTCGTAGAAAGCGTTGCCAGTCCCTCGTGAGAGAGGCTTGGTTTTACGAGGAGATGGAGTGTATTCAGGGAGTGGCGATTCCGAGGTATTATGGCTGTTTCAAGCTGAACCTCGAGAGGGGGTCACGTGTTCATCCATGGAACGACCCGCGCTGCTATTCTCCCGACACCGACCCTGATTACTGCCCGGATTTCGTCCAGTACCCGGACGACTCTCTCCTCCAATCTGGCATCTCCCCTCATCCGCTCTTGGAGGAGCTTATCTTGGAGACCAATGCCGTTTATGTCACCGTCCTCGAACGTCTGGGTCCTGAACTTCGCCCCGGCGTCAACCATCCTCTCCATGTCCAGTCCGCCTCTTTCTCATCTCCCGTTTCGTGTATTGAGTACTGACCGTGTTCGACATTTTAGGGAAGACATCAAGGGCGTCTACGATAACATCAGTGCCTTAGGCATTGCTGTCTACGATGACATGTGTCGCGAGAATATTCTCCAGGCTCCCGTCTCTCCGCCTGGCCTACCAAGCTTGAAATCTCCCTTCACGAACCGAACGCATGCTTACCGAGTAGTCGATTTCGAATGGGCTGAGAAGACGCCATTGACGCGTAGGTGCATGTATCTCGACCATGAGTCCTGGCTTTTCAATATGTTTGCGTGCATCATGTACTGGAATGCCCCCTTCACTCCTCCGCCCAGTCCTTCAAAAAGCCAGTTGTCCCTTCCGCTCTCGTAGTTGAGTGGTCCTCTAGATTTCCTCTCACAATCCCCTTCTGTTCCCTCTGCACTTAATTTGCTTTCCAAATAATCCCTTCCTCGTCTTTGCTCTTGATATTTGAATGCAATTGTTGTTTCTGTGTTTCGAACCACTTCCATGTCGAGGGTCGACCCACCAGGGCTTAACGCCGATGGCCAGCTCTATCCCTCAAACTCAAACTCCAGAATAGACTCGACGATGCTGGTTACCATTAACCGATCAGGGCAGAGGATACTCCTTTGACTCGCAGTACTTCGACCGCGAACCTTGGCACTTAAACATGTTCGCGTGCATTATGTACTGGGATTTTCCGCTCCCTTCTCCGTTCGATCCTCTTGGGAAACCAGAGATCCAAGGCCTATATTTTTTGAATCAATTTCTTAGAGTATCCTTTCGTTCGCTTTTGGTCTGTCATAGTAACAAAAGTCCGCTCTAGAAAGTATGATAACCTTGGAGCGTACATATACTGCCAGATCCCTTGCATACCAAACTGAACGTATTCGCGTACAGTCTTGGCTAAAACAACCCGCCATGATCAACAATAAGCTACAACGTCCAACTCAAACCTCCCTCGGCTTCATCACCCCCCAAAGCGGACCCTTCTGTACAGTAAAATACTCTTTAATAGACCTCTCAAACTCGACAGGGTCATGCTGAGGAGCGGCTGTGGTCTCGAACTCCAGCATAAGTCGGGCCAAAGAGTATCGCACCATCAACAACCCCAGATTCTTGCCCGCGCAGTTGAAAGGTCCGTAAGAGAACGGGAGGAAGGCAGCTCGGTGGAAGGCTTCTTCTTCGTCGGGCTTGAGCCACCGTTCAGGTCTCCATAACTCGGGAGACGGTGAGAAGTATCGCTTGTCGCGCATCATGAGGCCTTGCGGGATGCCAACGAGAGTGCCGGCAGGTATATCTAACACGTTCAATAGAGTATATCAATATGGACATCGAAAGGAGAAAGACGGTCGCCTCACATTGACCGCACAGGGTGGCGCCACCTGCGGGAACGATACGCTGAGAACGACCAGGGATGGGAGGGCGCAGACGAAATGTCTCGTTTACGACGGCGTGGAGGACTAGCATATCTTCGAGATCGAAGTCACCGTGACCACGATAGTAGGAATCGACTTCATCACGCAGACGCTAGCATACAGCACTATATAATCAGCACTTGTGCTCAGATAGAGTCTGTGATAATGACGGCGTACCTGAGCCCAATCAGGATGCTGAGAGAGGAACTCGAATATAAATGTTAATGTTGAGCCAGATGTGTCGGAACCTGGCTCCGAGAGCAATCACCATTACCATCATTTTCACGGGTATATGTAAAGGAAGTGCTCGCCAGCAATGATCATTGCTCGAACTTCTGCATCTAGATCCTTCATCGTCATGCTCTGGTGAAGCTGCCCGTCCTCCTGTACGAAGTGCGAGAAAAGATCCGGTCGGGATTGACCACGTTCAAAGCGTTTCAAAGTCGCAGCCATGCTACGACAAAGAGCAGGTTCAAGATTAATTATGACAACAACAAAAAGGAACACATACGAGACAGCCTCGATCTCAATTTGTTCTTTTCCCAGTGGTAGCCAGTGCAAAATGGGAATGATCCAGGGTATCTCGGCAACGAAGCTAAGATGGACGATCTCAGCCCCCGCGGTGAAGAAAGGGGTACCGGGACTCACGCAAGCGCATACATCGCTTTTCCGATGAAGGAAAAGTATGTATGATCTTTGCTGTCGTCAATCATGCCGAAGGACTGGGCAAAGCTGACCTCGCCCATGATATCGAAAACAAGATTGTCTGTATCATGGAATGAGCCAGTCGTAGAGTAAGACGAGAGACAGTATGCAACGCACTCATTGTACGGCGAAGATCTTGCACGGCATGTTCGCTGTATTCGTTGCGTAGACGATCACAAAGGCGACCGAGGCAATCCTTGATGAAGACTTGATACTCCTTCATGGCTGCGCCTATTAAAGCAGGAAGGTCAACGCAAGAGGAGTGGCGGGAAAGAAGCAGATACCCACTTGTCATTGCCTTGTCCCAGTATTTCCTCCTCTGAGAGTGCGCGCCGACCGCTTTGAGAGCATGAACTGAGATACCACCCTTATTGGCGAAGACACTGTCGAACCTGTTATTTGTGGTGAGCATGGCAGTGAGAAAGGTAAGCGACGAAGACGCACCATGGACCCTTGATCATTTTGCCTTTCGAGCTCAGAATTGACTCCATATCGTCCAAGGCGAAGATTGTCAGCTCATTAGGACCGATTCGAACAATATCCCCATATTGTTCGTTCAGGGACTGCATGACCTGAGGCATGTTTCCTTTCGTCGAGTGATAGAGATACCAAAACTTAGAGACAGCCGCCATAGTAGGTCCAGGAAAGTGCTGCAAAGGCGAGAAGAAGACCCGATAAACGGTCATAGATGCGTATAAACTGGCGGCAAACGAGGCGGACGTGGCACCAGTCAAAAGAATAGACTCTAGAATCGACCGTTGCGCCAGGAGAAAAGAGATGAATAAGCTGAGAACTGCGATTGACAAGACCGTCAGAAGAGGCACGATGTGGGGCTCGCGAAAGCGGAAGAAAGCATGGATGACCTGTAAGGCAATAAACAGATGATGACGAACACATTCACGAGTCAGGACGCACCAATCCTGCGAACGCGCTCCATGCAAGGATGTTTGTAGCAAGGTCAAAGCTCAAATGCGCGAGCATAGTGATGCGTTGTGGTTTTACTAGTTGTGTCGGGATTTCGAAGAAATTGCTGTAGCCTCTGGGGAAAGTCCTGAGAGAGCGCTACTGAGAGCTTAAGTACTATGTCTTAGAGCCGTGCTTTCATAAACGGACGTCTAACAGCATTTAGAGAAGCAGACACGAAGACACCCTAGTATCAAGATCGAAGCGGGATAGCCACGAACAAGATAGCGCGCTATGAGAGGGAATCGGGTGCTGGAGTCCGCGATAGCCACTATGACGGCTTATCCACCATAACGATCCGAGGGAAGCACGAAGAAAGAGGTGGTCTTACTGCATGCATGAGAGCATTCCCCGACTTACCTACCTATTTGACCAGGCGCAAACGCAAAAAACTCCGTCCAAATCGAGCTAGTCTGGGTACCTAGAAGCTGTGCACCACTCCCAGATGTTTCATTTCATGCTTCTTGTGGATTGGAGGGTCACGCCTGACGAAGTTCGCGGAGAATCGTCAGCGAATACCGCTTGAGGCGCGTCGCGCAAGTAAGGTCAAAGTCCAGAGAAGGAAAAGAATTCCGCGTTTGGCATTGGAATCCAAGATCCTCGCAAGTTTGACGACTTCAAGGTGATGATGGTCTCCTATATGTGTCAAGGCATGTAGATGGCGTGGTGTATGAGAACGGTCCAGTAGGGCAAAAGTGTAAAGAAGGACGTAGAACAGGAAATCAATGAACGAACGAGAGCGGAAGATGCCGGTGGAATGAGGTACCGAGGCATTGGCGTTGTCGCCACACACTATTCAACATTCAGAAGCTTGCATATTTTATCTGACAACCAGGGGGGAAATAGAGGATAGGACCATGCAAAAAACTCAGCTATAACACACAGTCGCATCCGCTGCCCAGAATATCCATTGGACAAAGCCATCGGCTCTACTCAAACAGCGCACTGTGCTCTGATTCAACAATGCTGGCAAGTCACTTTCAAAAATCCCAGACCTTCAGTATCCCATTGGCCAGCTCATTTCCTTGAAGTCAATACATACCAAGTTAAGATTCCTAAGGATACTCAACATCCCTAACGCTCTCGTTAAGCATGAGCTCCTTCGTCCACGGAGTCTTCAAAGCCAGCCCGAAATCGGTGAGACGCCAACCATGAATGCAGCCTATGAATGGCGAGGGAAGGCTGGGATCCCAGGTGGGCTAGAAGGAGCGCGTAGTATATTATTTGGCTGTATGTCATCTTTTAGGAGGACTCTGAGATTGGATACGTATTCGAATAGGGATAAAACGTCGTCTCTGAGAGTACACAGATAGAGACTGTGAGCGAGTCTCCCTCAAGACATAGGAAGATGATACCTACTTCGCCGCCTCGAAGTCCAACACCAGGCATAATTTCTATATCACGGAAACTGCAGAATCAACATGCTGAACTCAAACCCCAATTCGGACCCACACGCCTCAGACGGTATCCTCGACGAGAAGCTAACTCAATCAGAAGAGGACGAGACACCTGTCGTATGCCTGGAACGTGGAAGATGACGAAGCCCGTCAAGCATGATCTTGACCCAAGAACGACTCTCTTTGAATACGAGTTCCTTCGTCCATGGCGTCTTCAAGGCCAACCCGAAATCGATGACGCGCCAGTTATGGGTGCGACCGGTGAAAGGCGAGGGAAGGCTCGGTATCCCTGGGGGGCATTGCGGCGCGGACAAAATATTGCTAGATCGTACGTCGTCCGTTAAGAAGATGCCGAGGTTAGCCACATCCTCGTATACGGATAAGATATCGTCCCTGGGAGGTAACAGTCGAAAAACGAAACATTGGTTAGTGAATACAGAGTGAATGAAATGCGAGAACACATACTTTTCTGCTGAATACGACACGCCGTCCTCGAGCTCATGCCCACAGCGTTCCATCAAGAGTACGTATAGGGATTTGCGTTCAATAACAAGCCTCGGCAACATAGGATGCGGGAACCATCCGGCGTCATGACAGACCTCGGGAATGAACTTCTCAAACTCGGGGAGAACGTCCCAAGACCTCTCGGATTCGAAAGTCGCGAATCTAGGGTCCTCCCAGGGACCAACACGACACCCCTTGGAAAGCTTCAGCTCGAAGCAACCATAACACCTCGGAATCGCCACTCCTTGCAAACACTCCATCTCCTCGTAGAACCATCCCTCACGAACGATGGACTGACAACGATCCTGCCGGCCTATCTTGGCGACCAGTGGTGGCAAAGGAACGGAAGGTGCGTCTGAGTCTGAGTCTCTCAGGCAAGGATCGAGGACCTCGAAGACGATGCCTGATCGTCCGGCACCCAGGGACCGTCCCAGGGAAAATGATAGCGTGGAATGGCCTGGGGGAGGTAGGGTCGATGGGGGTCGAGGTATAGGTCCTCCTGGCTCATAGCAACCTTCTGCGCGACGAGTGACTACACGTGCGACATCAGGATGCGGACAGGCATCGATGAAATTCGGAGGGATCGTCATCCGTTGGAGGGTGGCAGGAACTTGTAGCCGAGGGTCTTCGAGCCCCATGCCAGTGCTCCGGAATACAAGGTCATTGGTCGTGATTGCGCTAATTGCGTATTGTGGCTTCATGGGATGGAAGAGTGTAAGTGTATAGTAGAATATAATCGTGCATGGTGATAGTACCTACCAAAAGAGTTGGTGGAGGGAGGCTCCCTGCATCGCTCATGATGATGGTGGATCGTCGACACGAATGCTTCGAGTTTCGGGGAATCGGGCACCCTTATATCTCCGCATATTGCCGGCCTTTTGTCTTTGTTACTTACCTTTTTATGGAGAGAGTTCGATAGCATCCAGATAGGCCCCGGAAGCTTGGGTCAAAAATCAAAGTGCATAGCCAGGATAAGAGACCCAAGGCCGACTTTCCGAGGCTGAGACAGGTTGAAACGAGATTTAGTGCCTCAAGCACTTGTATTACTTACACGGACGATTTCACCTATAGTAGCTCGAAGTCCACTAGAGGGGTATCGACGAATATATTCAGCACGTACAAAGCGCCACTCTTCCGGTCGAGCACTGAGATCACAAATACAAACCCCCCACATCATCCCTCTCTAAAATCACTTCAACAGCTTCCTTACACTCGTCTCCATCCAAAGTTTCGCATACTCGCGATGCAAGAACGGGAAGTACCAAGGCAGAATCCCGGCAGTCTTTCCTCCAGGCGTAGAGTTGAAGAAGAAACTCTTCATATGGAACGTCGCATACCCCTCGTCCTTATCGACGTCCACCTCCATGGAGAATAGACCGTCGCTCGGACGAAGACCCTGCTTCGCGGGCGTATCGCCACACCGAACAACGACCTATTCAATCCACAACAACCAAAAGAGACCAAAATCAACATCCTCGTGACTCAAATATATCGAACAAGCAACAAACAACCAGCAGATAAAATAAAATGAAAACATATAAAATACGTACCCTTCCAGGCGTCCTCTCCACCACCTCGAAATGATCCGCAATCCTCGTCCCGACCTCATATCCACTCTTCCCAAGAACCTCCCTGTCCCAAAGATGCTCTGCCCTCCCCTCCAACGCCCTTCCCTCCTTCTCCAACTTCTTCCTCTGATACTCAAACCCCCACCCGCTCCACACGCCCGCACAGAACCTCCTCGTCAACTCCTCCTGATCCGTAGTCTGCAGCTTCGAAAGCGGGACCTTTCGCAGACAGTGGTCCTGGAGCGCGGGTGGGTTATTGTTCGGGTTGCGGGAACGCAAGGGGTTGGAGAGCGTGAGGAAGGAGGCGGTCGTGCTGTCGAAGGGGACGAAGGTCGTGTTGTGGGTGTAGAGTTTCCAAGTACCTGCAAAAAGGGCGGCGCTGGCGCCGGTGAAGGTGGCAAGGCCTTTGAGGCCTTTGAGGATGGGCATGGTGAGTGGTAAGAGGCGAGAGAGCTGCCTGAGAGTGAATCCCCACTTATATGATGAACGCGGGGCTCGGGATCTGTTCCGAGCCGATAGTACATGTACCAGGCGCTAAACCCCATTCGGTGCCACACAATACGTACCTCTCCCTAAACTCAGAGCACACGACCTGTGCCATTCAGATTGTTGAACAGACATCGAGAACAACGGGCGACAGGGATACAGGTAGGAAGTACGGCGTGATATTGTGGCAGGAACGGTGGTAGAGGATCGTAACAATGAACATCATTTAAACAGCGAGCGAGAACAGCAAGGGGAGGTAAATAACTCGTATGTATCCGGAAAGACTTCGTGATGGAGGGACAAATAGCGTTAGGGCGAGAGGAGAGGAAGTGGAGAGGTATGTGTATGATTTAGTGAGCTGGTGTACATTGAACTGGACTACGGTGATTCTATTAAATAGTAAGACGGTGAAGAGGCGGGGGAGGGATATGACAGGAAGATGGAATGAAGTGAACTGTCCGTGGAAAGAGGCTGGGGAAGAGTACAACGAGGTCCGAGTACTTCTATGGCACAGCGAGGGTCCAGAGGGGGCCAAATCGCAGACTTGTCTGGATGCGGACGGTGGAGACCAGGAGCAGCAGGAAACCGCACACTTAAGCATCCATTGGCGAGTTCCACTTCCACCTGTCCTCGTTGTATCCCGCCGCCGTGTCCTCGAGCAAGATCTCGTTCCTCTTCGAGACGTATACGGTCTTGTCTGTCACCTTCTGCCTCAACGTAGGAATCGTCTCCGCGTCGATGGGGTTCTCAAGCAACTCAGACAAGTCCTCGACAGCCTTCTCCAAGTCCCTATTGATCCCAACAGACACCATATTAGTAAACCCATATATTGAGGCAGGTCGAATAAGGGGAGTGGAGGAAATTGAAGACGCACCTCTGGTTGTCCTCGAACAACTCTTTCTCGTTGCCCTTCTCAAGGTAATAAGCCATAGCATACGTCCATTTCAACGTAGTCCTACACTTCTCCACCTCGTCCACCGCCTTCTTCATGAACTGAACCTCGATCCAGGTCAATTCCGTGCTGATCTGCATCTCCTCCATCTTCTTCTCCGTCTTGGCGTAGAGCTCAACGGAGAGCTTGGCGGATTGCTCGTGGTTGGCCCAACGGTTGTAGTACTGCATTATCGTAAGCGAAACCGTAAGCATGCGCGTTTGTAGATATATGGATGAAAGAGGAAGACGTACGTGGAGGTAACGTTCGAGAGAAGCGCGAGACTTAGACTGAGCGTCACGAGCGTCGACGCCAGCTTTCTCGTCGTAGCGGTTGCAAGAGTACCAAGCAGTGCCATGCTCAGACCAAGGGCCCATGCACACCCAGCAGAACTCATACTTGCACTTCTTGCAAGTCATGTGGCTGCAAACAAAGTGGACCAAGATCAGCGAACCCATAATAAACACGGTGAGGACAGGAAAGTAGACGTACTTGCAACCCCCATTCTTCTCGATCGTGCTCTGACACTTGCTACACTCCTTCGTATTACTCTTGATCCAATTCGCCGTCTCCGAATCGTCCCTGCACTTCTGCAACCACATCTTCGCCACCGCACAAAGCACCGGCCTATGATCACCCTCCACCGAACACCCAAAGCAGAACCTATGCCTCGGATCCGCACCGCACGTCACCGTCGGCACGAGACTCAACAGCGAGCTCTTCGTCGCCGCGGACGGACAGGACACGGTGTGCGTACAGGACGGGTAGGGGCAGAACTTCAAGTTCGGGTTGCACGAGACGAAGTGGCGGATGAGGAGATCTTGGAAGCGAGACCAGGTGCCTTTGGGGTCTGCAACGGCATCGGATGATTCTAGGGCTCGACGGACGAAGGTATCGGGAGCGACGACGGAGCAGGCTTCGGCCATGCAGGTAATGCGGTGTTCGCCTTCCGAGCGAATCTTGCTCTCGACGTAAGCGCCCCAGCACCCGGCACAGAAACTGTGTTCACATGCGAGAGCGAGCGTGTCGGTCTGGGTGTCATCGAAGCAGATGGGGCAAACGAAGGGTTCGGATTCGACTGGAGGAGCGGACGACTTCTTCGATAGCGGAGTGGCAGGTTTGGAAGATCGTGTGACGCGACGGTTGGAGCGTTCGGGGCCTGGGGAGGGGGATTTGGCTGGTGGTGGAGCAGGGGTAATGCCGGCGGCGATAGAGATCGCTGAGGAGTTGTCGAGATATTTGTCGATGAGTCGGTCTTTGTTCCAGTCGATGTACCGCAAAAGTAGAGAAGCTGTATCGGACTGCCACGGTATAGATCAGTTACTGATTATAAATGAGGCCACAAAAGAATAGAGGAACGAGAATGCTTGCGATATGACGATGCGGACAAACTAATTGTAACTATACGTCGACTGCTTCATGGATCAGCGCATTGCCAATCCGTATGAATACAGGTCAAATGTCAGCTGAAAAGCTAAGTATTGTCTGGATGATGCTCTCCAAATGAAGAAGCGATGAGAGCAGCTCCTGGAAGGCAGTCTCAGCTGATGACTCCCGAGTCCCGTAGTCACGTCACGAAACGTCAATGGGCCGTCCCCAACACAGTGTTGACGAGTAGCATATGCTCGCGCCTGCAACCATGCTCGAGATATGATGGATCACGAATGACGCAGTTATAAAAATAAGAAAAACCCAAAGCGCCATTCTGGGAACAATAGCGGGATGACTTTGTGATCTTGCCCAGCGAGTGCCATAAATCTTCCGATGGTTGTGCAGGTTCGAGCCAAGGGAGACGAGTAGTCGCCGATGGACCAGTGCTGTATGTGGTAGGCCATGCGGACGAGGTAGTCAGCCGCTACCATCGGTGCAGCCGCTTAGCACCAAGCACGCGACAAGATCGCGCACGTCGCGGGACAAAGCACCACCAAGCCATCAGAAAGAAAGAAGTAAAGACCACTCACATTGACGCCAAACAACGAGACGATATGGTCCATATCGGCCTTCATGAGGCCCTCGACCGCCTGTTGGGTGAAATCGTCGTACTCGACTTCATATGCCTTCTTCTTTCCCTTCTGTGGCAACTTGATCTCCTCATTGAATGCGTCCAACTCCATATCGTCAGCCTCAGACGATGCTGAACCTATGTTTCCGTCCGCACCAAAACCATCCGACGAAAAGACATGTCAGCACTCACGAACCGCGGCATGTTCGGTGTTGGTGAAGTAGCGCCGTGGAGACAGGGACTCACCATCCTCATCTCCTTCTCTCATCTCCTCGTCCTCATCGTAGTACTCGTTGTCCTCGTCGGAGAATTCGTAGTCGCTCGACATCGTCGGTAGTGGTGAGGGTGTTGTGGGTACTGAATGTGTTGAGCTGGTGGTGGTTCGTGAGGAAGGGCTGATTCAGTCGCTCGTGAGTCGTGAGGCGCGGGTCATGTTCGGGCAGGCGGGACCGGCCGGAAGGAGCCGACAGCTTTCCTTTCTTGAACTCAGACAGGCGCTCACGCTGACTCGACCGAATGTCGGCCAAAGAAATACGTTTTCTGAGTTCGACGGAGCGAAATATAAAGCTCGAATTACAAAGCATGGTACAAAGAGCCGAATTGAGCATTCAGTCCGGTCTCGATGAGCAACGCGATCTAAAGACAAGAGGAACGAGAGTAGAGCATTGAGAAATAAAAGACGAACGGAAAGCAAAATAATAGGGATCGGAAGACATCATAGGTACAAGTGTACCTTGGGTAGGAATCATCTCAATGATTGTCTACGCGGAGCTTCAGTCAGAGTCCTCATCGAAACCATCCGGGGAGGACCCGCGACTGTCACTAGACGGGCACCACTCATACGGAATCTTCCCGAACATACTTCCAAGCTCCTGATTATGCTCTGCATCCGTGATCCAGCGCAGATACGGCGTCTTGAATGCTTGACCGAAGCCAATAGCTCGCCATGCGTGCGTCCTATTGGTGTAAGGAGAGACCTGGGAGGGGATCCCTGGCGGTGATGTTGGCGCTTGAAGAATGTTTTCGCGGGCAACGGAGGAATTGAGGTGGACACCTAGACTAGAAATGTTGGTGAACAGGGAATGAATATCGTCTCTGTCGATGAATAATTAGTATGAATACAGTTTGAGAACAGTAATGGAGGCGAATGACGTACCGTACTTCCTCTTCGTGGTCTATCCCGGGAGCGAGCTCAGGCCCAAGACGCTCGAAGATAGTGACATGCAAACGATCACGAGCGGCAATGAGTTCGGTCAACGTCGGATGAGGTTCAACCCCCGTCTCTAAGAGTGCCTCCTCAGGGTACTCCGAGAAGTCGATGAGCTCCTCAAAGTCATTGTCATAATCGGTGCAATTCCGCAAGCACGGTTCGACGATAGTCCCGCGCGGTACCTTTAACTCAAAACAGCCGTAACATCTGGGAACAGCTATCCCTTGAATAGGTTCCATGTCTTCGTAGAACCAAGCCTCGCGCACCATAGATGCAGAGCGATTGAGTCGTCCCACCTTCACCACGAGAGGGGGGAGATAGCCAGTGGGCACGTTGTCGTCGGACCCATCGGGATGCGTAATACTGAGAGCGATGGCTTCATATACGATGCCCGTCATTCCGTCACCGATCTTTTCTCCGAGTTTGATGCGCAAAGTAGCAGAGGGGAAAGATGGGAGTTGTGAGTGTTGCAGTTTGGGTGTGCCGTTAGGCTCGAGGTCCGATGCTGGTCGAACAACTACGTGCTCAGGGTCCCTTAACAGAGGATGAGGGAAAGTATCGATGAGATTTGGAGGAATATGGAGGCGCGAAAGGGTAGCAGAGAAGGTGGTAAGATCCTTGTCGCCTCTTCGGCGAAGAAGATCATCTATTTGGAGTGTAGAGAACATATTTCGAGACTGCATTGTGAAGTTCAGTCGGTCATCAGATGGAAAATGATGACAGAGAATACGAAAACTGACCATCAGGTTAGAGAAGTCGGGGTCGCTCACAGTAGACATTCGCTATCGGGGGAGAGTAAGCGCAGGTAGGGCGAAAGTAAAGACATCGATTGCGGAAGTCCGTCGAGCTTTTTGTACAAGATCGGACCGGAAAGTTCCGCATGGAGACCGGTCTGATGGCTGCCATGTTGAACAACTCCCCTTGCGCCGTTTCCTTTGTGCGCTGCCGTACTGTACTTTTTCGCGCACAAGTTCGTGTCCCGTGTCCCATGGGTGCCGCGAACGAACTTGTGCCACGGGACAGTCCCACCCCATTGACGTGCACTGAACTTGTAAATGGGACATACCAAAATTTGACGAAAACTTGACAAATATTTGAGAATATATTTTAGGGTCCTAAATTGACCTCAGGAAGGCCCCTAAGACACAATTTGGGCCAGATTTTGCTACTAGGTGAGCTCCCCCATCCAAATGCAGAGCATAAGTGGCTGTTGAGCGGTCATGAAAGGTCGTATCCCTGAAAAAGCGTCCATGTTCACGAACATCGTCCCTTATCCCGATCTGCGTGCGAACCGGGACACGAATGGATTATGTCAGCTCGGCAACGGCCGAGGGGCGGTGGCGCGAACTTGTGCGCGAAAAAGTACAGTATTCGGCGGACCACTGGGGTCTTGGCATTTTGGGCCCTCCTTCAAGGAGGAATTGTGACAAAATATAATCCAGACCTAGAAA